ATTGAATTGTCCAAACTAAGTCAATCACCTGCACCTCTCGAAGAGTCCCGAGCTAAAATTATCATGACTCCACCATCAACACCACTTAGATCACAATCGCCCGCTGTTGGCTTTTCTACACAACCCGCTTACCAACCAGTGGTTCCTCAAAGACCTTCAGCTCCAGTTCATAGAGCTCCTACACCTATTCAGGCTGTAACTATGCCTGTGCAAAGGTCTCAAACTCCAGTCCAGCCTGCAACTTTTAGCCTTAGAATGCCGCAGAAAACACCTGCGCCTGCACCTGAGCCTCCCAGACAAAGAGCTCCTACCCCAGTACAGGCTTTTACAATGCCCCTATACCAAGCTACGCAACCGGCCGCTCCATTAAAAGATAGCTCTTTAAGAAGGATGATAGACGAAGCTGAGAGGTGGGAAGCATACCTGCCCTGAAACTATCTTTCTTGCCTTTTACCCCATTAATATCTTTGGTTATTCCCCCATTTCATAACTTCCGCATATTTCCCCTTTTTGCTCGAAAACCCTTATTCTACGAAATATTAACATCTTCTCCCAAATTAAAAAAAATTTACCTTTCCCAACGTTTTCAAATAATAAAAGTAATATTTAAAAAAATCTATTAACCAACTTTTACAGTAACAACTAATGCCTTCCTCTACTTATCAAATCAATTTTCAAGTATAATAATATAGTTGTTATTATTTTTAACAGTACTGGTCAACCTCCTGCCAAGGAGCCCAGATATTCGGAAAGCCCAAGTTTATCTATTGAAGAATTGATAAAGGAAGGGAAAGAGCCTGAACCTGCAAAAGAGGATATGTTCGATAAAACTAGGCCAATACCTCCTAAATTTAAAGTAACAGCTTCTTATTCAAAGAATTTTGATCTTAATTTTTAAATTCATATATTGTTTTTAATTTTAGACACAACTCAAATCAAAGATGAATCTTAAAGAATCTGATAGATGTCACTTTGAAAGTCGACTAATACCCATTAATGATCCAGATTTAACTGTTGAGTGGTACAAAGATGGAAAATTATTGAGAGCTGGACATAAATTTAAACCGATGTATGACTTTGGATACGTTGCATTAGATATTCTTTACACATACGCAGAAGATAGTGGTGTCTATTTATGCAAAGCAAAGAATAAATACGGAGAGGATACTACACAAGCTGAAATAAAATGTTTTCCAAAAGACAGTGTAATCGAGGAATCTCAGTTACCCGAAGGAATAGACACAGTTCAAAAGATGGAAGCCATGGAAGAGTTATGGCAAGCACCTGTTGGAGACAGAATCGAAGACGAGCAGGAACATACTGCACCCATATTTGATTTAGTTCCTGAACCAGTTCAATGTAAAGAAGGAGATACAGCCAAATTTTTGGTGAAAGTTGCTGGATTTCCGAGACCCAGGGTTACATGGTGGGTTAACAGCTCAATAGCTGTCAATGTAAGTAGTTTAATAAATATCATTTAGCTTTGAATATTATCTAAAAAGCAACTTATTGTAGGGTGCTAGATATAAGTTACATTATGACGGAATGCTATATTCCTTGGAAATGCCAAAAGTTAGAGAATATGATAACGGAACTGTTAAAGTTGTGGCGAGAAACTCATTTGGCGAAGCTGAATGTTCAACTTCTTTGCTCGTGATACCAAGAGAAGACTGGAGATCTGCTCTGACGCCGGCTCCCCGATGTGAGCTATACTTTAATAATATTGACAAAGAAATAATAAATTTTAATTTATATACTTAATTGAATTTTAGCCACTGTTCAAGTCGAACTGGATAAGCACAAGAATGTTGAATTAAGAAGCGTTGAATTAGATGAAAAATTGAAGAAACCTAAAGCAACGGTATCCGAATTGAGGGCATTTGAAAGAGGTAGTCATTAATATGGTAGTATATAGAGGTAAAAATTATTTGCTTATAAAATTTCCAGACACTCAAGACCGAGCCCGACTAAAGAAAGATGAAGAAGTACTTCAAGCGTATCAAAACATAAATTGGCAGCATGCTACAATGGCTCATCAAAAATCAACTGCAGAGTTGCGTGAACACTCACCGCTTCTTGATAAGGAGTCGATAGTTCACGTAGAAAGAGCCAAAGCTATGCTTCAAATGGTCTCCGAATATAGAGATGAAGCAGCAAACAGACAATTTCAACATAGTAAACCCATTGAAAAGCAACCACCTACGTTTTTAATGCCTTTGCAATCAGTAGTAACCAAGGAAGGCGATGCCATCAGGTAAACTTTGACACTTTAATACTGTAGTTCGTTTCTAACTAATATTTTTATTGCTAAAGAATGGAAGTTCATTTTACTGGTCTTCCAACTCCTCAAATTCAGTGGTTTAGAGAGGGATCTGAAATTCATTCTACGAGAGATTTTCAAATTTTTGCTTCCTCGCACAAGAGCACTCTCTACATACCTGAAGTATTTGCTGAAGATGCTGGCCTATTTACCGTCAGAGCAACAAATCCTTTAGGTGTTGTGGAGTGCAAAGGATTTTTAACTGTTGATGGTAAAAAAGAAATTCTTTTGACTACAATGAAATTTTTAACAACATTTGTTATCCAATTTTAGAACCTGATCCATCTCAGAGAGAAACTGCTCCTTTATTTACGGAGCATTTGCGTGATGTTTCTGTTCAGAATGGTCAGCCTGTAACTTTTGATTGTCAAGTTACTGCTCATCCAAAACCGGACGTTTATTGGAAAAAAGATGGTCATAAATTAACTGATTCTCCTAGATGGAAATTCGTTGTCGACGACAACCATTATACTTTATTGATTTACGAATCAGCACCTGGTGATAGTGGAACCTTCGAAATCACTGTTGAAAATCGCCTTGGAACGGCTACAAGTAGAGCTGTTTTGTCAATAACAAAGGAGACAGCTGTAAGAAAAATACTAAATGAACTTATTTGACTTGCAACTAATTAATGAAACAATTTTTTGATTCTAATAGCCCCGAAGACAAGAACAACCACTACAACCTCAAGCACCAATTATCGTTCAACCTATGAAAGACGCAACCGTTAATGAAGGATGCAGAGTTGTATTCCTTACAGCTTTAACCGGAAAGCCTGGTATGCTGAGTTGTTGACAATCTTTGTTAAACAAAATTGCAATAATATTTAATTTTTAGATCCAGTTATTTCTTGGTACTGCAATAATCAACCAATAAAACCTTCGAAATACTTTCAAATGCAATCAACTCCCACCGGAGTTCATACTTTGACAATCGCAGAAGCTTTTCCCGAAGATGAAGGAAAGTACAAGTGCACAGCTGTAAATGCAGCTGGTGAAGCAAGTACAACTTCACAATTGAAAGTGATTTGTAAGTTGAGAATAAATATATATCTAACATATAAATATTATTCGTTGCTAATTGAACAAATACTTTTCAGCCCTTTCTCAAAGTGATTCAGATGCATTTGATACTGCGTCATGGAAAGAGAGAGACCCTCCTAGATTTTTGTCTCCTGTTCAGGCTCAAGAGGCTGTAAAAGGTGAACCTGTTAAATTTGATGCTGTAATTGCAGGATGCCCGTCTCCCACAATTACTTGGTTCCGCGAGGGAGTTCCTGTACCAGCACAAGGACGATTCAGACAGTTAAGAGACGGAAATAGATATAGTCTTTACGTTGAATCAACTCAGATTCAAGATTCTGGTACTTTTACTTGTCAAGCGGTAAACGTAGCTGGTAAGGCTGTTTGCCCAACCGACTTGGTTGTTCATGGTATGTAATTTTAAATATCTTAATTACCTCCCCCAGTTTGGTCTCGTTTTGAATTTCCAAAACTGTTTTTGCTTGAGAGTGTTTGAATGAGCATGCTCGAAATTGAATTTTGTAGGGGTTGCATGTTTTAAAAATTTGTTTCAGAGCCTATAAGTTAACATAACATATACGATATTTATTTTGTATTTGCTTGTTTTTTCTGAATTTGGAAAGTTGGAACTAATCGAGTTTTCCCAAAAAATTAAAAATTTGTAAGTTGTTGAATTATTCTAAAGAATTTACACATTGAATTGAATTGCATTAAAAGTATTTTAAAAATTTATAGAACAATCAAGAGTCTCTCAAGCTCAATTTCTGTTGCATCAACCTCAGCAACAAAAGATTTTACCTCAAACTAAGACAATTCAACAAAAAACTGGCCCAAGAAAAAGGCAAGCGCCAGTAATTACTCAGCCTCCTCCACCTTTCTTAGAAGCTAGAGTTGGAACTATTACAAAGTTTGTAATCGCAGAAGTTGAAGTAATTATGTAATCGAAATGTTTTTGAAATTTCTTTTAGGCTTGTTGCTTTTATTGAAGCTTATCCTCCACCGAGATTTACCTGGTACATAAATAATGTACAAATAAAACCTTCAAATCGTTTCAAGATTTCAAGTGATCAGAGAAGTGTAACTCTAATCATTATGAATACACAACCATCGGATGCTGGAGTATACACTTTGAAGCTTCAAAATGATGCTGGTGAAGCAGTTTGTACCACTAGCTTAAAAATTCCTGGCTATGAACCTCAACCTCAACGTCAACCTCAAGCTCAAAGAGAAACAACAAAGATTAAACAAGTCGTTGAAGAAACGCAAATGACTTCAATACCCCAACAAAGGGTCAGTGTAACATCCATTGCTAAAAAAGAAAAACCGAAAGTTGTACAAGGATTGAAGCCACAAACTCATGTAGTTCTTAATGAAATTGCAACTCTGGCTGTCCAAGTTGCTTCGGAAGTGAAAACTGTAATTCATTGGTACGTAAATAATTTGGAGATTAGACCAAGCAACAAATACGTTATAAGAAATAAAGATGATTTTGCATATTTGGATATTAAAAATGTTCAATATGCGGATAGTGGAACTTATAAAATGAAAGCAATTTCTGAATTAGGTGAAACTGTTGAAACGACAACTTTGATAGTGAAAGGTATATCTTTACTTTTAAAATGTTTACTATCTTAACTAACGTGAAATTAATGATTTTAGCTCCTGAAATAAAGGGTAAACCACCTAGATTTCTTCAAAATCCCAAACCTCAAACTATCTCTGAAGGGAATAGATTAGTTATTGAATGTAAGGTTACTGGAGAGCCAATGCCTGATTTGTCATGGTCTCACAATAATAAATGCATTGACGAAAGAAATGACATTAAAATCGAATATGATCGTAAAGTTGGTTTATGTAGAGTTGTAATTGAAAAGGCTTTCATTGAGGATGCTGGCAATTATCGGTTTGTTATCTTCCTTTTGCCGTACGAATAGTTGTTTATCTTATTCCTATCTTTCATTTTTAGCTGCATTGCTAGAAATCAAGCTGGTCAAGCTCAAACATCTGTTAAGATCGTTCTACAGGCCAGGCCTTCTCAATCGCCTGTACAAGTTACCCAAGTCAGACGCTCTCCTGTTAGAAGATCACCAGCTAAATCGCCTAAAACCATTGTTGAACGAAGACATTCTAAAGAAAGAGTAATCAAGGAAGAAGGTGTTACAGAAACCAATGAGATTGAACAAGTGAAATTGATTAAGCATGTTGTTAAAGAATCAGAAAAGCGTGAACCTCCAAAATTTTTGCAACCAATACAACCCCAAGTAGTTAAGGAAGAAAACAGTTGTAGTTTTTCTGCGCAGGTTAAGGGTATTCCTACTCCGACAGTAACTTGGTTGAAAGAAAAGGTAATAAACAGTCAACATATACATTTTTACATTTAACCTAATAAAAACATATTTCCGATTTATTCAGTCCGAAATTGAACCATCTGAAAAATACAAGATAATTAGCGAAGACGAAACTCACAGCCTGACTGTTCTTAATTGCTCTGAAGAAGATGTAGCAACATACTCTTGCAGAGCAGCTAATCCTGCTGGAAAAGCAACTTGTACAGCAAATATTGTTGTTATACGTGAGTATATATAGAAAAGATTTTCTCATTTACTCGTATTAATTTCTCAATTAGTTATTCTTAAAATGACATATTAGCGTTTCTTTATGTAAAAGTATTGGTGTGTTATAAACAGTATGTTCGTCTTGAGAAACAAAAATTATGTATTCTGTGTTTACATAATTTTGACTAGTTTTAAGTTTATTTGGGTTAAATTATATGCATAGTTTATGATGCTTAGTTTATTTGTGTTATAAAGCAATTTAGGTGCTTTTCAATAGATAAATATATTGAATTATATTATTGTCATCATCTAACTTTTATTTATATTATTTTCGTGTGATTTTTATTTGTTTATTATTTATATTCAAGCATGTCTCGTATTTTTGAATTTTTCAGCTTTAAACTAATCATCTGCGCTAGAGTTGCGTAGAGAAAAGCATGGAATAATCCAAAATATCTTCATTCTTAAAATGTTTAGCATAATTTTGTCACTCAACAGCCCCTTTGCCTGAAAGTGAAGATTGCCCACCCATTTTTACGGAAATGCTTAAACCAACTAGGGCCTTGGATGGTCAAAGAGTTCAGTTTAGAGCAATAATTACAGGGCATCCAATGCCCGATATAAGATGGTTTCATTTGGATGATGAAATTTCCGATTCGGAAGATTTTATTTTCCAATATGACAAGGTTACAGGAGAATGTATCCTTACTATTCCAGAGGCTCTTGAGGCAGACTCTGGAAAGTACACTATTTTAGCAGAAAATTCAATAGGAAGAACGATGTGTTCTACTAGTTTGAGAGTGCTTAATTCTCCCCAAGAGGAAAGTGAGCCTATCCAAACAGATATAAGAGAAATAGAGCAGCCAACGTCAATGACTGTTCAAAATTCAACGGATTTTCCAGAAGAATCAAAGACCATATTCTATAGTTCTACAAATCAAAAATCAAGTGAAATAGTTGAAACTACGTCTGACACAAAAAATCCTGCAAGCGAAATTCAAAGCACAACTGAGACAGTAGTAACGGAAAACCAAAATGTTTCCTCAGAAACTACTCAAGCAACTTTCAGCATTTCACAGCAAGCAAATACTGCTGAAATCTCTGAAACTAGTTCTATTCCGTGTCTAGATGAAGGTGAACCTATGCAAGTTGAAAGTAAAGATGATATTACTTTCGAAGAAACTGCAGATGCCTCCATTGCATCTTTCAAGGTTGACGAACAGGCAACTGAAATTCAAATAAATTTAGAAAATACAACAAACGCGGAAGAAAAGCCAACAAATCTTTCCGAACCGCAGTCAGTTGAAGAAGAAACCGTTCTTACGGTTAATGTTAGTGATATTCAGCTAGTTAAAAGCGATGAGCAACAGGTAGACTCTCCTGTTGAATCAGATAAGCCATTAGAAAAAGACGATTTTGTTACTGCTCAAGTTCTAATAGAAAACGAAAATCAAAAATTGTCTCAATCAGACAAAACTGATATAGTGTCTTCTGTTCTAGAGAACAATCTAGAAAATCCATTAGAAACCACTGAAGCAACTTTGAAAATAGTAAAGCAAGAGCAAACGACCGATGCTGATATTGATGAAAACGTTGCACATGCAGACACTAGTCAAGAAACTTTGAGAGTCGGAGAAGCAAAGGCAACAGTTTCACAAGAATTTACTACAGAGATAGGTGATAATGAGCTGGATTTTTCAGAAACTGTTACATTTGATGTAACAGAAGCATTGGACGATACAAGTACAATAATGTCAGATCAAACTGATACTACTGTTATTGAACAAGATATAGGAGAACCGGCAGAATTTATCACTCCTCTGTCACCTCTTATTGTTCCAATCGGAGATACCTGTGCATTTGTGGCCACATTAGAAGGATCACCCACTCCAAACGTCACATGGTATAGGAACAATGAACCTGTCACAATAAGTGAAAGGATAACAACATTTTTTAATAATGAAACCAAAGAAGCCATTTTAACTGTAGAAGATTGCTGCGAAAGCGATACTGCAGATTTTTGCTGCGTTGGAGAAAATAAATATGGAAGGGCTCAGAGTAGGGCAAATCTTGTTGTAATTCGTAAGTATATAAATATCAGAATAGGTTTAAAACAAAAAAGCACAGTATTTGCATGAAAAAAGTGTTTAGTAGAAAAGTTTTTGGTCTAAGACGTAAATCTTACAGAACGGGATCAAAGTGATAATGGACATCAGGAGACAATATTGATTGAAAAACCAAGTTTAAAAAGCGAAAAGTCAATTATAAAGGAAAATATAGTGGAAAATGTTAAATTCAACATTGATTTAACCACTAAAAATGCTGAATCAGAATCAATCCAACCAAAGCAAGAAATTGAAGAAAAAAGTTCTGTGTGCGAAGAAACTTTCGAAATGCAACTTGGTCCTAATATCCCGAAAGATATACCTGTTTTTACATTGGGTCAGCCGATTTCGTTTGATTTTAGTAATTGTAAGTTATCTGATGTAAAAATGGATATTGAAAATGAAGTGAATTGGCTTGAACGGTTTTTTTAGGTTTTTTTTACTCAGAAGAAAATGAGGATTGTGTTGTGTTTTTGTATTTTTCATACTTTTTAGCTTGTTCTTTAAATTTATAAACAAATATTTGTTTAATTCATTTTTATAATTTTTCTTTATTATTATTTTATTTTTTTGTGAATTTTTCTTTTTATTTTTCATTTAAATTATTTTTCTTACTTGATACTGAGATACTTTTTTTCAATAATAGCTAAAGATGCTGAAATTACAGTCACTGAAAAGACTGTTTCTGTTAAGAAGGAACAGGTTACTGTAATTGGAGAAGAAGAAACAAGGATTACTGAATCTTCACCTCACTTTTCGAGACCTCTTCCGGCAGAAATTAGAATTCCAGAAGGTCAAGATGCTAAGTAATCATTTAATTTTTTTATAATTACAATTATTTTAAGAGTTTACTTATTAGTATGGAAACTTTCTATACTGCCGAGCCTAATCCGAAAATAACTTGGTTCATAAACGGAGTAGAAAGCCAACCTACTAACCGAATTCTTCATGTCCAAGAAAAACAAAGAGCCTGTCTTAGTATTTTGAAAGTCACCTTACAGGACTCTGGAGTATATCTCTGTAAAGCTATTAATTCTCTTGGCGAAGCAAGCTGTAGAACAAAATTAGTTGTAATTCGTAAGTTGAAAATTCTGATATTAAGCCTCTCGTTCTTCTATTTAAAAAAAATTTTCTAGCTCGAGACAAAACCAAATCTGGTGATGAAGGAAAAGCTGTAACAACCAGTGAAGAAACATTTAGTGTTTCTGAACCAACAACGTCAAAGGCAGCTATGAAAGAGACTGATAGGCCAACGTCTTTAGCACTGGAGCACCCGGGGGTTATGTCAGAGCCATGCGCAGTCATTAGCCAAAAAAGTGTCGCACCTCTAGAATTGAAGTCTACTGATCATGCTCCAAAATTTATTTTACCTTTGGAAGATGTAGCTACAGAGGATGGCTCAAAAATTTATCTTTCAACTAAATACATCGGAAGTCCACGACCCAATATAACTTGGTTCTTTAATAAACAGCCTATTCGAGAAAATCAAGATTTTAAAGTGAATACTTATCCCGATCAAAGTCGCTCTGATCTAATTATTGAAGAAGTCTATCCGGAAGACGATGGAGAGTATTCTGTTCTTGCTGAGAATCCTCTTGGATCGGACTATACAGTTTGTCACTTGCATGTTACCTGTAAGTTTATGAAAATAGTAATATAGTCAATAATCTTACATTATTTGTTAAAAGTTCCTAGTTCAAGTGATGAGGATACTCAAGAACAAACAATCAGAACTACTCAAACTATTCAGATGGAACAAGTGAGTGAGGTACCGGATTCTCAACACTCAGAAACTATAAATATTTTGCACAAACAAAAGGTTTGTAAAACTTTTGAATATGTTTCGTAACTCTTTATACTAAAAATTTATTTAATAAAATAGCAAACTGTATCGCAAACAACTCAAGTTGTTATCCATCAAGAACCTCAACTTCGATCTGAGAAATTGACAGTTGAAGTTCCAGGTACAACACAGCAAAGTGAAATAATCTTAGCACCACGGGCGAGACCTCTGCAAACTCAACAAACGTTTTCACAGACTCATTCTGTATTAGTACAGAATAAACAACCACAAGTTTATTCTCAGTCTTTTGCTGTTGAATCTAAACAAGAGCCAACAACTCAAAGAGCTCAAATGAATGTATCGCAAAGAAGTATTTTAAAGGGTATGAAAATGGAAGTTGAGATCGAAGATAAATCTCAAGTATCTACTATAGAGATACAAAGACAACAAGAAATTCTTCAAAAGCAACAAGTTTGTTATAATAAATTTGAAGTGAAAGCTTTAATAATTTTATTATAAAACTTTTTCTTAGCTTGAGATGAAATTAGCAGGGAAACCACCTAAATTCATTCATGAACTCTATGATATGACAGTTATGGATGGAGAGGAGGCAAAACTGACTTGTAAAGTAACTGGATGGCCAGCACCGGACGTTGTTTGGTATAAATCAGGCCAGAGGGTTACCGATACCCCCGATTTCAAACTGCATTATGCAAGGGAAAGTGGAGATTGTATTCTTCATATTCTGGAAGTTTTCCCTCAAGATTCTGCAGAATATCGCTGTGTAGCCGTAAACCCATATGGAAAAGATGTTACTAACTGCACCTTAACTGTTGAAGGTATGACTCTTTTCTGAAAATTGATATCAAATGTTAAAAATTACTAATTTATAAAAAATTTTCAGTTTTTGAATATATTCAAGATAGTGAAGAGGCAACAGCTTCGCAAAGCGAAATATCCCCAGAAGAGCGTCTAAGAATGTCTGACTCTGACACAGAGTTTTTCGAAAGAGCTCAGACTTTCATTGCTAATATGCAAAAAATGAGAGAAGAGATAACTTTGGAAATAGAAGAAAAACCGAAGGGTGAAGAAATTGAAGAAGAAGTTGTGACTCTTGCCAAAGTTCAATGGGCAAGGCGTCAAGAAGCTCTCATTGCCCAATTAAAACCAGAATTTGATCAAAATGTTGAGACTGAGGAAAGTTGGATGACTGAAGAGGGAAAGACAACCGAATTTACTGGATATGATTTATCAAAGTCTAAAAAATCAATCTTATCTCAAAGAGTTGGATATCAAACTGGACCACAAATCGAAGAATGTGGGCCAGAAGGTGCTTTACCAGAATCTTATCAATCGGAAGAGCGTATGGAAGATGAGCTTTCGATTTCGCGTAAAGAAGAACCCAAAGAGAGTAGAAGTTTAACTCAATCGGCTCTTCTTTCTGAAGAAGAATTCACGGAAGGTGTTCACGTTGTTCCAGAAGAAACCAAACAGAGAGACACGTCTCCAGTTGAAATGCAGTTATCTAATAAAGAACTAAGAACTACCACTTTAGCAGGATCTGTTAAAGAAGAGTTACCATTGGATCAACTCGAAGAAGGCGTGATAATTCAACACGAAAGACCCTCTGAAAGTGATATTGAAAAAGTCTATGAGACTAAAACAGTTTATGATAAAACTCAAACTCAAACAATTCTCCAAAAATCTCAAATTGATACTGAAGATTTTCAAGATGCTGTCGATGTGCCTCTAGAAGAAACGGAAGAAAGGTCTGTATCTCCAGTTCAAATGTCGATACCAGAGAAGAAAGGACAGTCAGAAACTCTCACCGTAGTATCTAAAGAAGAACTTGTTACGGATACCTTCGTTGAAGGCATTCAGGTAGAAGAGCAGAGAACTACTGAGAGAGAGATTTCTCCAACTACTTTGACAAAGCATGGACTAGAGGAGAAGAGACCTACTAGAACAGAAGTAGTTGAAGAAAATGTAGATGAAGATGAGTTCCACGATGCGGTTGAAATTCAACCGGAACAGCCTACAAAGAAAGATATTGAAATTGATTTAGATGTTTCTGAAATCAAGGATAAGCCTGTTACTCAGACAGAAATTAAGAAAGAGGTTCAAGAAATTGACGAATTCAGAGAAACGGCCGACTTAGAACACGACAAAATGCAAGAAGATGTTGTAACTGCTATTGATTTACAGAAAACAGTAGTGGAGGGCAAAAAAATGACTCAAACAGCAATCCTTCAACAAAATCTGCGGGAGGATACCTTTGAAGAAGGCATTCAAGTCGTACCTGAGCAACCCACAGAAGAAGAAACGAAATTGAAACTAGAGCAACCAGAAATAGAACATGAAAAAGAAAGCAGGATTTTACCTGTCGAAGAAAAAACTATAACTGATTCTTTCACTGATGTAGAAGAAGTTCCAACAGAGGGGGCCTCCGAACAACAGATATCTGTTGAACTCGAAAAATCTGAAGTTACTAAAACCATAGAAACTAAAACTGAAGCAGTTTCGGAAAACGTTACTGTTGAACTCTACGAAGACCACACAGATTTAGTTCCTGAAAAATCAACAGAAGATGAAATTAAGCTTGAACTTTCTGTTAGCGAACTGAATGTTAAACGAGAGACCAGAGTCGGAACTCAAGAGGAAAAACTCCAAACAGAAGAACTTCAAGAAGGAGTAGAAGTTACTCCAGAAAAGACAACAGAAGATCAAATTGATATTGAATATTCAACTACCCAGGATATTCCTAAGCAAGAAACTTTAGTGCAAGTAGTTAAAGAAGAACAAAAATCAGATACAATAGAAATTACTGATGAAGTTCCTCAGGAACAAACTCAACAAGATGAAATAATTGTCGAATTGGATACATCTGAAAAACAACCGAAATTGGAAACTCTTGTTCAGTCTGTAAAAGAAGAACTACGACCTGATACAATTGATGAAACAGCTGAAATATCTCAAGATATTTCTAAAGAGGAAGAAGTTGTACTGGAATTATCTGATTCGAGTAAGAGAGAAAAGGAGGAAAGTCTTGTTGTAGTTCAGAAAGAAATTACAAATCCTGATGTTATACAGGAGACTGTTGATATTTCTGAAGAAAAAATGAATGAAGATGAAATTATCGACAATTTTGTTAAATCTGAACTTGAGCAGAAAAAAGTGTCTCGAGTTTTGAAAACTGAAGAACATCATCCAGAACAATCAATTGAAGAGACTATGGAAGAAGCTTCTGAGCAGACAACTCCTCAAGAAATTAAAGTGGAATTGTCTGAAACCGAAGCAAAAACGAAATTAGAAGTTATGGTATCTCAGCAGAAAGAGAACTTCCCTGCAGACACTATTCAAGAACACGGACAGATTGAAACTGAAGAAACGTCAGTTGATGTCATTCCGAAATCTGAAATGGAAGATAAATCATCTGATAAACCAACATTAATGTCCGGGACTATGAAAACAACAATGGTTTTGCAAGCTTATGAGTCTACCGAAGATCTTGCAGCTGAGCAAACCAAAGAGCAAGATGTAGTTGTTAGATTGTCAACAACGGAGGAGGTTAGAGAAACTGAGCACAGCCGAACTCTTGTACAAAAAACTGAAGAACAAGAGCTAGAAACTGGAAATATTAATGAAACAAACACAGATATAACAAGTGAAAGTCAAATACCAGTCGAAACTGTTACTGCAGATACATCGCATAAGGAAACCAGTAGAAGTATCCAACAGAACGAGAGCTTACCAATCGAAGAGCTTAGTAGTATTAATGAAGAACAGTTTGATGAGACAACAGAAGAGCAAATAATAGTTAACCTAAGCAAACATAAATCTGACATTTTGCCTAGCCAAGTTGCTCCTGTCGTCGAACAAATAGCGACAGAGAAAGAGGATGAAATTACCAGAGATGTGTCTGTTGAAAAGACTAAAGAGGAAGAAATTAAGGTAAACTTGGAGCAACATGAAATAAAGCAAAAAGAAATTTCCCTTACTGCAATGCTGGAAAAAGAACAAACTGTAGGTGAAGTTGATAAATTGTCAGATACAGTTGACGAAGAGAGACCAGTGGAAGAAGAAATTACGGTCGACCTAGAAGCAGCGGGAGTTAGAGATAAAGAAAGAGCACTCACCAGCATGGTTGAGGAGAGACACTCGGAAGAAGAAACCGAAGTAACAAAAGAAGATTTGAAGGAACCTGGTGCAAATGAAGAAGAAATTCAAGTCATACTGGATACATCAGAAATTAAAGCAAAACCAGAGACTTTAACTAGGCAGCTTGAAGAAAGATTATCTCCTGAGGGGATTGAATCCGTTGTGGAGGAGCCCAAAGAGACTTCAGATATTTTTGACGTTAAAGTCGACTTATCAGCAGTGGACGAGAAAGTTAGAGCTCAGACTAGGGTCGGAACCGTTGAAGAAAGCATTAAAGTTGACGTAAGAACTTTATAGAAGTATTTTTTAAATAGTTTTAATTTTAATTCGCTTTCACAAAGATTTCCGAAGAACTTAATTTGAAGGAAATCAATCGGGAACAACCTGAGGGTACAGATGTTCCCAAAGAAACAGATTTAGCAACGAAAAGTTCACCAAATCCAACTTTGACAAAGGAACTTTTGTCAAATCTAACTATCGATGCTACAGCAGCTGGTCCTGAAGAATACGACGAAGAAGTATCCAGAATAAATGAAATTCCCAAAGAAACTGTTACAGCAGATTCTTACTTACCTCAACATTCTCGTGTTGATCAAGTTCATGAAGGAGAACTACCTCAACAGGCAGCTCAGGAATTCTCAGACGCGCTAAAAGAAGTTAGAATGATCCCCGGAATTCATCTACCTGATTTTGAACCATCTGTCGTTGAAAGATACAGGTTTGAAGTTTGTTGTAGCTCTCTTAACTTAAATGAAATCGAATGTACTGATTGTAAGAAACATAAGGCAAGGTGCCACTGTAGAAGGAAAAATCCTAGATTTATGACTTTATAGACATTTTCTTACAAACAGTATTATGTTGTTTTGTTTTAACTGCTTAATTTATTTTCAATGAAAGCAAACTAACACATCTCCAGATTAGGAGAGAAATTTAAAAGAGAAGATATATAATATTCCTTTTCCAATAGTATTTAAATTTATTAATTAAAATCTACTTTAAGCTTAACTTTATTATTAATATCATATTAAAAAATCTTAATCTTCTTCATCTCCAGTCTGGAGGTGTGATTTTCAAGCTTTTTTATTTTTTTTTTGGCTTATAACTTTCTTGACAATAAAGTTTTTTAGATTTTTATTCTTTTTTTTTCTTGTTTGTTTTCTCATCAAATAATTTCTCTTTTAATTTTCATATTCTTTGTATTGTTATTTAAGACTTGAAACTCTTTTTATCTAACAATAATATTAACTTTTTAATATTTTATTAATAGTAATTTGTGTATTAATCTCATCGACATAATCTTCTTCCGGTACTTTTATCATTGCCTCTTCAAACTCTTTCTTAACAAACTTCTCTCAAATTCACAAACTTATTTTATCTTATTTTTACAATATATAATATATGAAAACGAAGCTGGGTTTTTTTTTCTTTTAGATTTTTGTTGCAAAATTTTTGTTTTTCTTCCAATCAGATTTGAAACTAGAGTTAAATCTCGAAGTCCAAGTCAAGACTCGGAAGTAATTAGTGAAACAGGTGAATCGAAAACCGCTATTAAAGAAACTGTAATTGAAACTTCTACAAAGAAAGTTGAAATTGTTGAAAAAGTAACTGAAGAAGTTGCAATGAAAATTAACCAGGATGAATCAAGAGCACCAACTGTTGAGTGCAATCTGCACGATATAACAGTTTCTGACGGTATGTATTTAAGATCGCTTTTCTAGTAAAGTTACATTCTTTTACATCAATTTATAGGTGAAAAAGTTATATTTGAATGCGTTGTGAACGGAAATCCTGTTCCAGAGATAACTTGGTTTGTTGAAAATCAAGAAATTAAACCGTCTATGGATTTTATTATTGCCTACGAAAGAGTAAATAGTCTAACCTACTAACTATTTTGTCGAGGTCTTATCAATATATTGCATTCTTTAGGGTATTGCTACACTGAAAATTATAGATGTTCTTACTGAAGACGAAGGAGAATATACTATTAGAGCTAAAAACTCTGTAGGTGAAGCTAGTAGTTCCGCATACCTAACAGTTCTACGTAAGAAATATAATAGTTCTTCTTTTCGAAAGCTAAATTCATATTTCAACAGCACCATCAAATTCTGAATCGGAACCCGAGTCACCTCTCTACAAAACTGAAGTTACAAAAACCCTTAAAGCTGAAAACGTCGAAGAAGAAAGTTCTAAAGTAGAACTTGATCTATCAATCCGAAAACGTACAAGAAGGCATAGCCAAGAGCCTACTGCTCCCAAATTTATCACTAAGTTGGATAACAAAGAAATTTTTGAGAGTTTACCAATTACACTTATTTGCGAAGTGAACGCAAATCCGGAGGCAGAAATACAATGGTTTAAGAATGAAGTTTTAATTGAATGCAATGAACGCTATCTTATTGAATCTGATGGTGGTTTATGCGTATTAAGAATTGAAAGATGCGATTTAGACGATGAAGGAGAATATAAGTGTGTGGCGAAGAATGAATTAGGTTCAGATAATACTTATTGCGAATTACTCGTGGAAAGTAAGTCAAACTTTTTTTCTTATTTAACATTTGCTATATCTATTTTCCCCTTTATCTTAAAAAAGCTTAGGCCTCTAATATTAGCTTTCTAAACTTAATTTCAAATTAAAAAAATATCGTATTGAAGTCCCTTATGTTCAGAAAAAGTATATTTCTGAAAGAACAAGCAAGCTGATTATTAGCCAACTGTATTAAAATTTCCTCCTCAGAAAGATTATTATTAAAAAAATGGGAAATTTTACAGAATTAATTCATCCCGATGAGCAAATATTAATCGAAGAAAATTACGATATCGAAGTAGAAATCGATTTCAAATGGAACGCCAATTCGGCTGTTCGAAAAGCGTTTTTACAAACAATTTAACACGATTTGAACGTGTCTTCTGCAGTTTATCGATTTCGTTTTAATACGCTGCAATTATCAGCAACTTTTTATCAGTTTCTGTTTGATTTTATTTTCCATGACTTTTTTGAAGGTTTCTTCTGATCCAAAGTAGTTTATTATTCATAAATATATTACAAATATAGAAAAATAGAAAAGCAAATCGGGCAATTAGACTTAGTATTTCCTATGCACAAATATGATTCTTTTTGCACTACTTTACATATCATTTATTTTTAAAATGTGAATCATTTCGCAGTTGAGCATTTTTTTTTTCAATTTCTTTTCTTTTCTTTATATTCAGAGAAATTTTTCTTATTTCTTTATTTGAAAAAGGAAAAATATATTTAAGAATAAAATTAAGAAAGAAAAAATAACAAAATCTAGAGTTTTAGACGTGCGAACTGATACTGATTCTCATTTCCTCACTCTCAGCTTTTTACACTTTCAATTACCAATAATTATGAAATCTTTCATGCTTTTTTGTGTTTCATATAAATCTCTTTTCCTCTTTTTATTCCTCCTTTTCCCATATTTTTACGTTTGGCAGGTTTCACCTCATGTTGACCCTTATATTTTTACTCTTTTTTACATCTCTGTAAAGAGTGAGGAATTTACTTATTGTATATATACACTTATATACATATACATTTTTGGTCAATTTTTCAATACAATTCTTACAAACAAAAAAATTTAATTGAATTTTTTTCACCGATAATTTTTTACTAGAATTTGAGAAACCTGCCACAGATAGATTTCCTCTTTTTTTCATTCTCTTTATTACTTAATCTTTTAATTTTTATAGATTTTTTAATTTTTTCGCAATTTTTTGATTTTATTTTCTAACTTTTCATCTTTTCTTTTTAGTTTTATTTATGGTTTTGCATTTTCTTTCTGTCATATTTATTATCAATTTAGTGTATGGTATACAGTATATATACAGTATATACAGTATACTCTATACCTTTGCATACCTTTAGGTTATTTATTTTCTTTTTTATCAAAGTTATTTATAGTTTCTTTTATTGTTTCAGATTCCCTTTTTACCTGCATGACAAAATTATAACTACCCGAATAATTTTTGGATATAATCTATTCATTTTTAAGTTTATTTTTCTTATTCTTAGATATTTTATCTGAATTTATTAAATCTATATTTAAACCTTATTAATATGCTAGTACTGTGTGCTTGAGAATTTTGTATGAAAGAAAAAAAAGAATTTTTCATTATTATGGAAAGATTTCATAATTTCAACTACAACAACAAAAAAAAAGAGAATTTTCAAAACGAGACAAACTTTCCATGAAATATTTTTCATTTTGATTTATCAAATATTTTCAATCTTTTAGGAGAACTTGAAGAAAAGGAAGAGAAAAGATCAGAAGGTATTTCTTTACTTTAACTATTTCTTTCTATAAACTTTTCTACTTTAAATCTCTCTATTCAATTAAAGAAAGTATATCTTAGGTTTTCTATTCTCCTATTTCAAAATTTTTTGTATTGTATTCTTAAAAGTTGTTTGAGCACTCTTTCTTAAATTAACTATTTTAACTTTCTATGATATTCTTCATGTAAATTTAATTTATCTATACAAAACCAACAATTCATTTAGCTTCATTAACTAAATCTAACGAGAGTGATAAGAAACCAAAAATCATAAAGAGTTTAAGAAATACGGAATGCAGAATTGGAGAATCAGTAGCCTTAAAGCTTAGAGTACTCTCGAAATATCCAACTCAAGTAAAATGGTATCTTGATAATGACTTATTGCATGCCGATGAGGACTTTAACTACAAATTATTAGAAGATAAAAAAGGTTCTTTTATTCTGAGATATAAGCACGTTGAAAAGTGCGATCTAGGTTTATATAAGGTAATTAATTAATATTAAGTTGAAAAAGAAATTTTTCACTTATTACTTACATTTTAATTAATAACAAATATTTAAATTAAAACCTCCAAATTCATTAAAAAGGCTGTAGTGAAAAACAAATACGGATTTGTTGAGAGTACAGGATATTTGAAACAAAAAGGTTTGATCAAGCTTCATATGATCATTGCAATCTGATACTAATCCCTTAGTAGACTTATGATTAGCTTATTTGCGTAAAAATTTCCAGAATATGTAGCTGGTTATGGGCTATTACCTGATGATGCTTATCTAGGATTAGAAACTATTGAGGAGCGGGTCGCTGTTAGCGCTTTAAAGCCTGAAACAGAGAAAAAACCTATTGAACAAATAGAAACAAAACTAGAGGATATCGCATCTAAACAGCCCAGCACATCACAAATTCTGTTAGATGCTCAAGAGGGCAAGGATCAGGAAAGAAGCCATTCTGATGAACAAAAACTTAAATTATCATCAGAAAAACACGGAAGTGTTACGATAGAATCAGAAGCTTTCCTTCGTGGAAGTGAGGCTGACAATCTTGTCACTCAAACTAGTAGTTCAAAGACAATAAAAATGTTTGTTAAAGATCAAAACATGGAAATGAACCTCGAAGGAGCAGATACCTCTGAGAGTGTTACTGAATTTGTTTCCACAGCCGAGTCCTACCAGGAGAGTCAAATGACTGAAGCCGAAAGGGCAAATAAAAAACTTATTCATGCACACCCAGAAACATCTGAAGTTGATGTAGAGAGTATAGAAGAAACAAAAATTGATGCACCTCTTTCAGAAGCTGAAAAAGGTGAACAACCTCAACTTGATGTAGGATCTTCTAAACGTATAACTGTTACAATGAAAACTATTACACAAAAGTATGAACTTAGTATTGATGATACTAAAGATATGTCCCCCGAGAAGGAGAGTGATAAACCAGAAATCGGCGAAATTCAAACGGATTTGGAAAAAACTGTTAAAAAAGTTACAGAATCTCAAGCCGGAATTGAAAAAGCAGAACTATTACTTGACACAACAGAAAAAGATATAGAAATTCCTGCTAAAGACACCTTAGTTCAAACATTTGATAATCAAGATATAACGCTTGAACTAGGCGAGCAAACAGCATCAACATTAATAAGTGAAGATATTCAAACTCAAACGAGAAAGTCTCAGGTTGTACCACAAGAGCAATCTATGTCCGATATTCAAATTACCGGTGTAATTGAAGGCATAACTGAAGGCACATCTGAACCTTGGAAGTATAGCACTATTGAAAAAGATGCTCCTCTTGTTGAACAAACTGCTGCCCAAGGAAAATTAGTCTCTTCCAAATTAGCAGATGTCCAAATAGCATTTTCAACGGAAGTTGCACACCCATCTTTGAAGCAAACATCTTTGGTAGCAGAGCAGATTGCCAGTGTATCTTCAGAAACAAATGAAGGCGAGTTAACAGAAAGAAGTGAAGACAAAGCAGTTGTTGAGTCTATAGAAACAACTTTCACCACTGATCGTTTAATTAAAGATAAAGAGCAATCATTAATTGAGATTCAGCAAACCAAATTATCTCAAGAATCATATGAACAAGGCGTTCACGTATACGAAGAGGAACCAGATATTACAGACGTTGAAGTAGCTACACTAACAGCTGCTTCGCAAGACAAAAAATTGACAAAATCAGATGAAATATCTGAAGAAGTACAAGTTGAATTAACGGACAAACAAAAATCCCTTCCTGAAAGTGAAGTTGTTAAATCAACAGATACAGATAAAGAAAAACTGGAAGCAGTCAGTATCGTACCCAAAGAAGAAACCAAAGTTCTATCTAAAAAAAGTGAGGTTGTCGTAGAAACTATATCAAAATCCGATTCGATAGAACTTTCTGAAGTAGCCCAAGAAGAAGTTATTGAATCAGAAGTTACAGAAGCTAAAATTGCAACGAAAAGGCCTACAAAGGCTGCAGAACAAATATCTGATATCAATCTAGAGATAACAGACAAAAGTAAATCTCTAGAATCTACAGACGAAGCTAATCAAATTGTAGTCTCAAGCGAAACAACAAATGTTAAAATAGAAAAACCAAAGCCCACGCAAGCAGAAACAACTTTTGAGCAACAAAAAATAGAGAATACGGATAAAAGTGCTTCAATTGAAGTAACTGAACAAGCAGTTGAATCCAGCGAAGATGCTCAAGTTATTCAAAAACAATCCAGTCAAATTACAGAAACTAATATTTCTTTAATTAAGACTGAGATGAATATTGAATCAACCGATGCAGAATTACAAGCTAAACCGTCCGAAAGAGCAGATGAAAGCGAAATCACTTTAGATATTGGTCAAGCAAAATCTGACACGCCAGTAGAAACATCAACTGCGACTCTTCAAACAAAGATAATTACAGAATCGACATCTGTCGAACCCGAAATGAAACCAACAGAAACTGCTGAGCAAAGTGAAATCACGTTAGAAATTGCTCAAGCTAAAACTGATAAAAAAATTGAGACAACCACAGCTACACTGGTCACAAAAATGATGACAGAGTCAACTGATGCTGAAATGGTTATTAAGCCATCAGAAACTGCCGAACAAAGTGAGATTACAATTGACATTGCAGAGGCTAAAGCAGATAAACCAATCGAAACAACCACTGGAACATTTGTTACCGAATTAAAAACGGAATCTACTGATACTGAAATGGTCATTAAACCATCCGAAACAGCCGAACAATCTGAGACAACTGTAGATATCTCAACAGCCCAAACAGATAAACCTATTGAAACAACCACTGGAACATTTGTAACAGAATTGAAAACTGAATCTACTGATACTGAAATGGTTATTAAGCCATCAGAAACTGCCGAACAAAGTGAGATTACAATTGATATTGCAGAGGCTAAAGCAGATAAACCAGTAGAAACAACCACTGGAACATTTGTAACTGAATTGAAAACTGAATCTACTGAAGCTGAAATGGTTATTAAACCATCCGAAACAGCCGAACAATCTGAAACAACTGTAAATATTTCTACAGCTCAGACAGATAAACCAGTAGAAACAACCACTGGAACATTTGTAACAGAATTGAAAACTGAATCTACTGATACTGAAATGGTCATTAAACCATCCGAAACAGCCGAACAATCTGAAACAACTGTAGATATTTCTACAGCTCAGACAGATAAACCAGTGGAAACAACCACTGGAACATTTGTCACTGAATTGAAAACTGAATCTACTGAAGCTGAAATGGTTATTAAACCGTCAGAAACAGCTGAACAAAGTGAGATTATGATGGAAATCGGTAAAGTTAAAACTGATAAGAAAATTGAGACGTCAACTGCAACGCTTGTTACTAAACTGACAACAGAATCAACTGACACTGAGCTACAAGCCAAACCTACAGAACAAGCGGAACAAACGGAAATTATTCTTGATATAGGTGAAGCAAAATCTGATAAACCAGTTGAGGCATCTACTGCTTTGTTAGTAACTAAGATAACAACAGAATCAACCGATTCGGAACTGCAGACTAAACCCTCAGAAAAAGCTGAGCAAAGCGAAATAATAGTAGAAGTTGACAAGGCCATAGCTGATCAGAAAATTGAAACCTCAACAGCTACTTTAATAGGCAAAATGATAACAGAATCAGCTGATTCAGAAATTCTGATAAAATCTTCGGAAATAGCTGAAGAGTCTAATGTCGTAGTTGAGACTGCAAAATCTCATTCAGATAAACCAGTTGAAACGACAACGGCCACTCTTATATCAGATTTAAAAACGGAATCAACCGATGCAGATTTACAAAAAAATCCGTCAGAGATAGCTGAACAAAGCGAAATCACACTTAACATTGCAAAAGCTAGATCCGACAAACCGGTTGAGACAACGACCGGAACATTTATCACAGAAATGAGAACCGAATCCACTGAAGCTGAAATGACTATTACGTCATCAGAAACTGCTGAAGAAAGTGAAATTACTTTGGACATTGGTAAAGCTAAAACCGATAAGAAAATTGAGACAACCACAGCTACGCTTGTCACAAAAATGTCCACAGAATCTACTGACACAGAAATGGTTATTAAACCGTCGGAAACAGCGGAACAATCTGAAACAACTGTAGATATTTCTACAGCTCAGACAGATAAACCAGTAGAAACAACCACTGGAACATTTGTCACTGAATTGAAAACTGAATCTACTGAAGCTGAAATGGTTATTAAACCATCCGAAACAGCCGAACAATCTGAAACAACTGTAGATATTTCTACAGCTCAGACAGATAAACCAGTAGAAACAACCACTGGAACATTTGTAACAGAATTGAAAACTGAATCTACTGATACTGAAATGGTTATTAAACCATCCGAAACAGCCGAACAATCTGAGACAACTGTAGATATCTCAACAGCCCAAACAGATAAACCTATTGAAACAACCACTGGAACATTTGTCACTGAATTGAAAACTGAATCTACTGAAGCTGAAATGGTTATTAAACCATCTGAAACAGCCGAACAATCTGAAACAACTGTAGATATTTCTACAGCTCAGACAGATAAACCAGTGGAAACAACCACTGGAACATTTGTCACTGAATTGAAAACTGAATCTACTGATACTGAAATGATTATTAAACCGTCAGAAACAGCTGAACAAAGTGAGATTATGATGGAAATCGGTAAGGCTAAAACTGATAGAAAAATTGAGACAACTACAGCTACTCTTGTTGCTGAATTAACAACTGAATCTGCTGAACCAAAGGATGAAGCAAAAGAACTGGAAATGGCCAAGGAAAGTGAAATTAAACAAGAAATTTCGAAAGCAAAAGCAGAACAGCCTGTGGAGTCAACAAGCATTTTAGAAACAAAAGCAATAACAGAAATGGCTGATACCGAATTTGTTGTAAAGAAAGTAGAAACAGCAGATGAAAGTGAAATTTATCAAAGTACAGAAAAAGCCAATCAGGGAGAGGTGGTCGAATCAACTACATCTATGATAGTTACTAAAATGGAATTAGAGTCAACAGATTCTGGAATGGCCATTAAGCCATCAGAAAAGGCGGAAGAAACAGAAGTGTCATTCAATGTTGAGCATGCTACATCAGACAAACCTATTGAAACGATTGCGACAACTCAAGTCACTGAATTGAAAACCGAATCTGCTGATGCAGAATTAAAAATAAAGCAGTCTGAGACTGCCGAATTGCTTGAAACAGAAACAGAAACGGCAACTGTTCAAGTTAAAAAACCGCAGGAATCAAAAACAAATGTTTTTGTCGATGAAATTTCTGTAGAAACAGCAGAAACTACAGAAAATAAGTCACCTGAACAATCTTTGGAATCGGTCGCTGATTTGGAACTGCATAAATCTTCTGTCAAATTACCTGAAGGTTCACAAACAGTAACACAAATTACTGAAGTTGCTGTTCAAAAAACAACAAAAGTTCAACAAATTAAGCCTAGTGAATCGGTCGAAGAGAGTGAAGTATCTATAGAAACTTCGGAAGCTACAGTATTGCATCCAAAAGAAGCTAACGTAAAAGTTCAAGAATCTGTCATTGCCACAGATATTACAGAATTTGCCGATGAAGTGAATAAGTCTGATTTAGCGAAACTGTCCGACATTAAGTCAGAAACTTCGACTGTCGATATATCCCAACCTAAAGAAACACAAGCTTCAGTTATGATAAAAGAAATGACCACTGAAGTAACGAGTGAAACTGTGGAAGAAAAACAACCTGAAACTCAAACTGAATCAATTGTCAGCGTACAACTAGAAAAGTCTTCTAAAAATCTCCCACAAGAAAGTCAGACTGCTGCTCTGGGTGCCGAAATTACACTAGAAAGCTCAAAAGAACAAGCAGAGTTAACTGTTTTAGAAAAAGCGTCTGAAACTGTAAATGTTACGGACAATAAATTAGCAGCTGTAACAAGTCAAACGGTTGAAAGTACTGCAGGTTTATTAGTAGCTGACTTATCCGTTGAAAATACTGATGCAACTATGCAACTAAAACCAACAGAAGAGGCAAAAGAGAGCAATGTCGAAATGGCAACTGAGCAAGCCACTCTGGAATTGAAAAAGGAAACTCAAGTTTCCACTCAAGAAACAAATGTAACAGAAAATGTAACCCTTACGAAGCCTGACGACAAAGAGATTAAAACTTCAACGGAATCAACAGTAATTACTCAGTTAGAAGAATCTAAAGTGGAGTTTCCCAAAGAAACTAAGGTTGAAGTTGGAGAGGCTAAACTAAAACTTGAAGAAAGCAAAAAAACAAAACAAAAACCGGCTGAAAAAGTTGAAGAATCCTTTACTCAAGTCAAACTAAAGAAAGTTAAAAAAGATGTGAAACCAGCAATAACAAAAACACAAAAAAAATCTACAACAATTGAGGTATCTGACGAAACAGATGCGATTAAAACTGAGGAAGCAACTTCTTCTCAAGTGGTTACAGAAACTATGATTGCTTCTAAAAAAGAGAAGCCTAAAACAAAAAAAGGGTCAGAGGTATCAGAAGAAGTAGTTGTGTCATTAAAAAGTGCAGCTCCTTCGGAAACAGGTAAGGTTTCCCCAACCGAGAGTGAAAATACCCAATTGCATGGATCTTTAAGTCCTCTTGAAACTGCTCCAGAACCCGAAGAAACTGTTGATACTATGTCAATAAGTGAATCGAATGTATCTTTAAATATTGAAGAACAAAATTTAAAAACTGAGAAAGCCAATATTAATATTCCCCTGCACCTAACCACTGACACCCAAGACGTTTCCAAAGTGGTATTTGAGGCAGAACAACCAAACGTGGAAAACTTGGTTGAAACTTCAATTGATGAACCTAAAGGTGTAAAAGATTATAGTAGCGAGGTTACTCTTCCAGATAGTGTAGAAGAAACTATTGAATCAAAATTGGAAGATACAGAAACAAAACTTTCTAGACATGATACTAGTTCAACTGAATATGTCAAAGCTTCAACCAAGAAGCAAAAAGAGTCAATATCAGACGTTCAAGAAGCAGTCACAATTTCCGAATCTTCCATCATGGACGTAGATTACGAAAAGCCTCTTGAGAGTGTATCTGAATCAATTACAGTATCTGATCTATTGATTGCAGACAAGCCTGTTCAAGAACAGACTGTAACTTCAGAGACGACTATAACGACAAATGAACCTGTCGAAAATATAAACCAAATCACAGAAGTTGGGTTAGAAATATCCAGTGAAAAGGTAGCCCTCACGTCTGAAATTAATAAGCCAGAACAGCATTCCAGCGCAACTGCTGAATCATTTGAGGAAGGTCAAAGTGAGGAAATTAGTGAATACTCATCGTTGACTATACAGCCTAAAGAGGATGTAATAGATATAGATAAAGATATAAAGATTGATATTATTCAGCAAGAAACGACCGTAGGAAAGGGAAAGTTAATTGAAGAGATAGTAGACATCGATAAAGACTCTATAGTACCGAGTAAAGCTACAGAAGAGTTAGTTAAACCCTCAGAAACTGAAGAAAAAGTAATAGAAAAAATACCAGAGACTATAGAGTCAGCTTTAATAAGCGAGAATTTAGAATCAAACTTAGACATAGTAGAAGATGCTGATAACGAAAAAGTCAATGTTGTAAAAGATTCCAGCCTACCAATTAGCAAAATTGGTGAGAAATGCATGAAAAATAAGTGGAATAAATATGATATTAATAGATATGAATTTGAATGAAGAAATTGCAAATTTTTACTTTTTTTGCTTGTTTATAATGGATGAACTTGCAAGAAAGTTGCAAATATTCTTTTTGGTTAAAAAATTCTTTACGTTTATTTCGTTTTGCGTCTTGAACAATAGCATATATGTATTTTTATACATATATCGATATATCTACAGTTTTTGTTGTTATATTTTGAACGCGCTTGAACATATAGCCAATACCTTTATTAGAATTAGTTAGATTAACACGCTTTCTCTTCAATCTTTGTTAACAGCACGACTATTCCAGATTACCTTAATTTGATGAAAATTTTTTTTTGATGCATTATTTTATTATTATTCATCTTTTTTTTATACAGAAACAGCAGAAGCTTCGTTAAGTATCAAGTGAGTTTTTCTCTTCAACCTAAATTGAAAGTAATGTTAGTTCTTAAATTAAATTTTTTGCTATATTTGTTTTAGGCCAAAAACTCAAGAAAGTGAAACAACAATTGATATTAAACCTGAAAAAGAAACAATTGAGGAGAGTAGCACGGAAACGACTTTGAAAGGTATTTTTGATATCTGATAGTGCTTCAAAAAGAACTTTTCTATTTAACTGATTGAAGTTTAAAATTCCCCAAAACACTAACAAATGCATGATCCATCTATCTTTTCCTTCTATTTTAGCATCAAAACGACAAGATGAAGATAGAGAAGAGAGTAAAAGCATCTCTGTAACTGTTAGCAGTATGCCAGATGACTTCGATAATTCTCTTGACGATATTACGTCAGAGTTTTCTATAGAGAAACCTGTTGACGAAGTTAAGAAAGACTGCACAACAATTTACATTTCTACTGCAAATTTCAAACCTGATAGTGATGAAGTCATGTCACTGCATGAAGGAGAAAGGGTTGAAATAAAAAATATTAACGAAAGTGATAAACTATGGCTTGTAAAGAAGTGGTTTAATACTAACTCTGGTCTTGTACCGTCAAAATATCTTCAAAGAAGACAAGATGTAGAGGATGCTGTTGACAAACAAATTCTAGCTTACGCAGAAAAGTTAGCAGTACCAGAAGAAACAGCTAAGCATAAAGGCTATCCTCAAGCAGCTCAAATTGTTAGACCTTTAAGTTCAGATAAGGTTAAAGACGGAGATTCAGTTTACCTTGAATGTTCTATCGTAGCTAACCCTGAACCAATTGTTGTTTGGTTTAAGGAAGGTGTTCTTTTGGAAGCCAGTCATGAGTTTGAACAAGTCTTTGACGGTACACTTTGTAAATTGATGATAAAAGAAGTTTACCCTGAAGATACAGGATTTTACGGAGTATTAATAAAAAATCAATACGGATATGACTTTAGTGCTGCTGAAATAATAGTTGTTGAACGTGGTGCAAGTACAGGTATTAGAGTTTGAATGTGCCTTAACTTCATCTTTTTCCCCGAAAAAAGCATATTTTTACAATTTCTGTTCGATTATGTGTAATAATTATTGCTATTTGTTTATTAGGAAAAGAACCAGTAGAAGAGAAAATTAAACCAACTATGAAAACTAAACCTAAGGCTCAAACTGCTGATGAAAACGCAGATGCAACATTTACGTGCACCATTCTATCCAAACCTAAACCAGAGGTAAGTGAATTTTAAGTATTTTGGCTGAATAATGTTTTAATGATTAAGTAAAATCATTTCTATTCTGTATATATACTTTATTATGTACGAATGTGTCTTTGCATTAAATTAGGCTACTTGGATCTTCGAAGACAAAACTATCACTTTATCCGATAAATATAAACCGGACATATCAGAAACAGCCGAAAATACTTATAAGGTGTGCTTGGCCATTAAAAAGATTCAACTATCAGATGCCGGAAGTTATAAACTTTTTGTTAAAAATACTGAAGGAGAATTAAAGAGTAGCGTGACTTTATTTGTGAACGGTTTGTTTAATTATTTAGAATTATTTAGCTCTTAACAAAAGTTTGGTGATTAATGTAGAACGAAAAGACTCCAAAGACCTTCGTTCTCAACTAAAAAAGAAGACCGAAAAGTAAGTAAATAGTTTGTGGTCCAATGTATAGTATAATTAATATTGTTTGGATTTGTTACCCCTTCCTTCGCATGAATAGAAACCCTCAGTTATCTAAAGACCAAGAACAAACAGATTTTCGTTCAGTTTTACGTAAAAGTTCAATGTGAGTGACTTTGAATGTTATATGTATTTATTATTTGCTATAACTATGCATATTACAATACTTTCTCCCGCTTTTCAATAATTTAACAAAAAGAGTAATGAACTGTAATACATTTTTAACTTGTCATGTCTTTATAATTGTCTTTTTTTTTTTACAGAAAAGAACCCAAGAAGAAGGAACCAGAGGTAAAGGGTGGTGAACAGCATGATTTTAGAAATGTCTTGCAAAAAAATAGTAGCGAGGTTAGGGTGTGTTTTATCTTTTCTAGTAAAATTCTTCCCAGAAGATATGCTATTTTATAAAGTCTTAAGCATGACTCCTACTTTTTTCCGTCAAAAAGGAAGAATGCAAATAAAATAAAATCTATTCAATTTTTTTCTCCATATTTTAATATGCAATTGTTTTCTTTTTTCTTCAATCTAACACATTTTGTTGTCAATTGCATGCAGATATCCGACAATCAAAAATCCAAGTTTGAAGTGAAACAACATGACTTTAGAAACCTTTTAAAAACTGTAGAGGTTGTTATTAACGGTCTTTTTCATTGAATGAGAAAGCCCCGTTGTTATACTGTATAAGTATTTATGTATTATTTAATTCAACTTGCAGAAGGAGCCAAAGGTTGAAATTTCATTGAAAGATAAAACCATTAAGGAAGGTGAGGAAGTGACTTTTATTTGTCAATTGTCTGGAAACCCTTTACCTGATGTTTCCTGGTATCGTGAAGATGAATTAATATTTTCTAATGATGTTTATAATATGTCCGATAATGGCCGAGGGTTGCATGCTTTAAAAATCGGACTTGCTTTGGCTGGAGATGACGGCGTTTATGAGATACGTGGCAGAAATAACCTCGGAACTGTTAAAAGTTCTGCTGTTTTACGTATAATAGGTTTGTCCCATTACTAAAACTAAATTAATAATATTTACCTTTACCCGTTTTCTTACTAAAAAAATAAGATATAAATGAATTTAAAGTTAAAATTGTTTGAATTAATACTTATATCTTGCTTGAGTAAGATGTAGTTCAAAAATAATTAACATAATCTTATTTTCTTTTCTTGTTTCATTTATAGACGAAGCGGCACTAGAAGAAAGTTCGGTAAGCTCTTCTGTCAGTTCTTATGATCCCAATCGCATTCAAACAGAAACATCGCATGACATATCCCGTAATGACAATTCTAAGCATGAAGATGACAATAGTTTTACTAACGAACCTTTAGCTATTCATGACAATGACATTATCCAGTCAAATATTGAAGATTTAGTTCCCATCGATGTCACCGATAACACACACACAGAAAATGACTCAGTCAGTTCATATGAAAAGGAGTACGAAACTGAGTCGTTTGAGCCAGGAACATTCACAAGAGATGATATTGAAGAGTTGGAAGAAGACGAAGCTGAAGCAGCAGATGAAGAACTCGTAAAAGAAACAATAGATGATACCAAAATAGAAACTGAATCGTCCAGTGGTTCAAGCGCAAAAGAATTATATGAGAATTTTGATGAGGGATCAGAAGAAAAGCCACCGTTTGATATATGTGAATCAACAAGTGAAAGTGAACCAGCAAGTTCTTATATAAAAGAATTACATGCAGAAACTACAGGGGCACCAACTGAATATCAATTATCCCCAGTTGAACTATCAAAAAAAGAGAAAAGTGGAAAGGATAAATCAGTCGAAATTTCTGATGTAAAGGTCATATAGAAAGGATTAAAATTAGTCTCTCTTAGCTCTTCTATCTTTCCTGTGTATATAAAATTTAAATATTAAAAGAAAAACATTCAACCTTCTTTTGCTTCAGACTTTCTTTAATAGAACCTGTTAAAAATATTATCCATCTTTACAGCTTCTTGATTATCCCACATCAATAAATGTGGAGCTTTTAATAGAAAGAACATCTCAAACTTGCGCCTTTGAAAGAGAAACCAATATTGTTTTTATAAAAGATACTAAGGTTACATTGTAGTAATATAGTTGTTAACCTTATGGTGTTTTTTTTTTACCTTGGAATATTTTACCCATAGTTGAAAAGTTTCTTTTATAATATTCAATATTTTGTTTCTGGATTTTTACCAGTTTTCTTATTTACCATACATTAAATTTCATTTTATTTTACCTGTTGTGTTTATTTTCTCAATATTTTACCTTTTATTAAAATATTTTCAAGAAAATAGTAAAAGTATCTCTCATATTTATTTATAAACTTATTTAACAACAGAAACCAAAGGAGGAACCAAAAAGTAAAGAACCATCAAAAGCTCCTGAACTATTAGAGCCACTCGTAGATAAAAAACTGCCAAAAACCGGTGAAGAAGTGAAATTGACTTGTAAGATAAGTGGATATCCTAAACCGGAAGTTAATTGGTTAGATTTTTTGTTAGATAATTATTAAATGGTGTTAAATTTATTACTATCGTGTTTATGTGTTTTAGGTACTCGTCTGGAATTCTTATTTCGGATACTAAAAAGTTTACTAGAACCGAAAAAGGGGATACTTATACACTTATTATTAAGGACGTTCAAGAAAGGGATTGCGTGGAGTATACAATAAATGCCAAAAATGAGGCTGGGGAAGTTAATTCCAGTTGCATCATAATTTTGCCTCAAGGTTTGTTAATGTGCCTGTAATAGCCTGTAAGCTGCAAAACTGATTGGCTTTATTTTCTATTAAAATTAATTTTAAGACCTTTTCCTAACTATGATTTTTTATACGTTTTCGTGCACTTTTTTCTGATGCATTATCCAAATACAACGCAACAATTTTTTATTTCAAGATTACTAAAAAAAAATATTTTTGTTCAAGTTGCTTGAATATTTTTTTTTTACCTTCGGTTCACGCGTGCACTTTTTGCTTTGATTTTTTTTTCTTTAACAGTCTCGTCGAGTGAAATTAAGCTTTTTCCTCCCATACTTTTCACCCGTATATATTGTATTTTTATATGCATCCCCAGCATATGTGAACAAAACCATTCTTTGTATCAAAAAAGAAAGGAAAAATCTTTGTCTCTACAAGGAAAAATGTTGAACAGGGATAGCTTAAAAAAATGCTTTAATCCGTGTATTATTTCGTTTTTATAAGATAATAATCAAATAATTAGTGTAGTTCAAAAAAAAAAATAAACAAACAGCACAAAAACATAAAATATACGGCACTCTATTAGACTCAAAACTGTTATCTTTATATTATGTTTTTCTCAAGCTAATCGGCTTTCTTCAACAAAAAATAGGCTTGGCTATAAAGGTGATTTTAGCCTAGTTATGTTATTTTTTTTTCTGGTAGTTATACTCTCAACCGTATATAGTATGCTATTGTTATTGCAAAGCTCTTTTAGGAAAGGAATTCAAAGTATTTTTGTTGTTGGTAAATTAAGGCTAATTTGCAATTGAAATTCATTACTTTTTTCGGTTGAAAATGATAGGTTTTTTTATTACTATACAAACTTACAATATATGGCTTTTTCTCTCTCTCTCTCTCTCTCTTTTTATGAAAGCGAATTGTTTAAATAGTTTTATAAACATTAAAGATAATTCTTCTTTCAGTAATTGAATTAAGCAAAAATCCTTTGAATAATCTTCTGTACAAAAGAGATATTCTTTTATCAGCTTCTTAGTTAAGTAATAAAACAGGAGGATTTGTATAACATAATTTTGAAATTTACATAGAAATATGTCATATAAATATTAAATATATTCTTAACCACTTTCCCCTTTTCGGATATTGTCACTTATCTTCTCAAAACATATATTTAATCTTTGAGCAAAATTTTCAAGTTGAATATTCTTGAACTTTAAAAAAACAAAGAAAACAAAAGGAAATAAGTTAAATACAAAAATAGATACTATAAAAAAGACAAGTAATGAATTATTAGCTATTTACAACTTGATTCAATAGTTGTATTGAATTTTAAAATAAAGCAAAAGAGATATACTCCTAGGGTTGATATATAATGGGGAATAATATCTTATTGAACATGTTTACAAGACATTATCGACTAGAAGGAAAACGGGTAGTTTCATCTTTTCCCTCTCTCCACAAAACATTTCAATAGAGTAATTGAAAAAGTTTATTATCATATATAGTAGACAGGTGTTAGAACTTACGTGCTATTTACTAATAATTATAGATTTTGATATAGAGTTTTATGAAGAGAAAAATAGATCATTAAGAAAGGTGTTAATGAAGGTACATATTTGCAAAACAGAGATTGTTTTTATGATCATATGTGCCAAAAGACTAATATAAATTTTTATTATATATAGATATAAGTTATATATATATATTTGAAATAGAGCCTTTGAATAAATTTCCTCTACTTTAATTATCTTTTAACGCCATCTATCAACTACGAAAAGGATGACTATTAAATGCACAAGAGAGAAAGAGAGAGCGAGGGGGAAAGAGATAGAGATAGGAAAGTAAAAAGTGAAAGAGAGAAGAGGAAGGGCGAAAGATCTATGTGTTAAAGTATTGCCATTGAATCAATTATATAATTATACAAAAGCAAAATGTAGTTGGCGCTGGCTGTATTATAAACAAATATTACGCAAATCAATAGCGGGGATACTGTTGTTTGAAGGAATGCAATAGCAGCATTAGAAATCTGCTGGAAGATGATTTCTTTTTTATCAAGTTAAATGACGACCCTAAAAAGAGGATAGTGAATATTTTAAGCAAACTTTGGCCATTCGCCAACCAATTTATTCAATCAATTCTAAAGCAAGTCTGGACACGGTAACATTTAGCAAGGATTAACTGAATATAGCTTTAAATCGTTGTGAAACAGTCTTAAGGCCATAAACGATCAATTTTCTTGGTGTAGTTTTGGATAGTTTTGTTTATGATATGGATAGTTTTGTATAAAGAAAATAACAAGTTTTAGTGTTTCATATTAAATAGCTACAAAAAAATATTAACCATTATATCTTCATCAAATGAGAAAACCTACGAAATAAGATGAAAATCTATTCAAATGATAAGAATGAAGTTTACATAATCAACAGTAGAATTCAGTAGTTTAGCATTTTTCCGTCGAAATCCGATAGTAAAGATAAATACTTTTTTCAATTTGGATATTATTCTCCTTTGACAATAAAATATTCATACTGCCAAAAAAAAAAATGTTAGTGGAAATGCGGATTGTTCATATACAAATTGCTTTAACGCACGACGTCGAAGAAATTTCAATTGAAAAATTAATTTATGGTTTGTTCCTATGGAATAATAATTCTTTTCTCTTCTTTTATATATACATATATATATAATTAATTGATTTTAATTAATTAATAAAATCCTTCCTCTTTGACATCTTCTACTTGTTTTTTTTTTTTTTTCTATTTGATTATATAATTTTTATTTATGCATAGAAGATACAGACGTTTTTCCTTTTGACGATACTTAATTTGCTTTTAATAATACTATGATTTCTTAATTAATATATTAATATATTTCGTTTATCCTTATTATTTTCCAGTCTCTTCCTCCCCTTTCCCTTTGTTTCCCCTTCCCCTCCCCCTTATCTATCTTTCATATTTTAGCCTCTGTAACCAGTTTTCTGCTATATTCTATACTATTCTAAATATATATCTATTTATATATTTACTCTCTACTAAGCGTAAAAATTGTTTTTCTTTCAATCCTTTAACAGAAACCAAAGAAAAAGGTTCAAGACCTGAATTTTTAGTTAAAATTAAAACAAGCCAGGTAGAAATAGGTCAAACTGCAGAATTTAATTGCAAAATTATTGGAACACCTACGCCCACTTTAACTTGGTTTTACAATGGTATGAGAATAGAAAATCAAGGACGATATCATTTCCTCTCGAAAGAAGAATTACAGGTAATTGACTATATTTCTACGCAAGAGTAATTTGAAATACTCAAAAATATTCCAACAACATTCAAGCGTATTTAAATGATACTTATCGAACTTTTTACCTTAAAAAGAGTTCGACGGTAATGGACTATTTTAAAGCTACTAACACTTAATTAATTTTCTACAATAGATCTTAGAAATCAATGACATTACTACAACTGATGCCGGCCAATATAAAGTTGTGGCAAAAAATCCATATGGAAAAGTTGAATGTTCAGCTAATTTGCAAGTTGAAGGTAAATTGAATTTGTTTTTTCCTTATTTTAATTGATTTAGAAGATTTTCCTTTAAGTTTAATAATTAAAAATGATATATTTAAATAAACTATTACTAAGATTTTTGCTTGTCTGTGAGTTTTTTTTTTCAATACTAATTTGCATGATTTAGCCCCGTCCAAAAAAACCGATCTTCAGCCTCCTAATTTCGTCGTCTCTATGGAAACGAAAAACGTCGTTAATGTTGGAGACAGAGTTAAGTTATACTGTTCGGCAGCTGGAATACCGAAACCAGATGTAGTGTGGTATAGAAGTGGCAAGCAGATAAGAGACGGCGACGAAGGCAGATTTACGATTAAATATGATGAAGAAAGCGAAAAAAATGTTTGTGGTACAACGTTAATCGTTCTAGATATTCTACCAACTTACGAAGGTAGATTTACAGCAGAAGCGATTAACGAAGTTGGAGTGGCTTATACAGATGCTGATTTGATTGTTAGCGATTGTAAGTTTGAAGTGAAAAAAAAAAAGAATGATCTCCTTTTATTATTGTATTGCTATCAAAACCTTTATTAACTCTCGTATATTATTAAAATTATAACTTTATTAATCCATCCCTTTTTTTTAAAAAAAAAAGACAAAACAAAAAAAAACTGTTAACTGTTAAAAAGAACTTTAACTTTTTTTTTTAACATTTTTCTTTAAATAACAGTTTCAGATAATATGACCGAAGATAGCTTGGAAGGTACTATATACTTCCTCCATCAGCTCATAAAAAAAGCAAATTATACTTAGATTATATAAATTTATATATATATATATAAATATATTTATATATATATTAACATAACGCTTTAGTTGGATTAAGTTGTCTTACTCAGCTTTCATAAATAATCCATCTTTTCAAAGAATTGAACGATTATTTATAAATAGTCTCTATATTTTTGCTATCTATTTTCTTTTATCGAACTTTAAATAAGCTTTATAATTCTTTTAAAGTTTGAAAGAAAACAAACACACCTATAATTAATATATGCAAAATAGTTGTATATATGATATATATTATACAATTTTAATAAATAGATATACAGTATATCTATATATGTATATAAAGTACACATAAGCTGTTTTGAATAGCATCTCTCATATTGAAAAAAACAGCTTAATATAGATTTATTAATGCTTTTAATATGCACAAATAAATCTTTTGGTGTTGGTTGTTTTATACTTGTTTATTATATATGATATCTCTCTATTTACAGTATTATCATTTAATAATAATCCGTTCTATTCAACATAACAGCTCCTACAAAAGTTAAAAAGGAGGAAGAAGCTAAACCACAATCACCTATGGTCCTTAAGCATCAAGATAAGAGTCAGGCACCAGAATTTATCCAAAAATTGGAGGACATTGTTTGTTTTTCTTTTTTTTTTGTTTATTAAAAGCCAATATTTTACTATTTCTATAATTTTTCGTATTTAGACAATCACCGAAAAAACAAAACTTGTTTTAACAACAAGAGTTACTGGAATACCTAGACCTAATCTTACTTGGTATATAGAAGAAGTTGAAATAAAGCAAACATTTAGAACGAAAATGACTTATACGGAAGATGTTGCAACTCTAACAATAAACAGTGTTGAAAAGAGACAAAAAGGATTATTCAAATGCGTTGCCAAAAATACAGCAGGTTCAGCTGAAACTGTCTGTTATGTTAACGTTGAAGGTTTGTTTATTCTTATATATATATATTTCCCTTCTTTGCTTATACAAATAGAAACCTATTTGACTTCCAACTTGCAAGAAAAATAGCTTTTAACCATAAAATAAGTTATAAGATAATCAATATATATAGTCTATATATATATATATATATATATATATGTAAATATATTATGTAGATTCAAAAGAAACGGTATCAGATGAAGAAGGTAAGAGATGTCGGATAAAATTAAAATATGAATCAGAATAAACAAAACTTTTCAATTCATTCGAAAATCTTGAATGAATGAAATATAAATTTTGAACAAAATTTTTGATAATTTTTCTTTATCATATTTCAACGTTTCTATTAGAGCTTTTTTTTTAATAGAAAACGTTGATAATTGATTTGGTTTTCTTATTTTGTCGTTCGTTTCTCTTTTTCTTTAAATATATTTTTAATAGATTTATAGTCTTATTAAATTTTTTAATCATAATTTAACGAAACAATTTAATAAGGGTTTTAATCCTATTCTATTAATTACATAGATATAAAAGAACCTCCTGAATTTACGAGACCCCTTGACGATAAAGAAGTAAGAGAAGGTCAAAGGGCAAGATTCGATTGTACGGTTTATGGATTACCTAAACCAGAATTTAAATGGTGTGTAGTCAATTTAAAAAGTTATTATTTATAACTAATGTTTTGTTTTGTTTTTTTAAAAAAACAAGGCTTCATAAAGGTGATGAAATATCGGAAAGTAATAGAATAAGAATGGAGTCGAAACACGTAAAAATATCGGACGAAACCAATTATACGCTGTTTATTGAAAAGACTACGGTTAATGATACTGGTAATATTTTAGCTGTTGCTAAAAATACTGCCGGAGAAGCTGAAAGTAAATGTGAATTGACTGTTCAAGGTAACTAATAAAGATACTTCATTACAATCTCTATAGTATTTATAGTATATTTATAGTGTTTTAATATGTTTTCTCTAATTCTAGTTAAATCCGAAATGCCTAAATTTTTAAAGAAACCAGATAATGTTGAATGCATGGAATTCGATGATATTTCTTTCAAGGCTACTGTTAGAGCAAAACCTGCTCCTGAAGTTGAATGGTTTAAATCGGATGAAAAATTAATTCCTTCTGATAGAATAGTCTATGAAAGTGAAGGTGAAGAATTTACTCTTATTATGAAAGAAGTAAAGAAGGAAGAAGCCGGTATGTTCTCTGTCAAAGCTACAAACGATCAAGGATCAATGAGCGCTTCTGCTAGACTTAAAGTAACAGGTACTTAGCTTGAAATATTTTACTGATATATGATATATACTGAAGATAGATATACAAATAATGACATTTAATTGTAACTTTTTAACTAATGTTCTTTAGCCGTAATCCCACCAAGGATTGTTAAGCCTCCTAAAGATACTATTGCACCTGAACAAGGGCCTGCCAAGTTCTCTTCTAAAATTACAGGCTTTCCAACACCCCAAGTACAATGGTAAATAACCAGAGATTAATCTCCTTTTTCAAACAAAATAAAACTCTGTTATTAACTTTTTGCTACATGTTAATTTAAGGTTTTTAGAGGGAACGCCATTGGTAGAAACCAAACAAATTCAAATGGAATTTGAACCAAAAACTAATATGTATCATTTAATTCTTACTGATGATCTTAAAGGAATGACTGGCACTGTTAAAGTTCTCGCTACCAACAAAGGTGGTAAAGACGAGAAAGAAGTTAGTCTTACAGTTACAGGAAGAGCTCCCTCCTTCATAGAGAAACCTTTGAAATGCACCGTCTTGGAAAGCGACACAGCCATCTTCTGCTGTAGAATAGATGGTGACCCCATACCAAAAGTACAATGGTCAAAAGGAAAATGGAGAAAGATGGAGAATACATCGACTACTAGGGTACATTACAAAGAGCCAACAGATCAATACGTTCTCGAAATAGATAATATTAAAAAGAAAGATGCGGGAACGTACACGGTTACTTTAACAAATGACTTTGGTGAGGAAACTACCTCAGTTACCCTAATTGTAACTGATAAACCAGAGGAAGCGGAAGATTGGAAGAGCTCCCTTAAGCATACTGAGGTAAAGGAAAAGGTAGATACAGAAGAGGAATATGATTGGAGAAATAAACTAAAGAAGGCTAAAGGAAATTTAGATGATGTAGAGGGAGAGGAACTTACATTCCAACTCAAAAAGGTTGAACAAACAGAACCTAAAGGTCAACTTAAAGAAGCCAAAATGGAAGTTGAAGAAACCCAAATGAAACCAACAACAATGAAATTTGAAAAGAGAGAACCTATAGAACTTTCCAAGAGAAAGGATCAAGATAAAAAAGAAAAGGCTCCAGTAGAAGAAGAAGCAATAGAAAAATCAAAATACCAAAGACAAAAGAAAGAACCAGCCGAACCTCAGGTTGAGGAGAAAGGATTTAAAATAGGAAAAGTGGAAGTAATAAAAATTTCTTTTCACTTAATTGACTTGATAAATTGCAAAAAAGTAACATTTTCTTTTTGTTTTCAGTATAAATTCATAAGAGAACTTACCGATCAGAAAGTGAAAGAAACGGACTTTGCAGAATTCGAATGCGAAGTTAATAAGCCAAAAATACCCGTTAGATGGCTTATTGAAGGTGTTGAAGTTGTTCCCAGTCCAAAATATCAAATTTTTGCTGAAGGAAAAATTCACAGATTAGCTATTAATAAAACAAAACCAGAAGACGAAGGTCAAGTTATGTGTGAATTTAAAAATCTAACAACAACCGCAAACCTCTACGTTATACGTGAGTATATTAATATCTTAATATCATAATTAGGAAAGAGAAAACTTTCCTATTGGTTAAGCTATTGATTACATAATAATAGAAATATATATATAATACTGTTAGTCTAATAGAAACGTTCTAAACAAAAATTATAATTAAGAAAAGTCTCTTTAATTTGCTTAATTAATTTATTCATTTATTTATTATAAAAATTTATATTAATTTGATTAATTTGCACAATTTTTGCACTGCTTTGTTCTTTTTGTTTTGTAAAAACACAGCCATCATACCTGAATTTACTCTAAACTTTAACGATGAAAGAGTTGTTGAACATGCCGACGCTACTTTTACTTGTAAATTGAATGAAGATCTCGAAATAGACTGGTTTCACAAAGGTCAACCAGTAAAGAAGAATGACAAAAAATACAAAATTATTGATAGTGGGGTTGAGAAGACTTTAATGATTACTGATTGTCTCAAAGGAGACGCGGATAAAGTAAAAGCAGTTTGCCGTAACGTCAGCTGTGAAGCCAACTTAACGGTTGAAGGTTTGTTGAAAAAAGTGTCGTCTACATTGTCATTCAGAGCGTCCATGTTCTCGTTACGTTTTTTGTATAGATATCTATATTGCTTGAAGTGCTTTAACAAAAATGTGATCATTTACGCTATAAGTTTCAACAAAAATCAGAACAATCAAATAGTCAAATAATCAATCAATTAATCAAATTTGCGCGTAAATTCTTCGGAAAAAATAAGGTCAAGTTCTGATAATGTTCGAGCGAAAATACCTCTTACTAAATGCATGTTCCTCTATTCAGTGTTTTTTTTTTCTTTACAGCCTTTTCAACTGAATTTTCAAAGCCGTTAGAAAATACGAATTGTCGAGAGAATTCAACGGCTGAAATAGTTTCTTATACTTATCATTATCATCCTCCTTCCTCCATTTTGTGGTTTATAGATTCAATTCCAGTTGTTGAATCTTCCAAATATGAAATTAATTCAGACGGTTTGAAACATACGTTAAAAATTCATCGAGTATCCAAAATGGACGAGGGTCAAATAACAGTATCGTGTAACGATGAGGAATCAACGGCTAAATTAACAGTCGATGGTCAGTATACCAGAAAGAATGAGAGTTATAAAAAATCCGTGACTATTAAACAACCAGAAATCATTCACGATAGCTTTAGTTGTCGATTACATAGAAATTCAAATATGTATAAATCAGCCCATTTCGATTGTTTTACTATTCAAACAAATAAGAAGAATTATCAATTAGAAAAGTTTGAAAATAGGTTAAATACTAATTATAATAACCAACCGAAAAACATGATTAAACAATCCTCATTTATTGGTAAAAGAATTAATAGAAAATTTCAATATTTATATATTTATGAAATTCCTAATTATCTTTTAACAAAGATGAAAAATATTAAACCAAAATCGGTTTTAGATTACTTATCAGTTGTTGGTAAAAGTAATAAATCTTGTCATTCGGATAGAATACCACCATGGAGAAAATGTACAAAATCAACTTATATTAGAGATAATAGTAAACAAATGATTTATCGTTTTGATCGAATTGAAAAAAAATCTTTTAAGAAAAAATTTCATAGGAAAAACTGTTTTTATTGGTTCGACTATTATCAAGGCTCTTCTCAACCTAAAATATACTTTAGGCCTATACCCGCTATTCGTAAAATTCGTTATGCTTTTTTCATTAATTGAGTAAATAAGTACTAGTCGTCAATCGTATACGTTTATACATGTAAGGCCGGAGGGATTATTTAATAATCTCTTAATTAATTATTCTTACTTTATTATATTCTAGTATGAACAATCTTTGAATTATTACTTTCTATTATTCTCCTAGTCATTCAGGTAGAAGAACCTTTTACCTTTAAGAAAAAAGTGTTTAAAATAAATTTAAAACGATTTTAAATTGAATTTTTTATTTATTGAGCAATTCTATTCAAATAAGATAAGTTTATTCTAAGCTATAAATCCTTTATATATAGAAAAATTAATGTTGGTTGGTTGGAATCCCTCTCTTTGGCAGATATCCTTCACTCTTTCTCTCTCTCTCTCTCTCTATTTCTTCATTTATCCCTTATTTACTCGTAGTTTTAGAGTTTAAACAAAAGGTCACGGTTTTGGTATGCATGAAAGTGAATAAAGAGAAATTTTTTCTTCTCACAATGGCAAAAAACTATTTCCCTCAGTACTTAACTTGGCTATTTTTCTAACATAACCTTCCCTAACGAAAAGCTTAAACCTAACAGACAATCCGGTGGAGGTGCTTTCAGTGTCTAAAAGTCTAAAAGTCCTACTGGGTTCACCCATAAGTTTAGACGTGGAAATTTCAACCCCGAGAAATGATTTAGAATGGTATAAGGGAGATAAAAAAATTGAAAAATGTCTCCCTAAATACGATATAGAAGCCTTTGGAATGGTTTGTCACACCCTACAAATTAGGGATGTTGACGAAACAGACGGAGGTGTTTATAGTGCCATTCTAAGTTCAGATGGCCAAGAACTATGTTCAATACAAGTGAATGTATTATCAGGTTCGTGCTATTGCAAGACAAAATAAAACTTCTCACTATCCCAAAAGCTCTCTCTATTATGATTTCAACAAAAACTCTCTATCCTAAGATAAAAGGAAAAGTACAAAGCAAACCTCCCTTCTAATGAAAAATATTTTTTTGCCAAACACATTATCTCTCTCTTTATCTCAATCTCTATTATATCTCTCTGTCTATCTCTCTCTTCATTTTGTTTATAATTTTTTATGTATTTTTTTTTCTGGTTTTTTTTTTGAACGAAATCCTTAAAATTTTCAGAGCACTACTAACCAAAAAAGCACAAAATTGTAAAAACAAACAAACTGTAAAAACAAACATATACTATATTGTACATAATCGATCACTTAAAAAGGTATTATATTAATTTAATGCACTGCAAAATTTTAATTTTATTCTTTATTCTTCTTTTTTTTTTATTTTTTGCCAAAAACAATTTACTCTTATATTTTTTTCGATAAGATTTATCTCTCTCCCTCTCTCTCTCTCTCTCTCTCTCTCTCTCATATTCAATTTACAGCTTCAATCTATTTATTACAATCTAAAAGACTCTCTCTTAATTATCTAATAATTTTATCCTCTATAATTTTTCCTCTCTTCCTGCTACTTCTCAATAATGCTTGGCACTTTCTCTCACTGAGGATGATTGATTAGGATGATAAGAACACTCTCGTTCGGAGTATTAGTCAATTTTTGATTTTCCATCTTGTACAGATGATTTGGATAAATCCCATTTGGATGAAACTTTTACTGATTCAGCTTATATGACCGCTCGACATTTTGAAACAAGTACTGATTTTACCGAATACTCGAATCTTTCGCCAGATGTTAGCTATGAAGCCGATGTGGCAGCGGCATCAATAGTCCCCGAAGTGGGAGATTTGGACTCAATTTCAGCTTTAGAATCTATATCCTCGGTCGATAGTCCTAGGGCAGAAGGAGGATTTGAAATGGCTCCTTTCGACACTGGTGGAGACTTAGAAACAATTCCGGAAGATGACGAAAGCAGATACACGTCTCCTGGAACCAGCGGTAGACGAAGTAGAGATGCTTTCGACATAGAAATTACAGAAACGTGTAATATTTACTCTCCTGGCGATGACAATCAAGCAGACAAGGAAATTCCACCAGAAATTTTTGAAAAGTTAATAACCGACTTAGCGTTTCCTGAAGAGAGAGAAATAGAACAACCAAATTTTGAATCTGTTACCAAAATGATGAAGAAGAAGAAAAAGAAAAAGAGAAGAGGTAGCGACAGTGATAGTGATTCTTCTTCTGAAGAAGAGTACACAGAATTAAAAGTATGTGAGAAAGTTCATAGCAATGTTCAATTTACGAAACTGCAGAAATCAAGCCCTGATCCCGATAGTCTTTCCGTAAGAGTTCCGCCATCCGAAGAAGACTTAAGTTCCAACTCTGTTGCTAATAATGCAGCGGACATTGAGTCAGCCTCAACTATTAGCACATCTTTCCTAGAACAATTAGAAAAGAAAAAAGCACCTTTCTTTGATACAACGAGTACGTCGGAAGACTCTAAGAATCTTTCAGAACAATCCGAAAGAGACGTCGCTTGGGGTGAAGCTAAAAAAGCCATAATACCGACCGAAAAGGCTTCCGAAATGATGTGGGATCCGGATAGAGACTACCTTCAAGTAGCTGATAGCTCTGAACAATTAAGACAGTTAGAGAGTAAAAAGTACATTGCAGACTTGGAACGTGAAACAGCATTAGCTAATGTTCGAATTCAGGATGTCGACGTAACTGAGGCATCTGAATTGAATTTAATGAAAACTCCTGAAAAGGCTGCTGAAAGTATTGGTGATTTAGGAGGAGAATGGTCGCAGGCCAAAGTTCAAAGTTTACCTACACATCAAATAGTTTCGAAAACTTTAGAAAAACGCACGAACTCTGCCGAACCAACTGTTCATATTTCAAAAAAGTCACTAGAATTAGCCGATGTTAGAGATGAGGAATGTCCAATAGCAGAAGTAACTGAATACGATAACGAGTGCGACATCAGAAGAGGAAGAAAAACTTTAGTTAAAAAAAAGCCTATGAATTCTTGGGCCGAAGTTAAAGTTCAAGATTATGAAATTATTGAATCACCCGATCAGATAAGTAAAAGGTCGGTAAAAACCGAACGAACATTCTTAGGAGAGCCTCCTCGTAGCGATGCAGTTGAAATTTTAGATAGAAATTATTACAATGATAATAAGAGAGGATACAGTAGTACTACTCCCTATGCGGAACAGCATTCTAATATTATTCCAACTGAAGAACTACAAGTCAAGTCACCGGACATGTCAGACATTCTAGTAAGTGAATCGTTGATAGAACAAGGAAACATTAATCCACACAAGTTCAAAGAAAATACTGAAATAACGGAGAGTGTCACTCAAAAGACTCCCGAAAATGTCTGGCCTATGGATTTAACAAATAATAACACTATATCATCAGATTCTAATTATGGCCCAAAAAGGGATATACTGACTACGAAGAAAGAGCGTGTACAGGTAACAGAAAGTATAGCCCATGTCAACATAGATGATTTAGAGGCTCAAATGCTGCAAGAGACAAATTCGTTAGAATACATCGATCAAGAAGTCACAATTAGCAAGTATCAGCATATGAATCAATTTTATGATGTTCCTACTATATCCGAGTCGGAGAGTACCGAAGAGGAGGATCGATCCGAAGGTATAAAAATTCAGGTCGAACCTAGAATTCGATTCCAAACGTCCAGAGATTTAACGAAAACTTGGACAAAATCAACTCACGGAGCAACTATGGAGAGTTTAGCTGATAGTTCAAGTGACGACTCGGAAAGTAGAAACGGCGAAAGAGATAAAGATAGAGAAAAGAGAAAAGTTATAGTCACCAAAAAGATTACCAAAGAAACGACAGAAGAAGCAGACGAGGTGAATAATTCGTCGGATAAAGGCAGAACAGCACATCCTTTCTCCTATTCGAGATTCGAGAGTTCGAATAGTGGAGAGTCGACAACACCGAAAAGTATTCTAAGGAAGAAGGTAAACAGATCGAATATTTCTGATTCTATCCACTCTGACTTTGTTAAAAGAGAGCACGATGTAAATGTCGCACATAGTGTTTCTAGTCCCAAAATGAACGATGAGTCAATTCGTCGAAACTGTGTAAGTTTCACCGATTCTGACACAAGTTCGGGGGATTCTATGAAATATTGGACATGCCAAACTTTTACTCTAGTAGACTTTTGGCAACAGGACTCTACCGACTCCAATTTACAAGCCAGCGGAATCCCCTACATTACAAATAATGTAAATATCTATAATAAACAAATAATAAGTAGAGGGGATCAAGCTGGAAGTAGAACATCTATTTTCGGACTACGAAACAATAGTACATTCTACGAGGATATATTAAAGAGAGAGGCGAGAAGAAAATTTTACGAAATTAGGCCTACAGTATGCAAGGAAACTTTAATTTGAGAGTGTTTAACCGAAAACAAGAAATCAAAGTAACCAAAAGTCATTTCTCTAATATTTCACTCTATTTTTTTTGGTTTTAAGTTTAGCACCACACAAGCAAACACTGAACCATCGTATATACAGTATATATGTATATATATATAAAATTTATATATACAGTATATATACATAAATGTAATCAAGAATTGAAGAGAGAAAAATAACATAAATTACAAAAATATAACCGTTATATTTTTTTTGTTTTTTTGTTTGCAGTGACCTAACGATCTCTCGTCCCTTCCCCCCATCCCATCCATACCCCAGTTCCGATTGGATGCTATACTGATCTATAAATAAAACTAACTATACAAAGACACTCACTATTTAAACAAAAAACAAACAAAACAAATAAATAAACTCTAAACTATACTGCAGTAAAAACTTAGAAAATACGAGCAACCTTCTGCAGGAACAGTATATGAATACATAAAGAAAAATCTCTTCTTGTATTGCCAATACTGTTACAGAGAAGATAAATTTAAATAATCTTAATTGACAATAATAATAAACACAAACTAACAAAAAGAATGGATAATTAGATGAAAGCTTGTTCTTTGATGCTAATATTTATATTGTACTAATTAGAATGTTCCTTGTTGAAGTTATTTTTTTTTTGTATCTATTAATACACTTTGAATATGATTCTTTTTTATATAAAATAAAAAATGGCTATAATTTATAATTGTCCCGGAAACACTTTCCCAAAATATTTAAAAGAAAAAGTTTTTTTTTTAAACAAAAAAGACAAAACTAATAAATAATGCATTGTTTTTCTTTCGTTTATATCACCCAGTTTGTCATGACCCACTCTTGGTTGATTTCAATATTATTTCCTAATTTTAACTGGTATCACTCTCTGGTAGCCAAACCTATTGAAAAGTATAAATAGAGTTGAAATGCATGTAATATATAAATTTTTACTTACCCAAGTATTGGGTTTGTTTTGTCTATGTAAAGGTGGATTTCTCTTTGAGAATCCCTTTAGTATGCTCCAATTAACAAATTTATCAGGATCGGTGTCGTCCTGAGAAGTTGACATTTGTGACTGAGATGCTCGGCTGCTAATACTACTGATAGTCGGTGCGTCTTGCCAGTGTCTCTTCCTAGTCATTGGTGCTTGAGTAAAGTGTCTGTAACTGTCTGTTTCGGATGAATCGTCATCTCTCGATGCGGCCAAACATCCGCAATAGTAGCAGCATAGTGCTACTCCTATAACTGACAGGATAATACCAACAACTCCCATGACAGACCCTAATATAATCTTCCAATCATCATTGGAGGTAGGCTCCGTTGTTGGTGGTATAGTTGTTGGTTGTTGATAACCAGAATTTGATAAGGAAACCGAAAATGGGTCTATCTGTAATAGTCCCAAATATTTAGAGCCATTTCTTCCAGGTTCCATGGAAGCAACTAGTTCATCCCGAACTTTTTGCGCCTTATCTCCAGACAAGTCATTATTAAGTTTAAGTTTATATTTCACAATTATCGAGTCTCCATCCTTAATAAATTGGAATGAATCGACACCTCTAAAATTTTGCCGTACCATAGAATTTTCAAAGAATTTCGTAAGCTATGCATAGAAATATTTTATCAATCAATGCTTATTAGAGCAAAAGTTAATATAACTTACCGATCTATAGGCTTCTGTAGTAAGATTTTTGTACAAGGATGAACCAACCACATTTAAATCTGGATCATAATTCCAGTTTAATACTCCTAGAGTTCCGTCAATGCTGTAGATAATATTATCGAATTGGCAATTAACTCCAGTAAATCCTTTAGCACAGGAACAAGAATACTTTAAACCCTCCAAATCGGTACAATTTCCGTTGTTTTGACAAGGTTTGTTCGTTAAACAAACGTTTATGTCATTTTCGCATCTTTTTCCCTCAAAACCTTCTGTACAATTACATTCAAAGTCGTCTAATTTGTCTATGCAATGACCACCGTTTTCGCAAGGTACTTTATTTTGTTTCTTTTCATATTCTAAACATTCGTCTGTTTTTGAACAATTTCCGTAAGCAAAATGGTAGCCAGGGTTACAGATACATTCGTAAGTTCCGTTTAAGTTGTTACAATTTCCATTGCCACATATGAATTTATTGTTGGCGCACTCGTCAATATCTTGATCGCAAGAACCACCAGTATAGCCAGGAGGACAATCAGAACAACCAGTAACTACGTTGCAATCCTGGGCATTTTTACATCTACAAATAAAAGCGCAATTCTCGCCCCAAGTACCAATTGGGCAAGTTTCACATGTTATTCCATCTTTACCTAACGAAAAACCAGCGTTACATTTACAATTGTAGCCGTCATTTGTGTTATGGCATGAAGCATTTGAATGGCATTTATGTAAATTTTCATCACATTCATTAATATCATCACAAGTTTTTCCGTTAGCGTTTAGTTTGTATCCATTTCTACAGGCGCATACTGTAGGGCTATTTGTAAAATTGCAGAAATGATCGCAATTTAAAGCATTGCATGTATCGCTGTCTGCAGAAAATGGAATTGAACAGTTATATTGGCCATCTAGAGTGTAGTTTGCCCCACAAGTACAGTTGTAACCAGGAGATTGATTAACGCAAATTTGCTGGCATTTATCCTTTTTCAATTGACACTCATCTAAGTCTTCGCATAAATTTGAAGCATTTTTAGTATAGTATTGAGGACAATTACACTCAAATGATCCGTCCAAGTTGACACACTGATCCTTAAATTGACAAGTATTTAATGTATCATTTGCGCATTCATCAACGTCTGTTTGAAAAGAGATTAAAGATTAACAATAATCTAGATACTACTTAGAAGTTTTTACAAAAAACTATATTTACCGACGCATTTCCCTTCTTTTTCATTTGCAGTATTTTTCATGAGTACTTGAAAACCTTGCGGACAATCACTGCAGTTGAAGCCTTTCTTATTAATTTTATGTATATCTGCTGGTAGATCAGTGCAAGTTTGTCCTTTAACTAACATACAGGGATCGTCTTGACAACCGTCGTAATCTAATTCGCAGTGATCCCCCTCATACTCTCTATCGCATCTACAGAATGTTTGATAGAACGAACTCGAAGCATTAAAACCTGGTAAAGCCCGGTCCCAATCGCAATCGCCATGATTTGAACAGTTACATAATTGAATATTAATTATCAATTCAGTAGAATTAGCTCCTTTAGAATCTTGAGCGGTAATCCTTAAATCACCGTCAAATTGGTCACTTACAACTGACCAAAATATCTCACCAGTTGATTTGTTCAAAATAGCCCCATCGGGTAGTTCACTACTGAAATATGTAATAGTGTCATTATCCCTATCCGAAGCGTTTATCTTCAAATAATACGAGTTGTTAACCATAACTTTCCATTCAATTGAATCGTCATCGTCATCGAAAACTGGAAGAGAATTAGCTTGACTATTTGAGTCTTTTACTAAATCTTTGACATAATTTTTAGTATTGTTGGCGAGCACTATGTTGTTTGTTAGATAGTAATCAACTTGACATTGATAATTGTCACCGCATTGAGCTGTCAATTCGTCTTTTACCTTTGTAGACAATGTTTTGTAAACTTCATCAAAGAAAACTGGTATAAACGTTTCTTTATCTTTATTGAAGAGCAAATGATCTTCATTATTACTCTTGTTGTAGTACAGAATTGAATCGGAAGAGAGTACAGACCAGCTTTTACCGTATTCAAAAGCTTCTCTTTCCGCAAGATTATCAGCTAAAACAGTTCCGTTTGGTAAGGTAAATTCGTTGTTAGAATTACCATCAAAAGTTCCAATGAGACCACTTAGATTCTCACTTAATAGAGTGTCGGGTAAAGAGGTCTGAAATTCTAACTGAGAGGCTTTTACCCTAACCGATAGGGATGCTCCATTCATTAGAGCAATTATTAAAGAATTATCAGCTCCTTTTGATAAAGTAACACCAAGATAAGTATACATTCCGGTCAAAGCAGCGTTATTCCACCAAGAATTAGCACCCAATTCACTATCATCATTCATAAAGATTGTTATATCTACAGTATAACAAATTTAAATAAATTAAAAAGAATTAATGATTTAAAAAGAACCTTGTCTATCCTCATTTAGAACAACCGTCACTCTTGAAGTATCTTTGTATTGAACAGCCACGGCACCAAATATTGTAGCGTCTACTTCTTTCTTTTCATTATTCCAAGCTTTAAGGGTTCTTACTTGAATTTTAAAATTGTCATTCTTTATCATCCAATACTCTCCGAGACCGTTAAATACGAACGATTTACCGTCTATTGTTTTAATATGAGGGTCTCCAACATTCCAATTCCAGAATGGAAATCTGTACCGTCTACAAGTGCTTTTCTTTCTAATTTTGTAATAGATTTTACATAGATCCTCGTCCAAACAACACGATCTTTTTGATGATAAATCCCATTCTTCGTGTAGATTAGTACTAACATAGGGATGAAAAGCCCAAAGAGAACCGCTGAGGTAATTTCTTCCAGAAAGAAGATTAGAATTCCATTGTTTATTCAAGTTATAGCAGCAATGTCTAATAGGCGAAGTAGTTATTTTAGCACCATTAACTTTAGAGCCAGAGAAAAAGGCTGGTAATACGGTAAAGTAGCATTCAACATTTTCATTCAAGTTAGAAGTATCTGGATCGCGAATAAATCGAAAATCAAGGATGGCTTGAATCCTAAATGATAAAATTTGCAGATACTTTTAATAATTAAGTTAAAATGTAACAATTAAAATTAACGAAACCTTGAACAAGGGCAGTGGCTTAATATCGAATCAGCTAAGTCTAAATCAGTTTTAAATTGACTTGAACGAGCTCTCCATTTCCTACACTCGTATTCCGCGTATGTCCTTTCACAATCCGGACTACTAACTCTTCTAATATATTTTCCTGGTAGGTCTATTGAAAATAACAAGGGTTTAAAGCGGAAGATGAAAGAAAGATAAATACTAGAAATATAGACTGTATGTTCACGAAAATAACTATTAATATAGAAAAGAAAATAAAAAAATGCTGATGAAATATATCTTCTTCTCTTAGACGTAGGAGGAAGGGAAGTATAAAGGAGAGAGTACTCTCATATTAGAAAGTATTGACTATTGTTTACTTAATATTTATTATCTATATAACCTAAATATAGATATTTATCATTCTTCTCTTGGTTTCTATTCCTTTCTCTTAACAGTGGTAATATTGTGACTGAAGGATTGGAATTTTATTTACATTAGACTTTCTAAAATTATTTAGATTATCTGTACTAAATTTTTAAACAAATAAAAAGTTCTTAGCGTATAGAAGGAATAAAGATTTGAGATTTTTATAGGGATTAACTCACTTGTATTGCCAAAAATATTCTTAAGATTAAAGGCTTGCTCATTTCCTGGTTCGGACGCCCAATGATTAAAAAATCCGTATTGAGTATCATCTACAGGTGGCGCCTGATATCCAATAGAAAATGATCTTTTAGTATTGGAATCCCAAGTATTGTTTCCCCAAGCTATAATTAAATAAGTTCGATACGTTTTTGTGTCGGTAGCTAAAACGGCTTGGAACGTATTAAAAGATCCTTTAGGGTAGTAATCCGAAAAGGGCCATGGAACCATTTTGTACCACGTAATAACAGCTACGTGAGACGGTTGAAAATCTCCCTGATCGACTACAGTAGTTTGAATATCCTTTTTTACCATATTGATAACTGCTGTCGTAGTGTCATCCGACGCTCCGTACAAAGGATCATCTTGATGATAAATATGATAGTATATGAGACTGCTATTCCTAATGGATGGATTGCTCTCGGTATCAGCCCAGAAAGGTGCTATAATAGCTAATTTAGATTTATTAGATAGAGGAAAGGCTTGAGGATACGGAGTTACGTAACGTTTGTTGAATGTTAATATTCCATTTGATCCAACAAATAGCCTTCTATAGATTTGACAATTAAGCATAAATCCTCTTTCTGCCCATACTCTTTTGGTTGCATCATCATCTTCCCCTTGGAAAGTTAGATCACTTGCAGCAGTTCCGTAAGGATAGAAATCGGGAACAAGCACTGAAAATGCATATTTTAATAAGTTAAAATGATGATTTTAGGGGATTTTGAGATTTAATAATATTTTCATAAACAAACAAATAAACAAACAAAAATCTGAATTTGTTTGATGTAATGTAAGAAATAAACTGATACAAACTTTTAGAGCAATCTGAACCTTGGAAGCCTGTTACGCATTTACAAATATGTCCACTTTCAGACGGATAGCAAGTTCCTCCGTATTGGCACTGAACATCGGTACAATTGTCAGGAACTTCCCCCGATTCTCCATCGGATAATTCTAATATATCCGATAAATCATCTCCCAAAATTAGAGGATCTAAGTTTAAGTCATTATCTAATTGAGCAAATCCAAGGAGAGCGAAAAAAACTATCACTTGTCGAATTGATGTCATTATTACGAGTTCCGCTGCAAGAATACAAATTGAGAATATAAGCTACCTCTTATATAGAATGCTATTTTTAAACTGGGGGCAACCACACCCCTAATCTCACGTTCGGTATATATGGACGGTCAAATAAGATATTAATTGGCCTATATAATTAGACAAACTAAAAGAAAAAGAAACCAGTGTACAAACATATTTTCATAATAGAAAGAAGAGAAAGAGAGAGACTTTTTTTTTAAATATTTAATGAATTGAAAAGGAAGAAACTTTACCTTTTCATTATGTCTATTTACTTTTGTTACTTAAAAAAATACGTTTTTATTATAATTAAAGCAAAAAGTAAAATATAAATAAAAGATTTAGACTATGAGCTATATTATTATAAAATATTAAAATAAGGATTTTAATACATGCTTAACTAATTCCACCAGGGTTAGGTTTAATGTGGGAGGCGAACTTTGATAAAGAAATGTAAAGGATTAAGTATAGAAGAAATAGAGATATATTTTTGCGTCTTTAGAAATACTTAGATAATTCTTTTTATCTTTTTTTTTTTCCTCATCTGCTGAGTTGACACTTTAGCTGAATTTTCTTTGTAGTTATTTTTCTGGTATTTAATGTTATTCAGATGGGGAATGCAAGTTCTTACCCCGCCTAGATTTTTGTCTTTTGTTATTGTATTACCAACTTAGAATCAAATGTTACGAAATTATCATTTCGTAACTTCTTTCGTGACGTGTGATTTATTGTGATTAAGGTGTTTTGTGTTAAAAATAGCTTTAGTACAATCTTTTAACGTGAAAATATAGGCTAAAAAGTAAGAACATAAGGAAGTACAATAGACAAAAGAAAGAGAAAAAGTATCTAAAAACGTTTAACAACACTCTTCCTTCCTTTCTCTCTCTCTCTCTATCTATCTATATCTCATAAAAAGGAAGATAAAAGTGTTTAAATACCACAATTTTCCACAAGTTACAAGTCAAGAAGGAGACTAAAGCTCTTTTTCCTAACTTCTCACAAGTAGTTTACTTCTTAAAAGATATAAAGTGAATGAATGTAAATCGAAACTGTTTAACTACACTTTTTTAAAAAAAATTGTCAACATTCTACAACATTCACGCCTCTCGGCACGCCTCTCGGCACGCCTATTTACCCAAGAATTTCCCAAATTTATAAAAATATTTGCTAAAAACGAAAAAGACTGGTACATAATTGAGATCTCTTCGTATAAGGATTGCTAGTAACTTTTTCTCTTCTTTTCTTTTTTTCTTTTTGTCTATTTTTAGCTTTTCCGTTGAATAGTGCCATTGTCTCGAACTTAGGCCAAGTGTATTGTTAATTCTTAGAAATGCGTCAGCGCATTCTTTATGATAAAAAGATATTAAAGGTTAATACGTTTGCAAATAAAAATAAAAATATAAATAATTCGATCACTTTTTTAATAACTTTAAATATAAATATTATTGATGTGAAATTGTTTGGAAATAATCTCTTTTTGTATGACACGGAATGTAAATTTGGTTCTTCCCCTTATGCATATAAAGATTGGAACGCTAGATTTCTCCTTTTAAGGCCTACACTAATTCAATAGATATTCAATAATGATCATATTGAGGGAAAGAAGATAGAATAGAGAGGTGGTTTTGTTTTTAATTTAATCTATTTTATTTAACGAATTATAATAAAATATATAACATAGTCAATTATTAAATTGATCTAAATTTTAGTCCTAGTTTCTCTCTCTCTTTCTCACTCTCAATTTGCACTTAAAAATCCTAAATCTACCACAAAACTTCGATTTATTTCTTTTCGCTTAGACTTGGTCAGTGACGTAAATCTTTTATTCCGTATTGAATAGTTTAGGATTTAGGACTAACACAGATAGATACATACATATATACACACACCTTTCACTTAAAAGATAGAAGGATTGATAAATAAATATGATCGTACAATAAAATAAACGGATATAGTCTATTTTATCACTTAACGCAAGTGGTTGAAAAGAATTTTTGACATTTGTAAAAAGATCAAGAGCCCATTATAATAAAAGACTATATAAAACTCAAAAACTGGTGTATTTCAAAGTGTACACTCTTGAGAAAATGCTTTATTAACAAATTTCTAATGTTCTTGATAAGAGAAAAACTTCTTACCTATATACATTTCTTTCTTTATATTTATAATCTTTATTGTTATTGTTGTTGTTGTTGTTGTTGTTATCAACTTATTAATTTGAGCTTTCTTTTTTAAAAAAACAATCCTTTCTTATTTTAGACGATAAACCAAAGTTTGTATCCGAATTGAAAACTGCCGAGTGCAATGTCGGAGAAACTGTTGTTTTGGAATGTGAAGTTTCCAAGGAGAATGAAACAATTAAATGGTACCGAAAGGGAAAGTTAATAAAACCAGGAAAAAGGTTAAGATATGAAATCGATGGAAAAGTCCACCGATTAATCATTAACGAAGCAAGTATGGCCGACGAAAGCGAATATACAGCAAAGTTAGGGACAGAGACTACTAGAGGAGCTGTCACCGTCCAAGGTATAATATTTGTAATCAAGCATTTGCATAGGCCAATAATAAACAAAAATCAACCGCTTAACCAGTCAACTATGCAGCATTAGATTATATTCCATTTGAATTTAATTGAAATTTAATAAGGTAAATTTGGGGCTGGTTTCAAACCAAGTTACTGGGTCATTTTTTAACTATTGTTAGCAATAATAATGTAATAGACGACCTCTAGAATATCAAAAGTTAACCATTATTATTTAATAATTCTATTTTCAATAAGGAAAGCGAAACTACTTATTGTATTTCCTTATTAATAGACTTTCAAAGTTATATATAGGCTTTTAATATGCATTCACTAAATAATCTATCTTATTCTTGTTAACACTTCTATAAGATAATTATGTTTTTTTTTGCATTAATTCCAGAATCTAATCTTACAATGGCTCTGCAAGATGAAACGGTTTCTGAATTTTCACCTCTTGTACTAAGTTTAACAACATCAAAAGTAGTTAAGAATGTTGAGTGGTTTAAGGACGATAAAAAACTGGCTGGAAAGAGATACGCTCAAAATTCCGATGGTAAACTTCATACTTTAACAATTAACGATGTAAGACGAGACGATGGTGGAATATACGTTGCTGTTGTTGAGGAAGAGAAAAAGTCTTGTCATGTTGTCGTTAATGGTAACGAATACTTAAATTAAAGATATTAAATATCAATGTTTAATTGGCTTGTTTTTTTTTTCTTTACTTATTTTTTAATAGAAGTTCCAATAATATTTACGAAATCATTGGAAGAAATAACTGTAACAGAATCTTCAGATATCATTCTATCGTGTGAAACTAATAAACCAGTTAAAACTCTTGAATGGTTTAAAGACGATACGCCAATCAAGAAAGGCGACAGATACGATATAACATCGGAAGATACAAACTTTACGCTAACAATTAAGGATAGCGTTTTATCCGATGCCGGAAAATATAAAGCTGTTGCTGACGATGACGTAGAAACAATTGCTAATTTACATTTAGATGGTACATCTTCATTTCTAAAATATTCATTCATTTATATCTTTTCATGTTAAATAGAACTTCCGGCTATATTCACTAAGGCTCTTCAAGAAATGAACATAATCGAAAAAGAACCAGTTACTTTAGAATGCGAAACCAATAAACCAACAAATAATGTTGAATGGTCTAAAGATGGCGAAAAATTAAAACCGTCTAAAAGACATAAACGCGTATCGAAAGGTAGGCGTCATTTGTTGCATATTTTAGATACTATTCCAGAAGACGAAGGTGAATACGAAGCTTCCGTTGGAAATGAGAAGACTAGTGCTAAATTGAATATTCAAGGTAGTGATTTATTTGGAGGATTAACGCTTTTTATATCTATAATGAATAATGATTTTTGTTTAGAATTATCTGCGGAATTTACAATTCCACTGGAAGATAAAACTATCACCGAGCACCAAGAAGTATCGCTTAATTGCGCTTTATCTAAACCTAATAAGGAAGTTGAATGGAAAAAAGATTCAATACCTTTAACAAATGATGACGACAACTATGAGATTACAACTGACGGTTGCGAGCATACGTTAACCATCAAAGATGCTACAATGGACTATAACGAAGCCAAATTTACCGTTCAATGCGGCGATAAATCAACTAGTGCTAATCTATATGTTGAAGAACTTCCGGCAGGTTTTAAATCGCCACTTTCTCCTCAATCGTGTACCGAAGAGGACACAATCGTACTCAGTTGCGAAACTGATAAAAATGTACCGGTTAAATGGTTCAAGAATGGAACAGAAATAACCGAAGGTCTTCGATACAAGATAACTCAAGAAGGGAATATCTGCTCTTTAACAATTAAAGATGCTAAACTATCAGATACCCACGACTACAAATGCGTAATCGTTAAAAGCGGAAATAGTTGCCGTGCACCTGTTGTAGTTAAAGGTAATGTTAATAGTATATTTTTTATTACATAAAGAAAATACACCTTTTTCCTTATTACAGAGAAACCAACTGAAGTTATTATACCTCTTCAAAATCAAATTTCTTTCGAAGAGGATACTGTTACATTTACATGCGAACTAAATAAACCAAATAAAACTGTTAGTTGGTTTAAGGATGATACAGAATTAACTGTTTCAAATAATGAATATTCAATAACGAACGATGAATTTACATATTCTCTTACCGTTCAAAAATGTTCAATGAACGATGGTGGAAATTATACAATGAGATGCGAAGAGGCCGAAACAAATGCTAATCTAACTGTTCAAGGTAGAATATAGTCATCATTAAATTCTGTCCAAAATCTCAATTCTATTAATTCTTTTCTTTTATAGAAAAACCAATTGAGATAACTATACCGCTAAAAGATAAGACAACAATGGAAAAAGAGACTATTAAATTAACAGTTAAAATTTCAAAACCATCCGAAAAAGGAAAATTCTATAAAAATGGAGAAGAGATAACCGTTTCTGAAAGATTTCAACTTGACAAGAGTCAAGATAATCAAGAGTTTACATTGACAATAGCAGATATAACTTTAGATGAAAATAACGCTACGTTTAGCTATAAAATAGAACAAGCTACAACTAGTTGTACAGTTGTTGTTAAAGGTTATTATTATTATCATTTGTTAGTAAAATATTTGACCTGATTTCCTTCTTTTAGAACTTCCGATAGAGATTATTAAAGAATTAAATAATATAGAAGCAATTGAAGAAGATACTGTTGAGTTTACATGTAAACTGTCTAAACCAAATAAACATAATGGTGTCTGGAAAAAAGATAATGATGTTATTAGTGCCGATGCTAAATTTAAAATTGACACTAACGAAGAAACGCAGAGTCTAACGGTTTCTTCCGTGACTTTGGATGATTTTGGCATTTATTCTTACTCTATTGAAAAGGTTTCAACAGAAGGAAGACTAATTGTTGAAGGTATAGTTCATATTATTTTGAACTTTCAGATAGCCTAAATAAGAATTGAAATGACAAAGAATGTAAACAAAAACAATAATTATTTCCCTTCCTTTTTCCAATTAAGAACTTCCACCTAAAATCATCGAACCTTTAAAGGATCAAACAACAACTGAGAAACAAACTGTTAAATTTACTTGTAAACTATCGAAACCTAATAAAAAAGTTATGTGGTTTAGAGATGGTAAAGAAATAGAAAAGAATGAAAGATATAGCTTCGAAATTGAAAATTGCTCCTATACAATGATCTTAAAGGATACAGTATTAGACGACGAAGCTCAATATTCCATGAAAATTTGTGATGAAGAGACTAGCTGCGTTCTAAGAGTTGATGGTAAAGTTTTATCTTATTTAGAATATTCTTTTAATGTTATCTAATGAAATATTTAAAATAAAAACTACAGAAGCGCCTGCTGAAATAATAAAGCCTTTGAGAGATATGAAGTGTAAAGAAGAAGAAACTGTAACTCTGGAATGTACATTATCTAAACCAAATCGTCAAGTCAATTGGTTCAAGGGTGAAACCCTAATTACGGCGAACGATAGAATTGAGATATCGTGTGATAACAACGTCTATTCGTTAACTATTAAAGATAGTATTCTCGAGGATAATGATACTTATAAGCTAACCGTTGAAGAAGTTAGTACAAGTTGTAAATTAACAGTTGAAGAACTGCCCTTAAGATTTATAAAAGAATTGGAAGATGTAGAAACTTACGAAGAAGAAACAGTTATATTTGAATGTATCATAAATAAATCAGATAGAAAGTCAATATGGAAGAAAGGCAATAAAGAAATTAAACCAACTGATAGAATACTAATCGAAACTGAAGGACCATCTCATAAACTAACAATAAATAAATGTGAACTAGACGATTCCGGTATTTTAAGATGTTTTATCGAAGATTTAAAAACGAAAGGAAAATTAAACGTTTCCGGTAAAAGATTTCTTATAATTTGAACAAAATAATTGTTTTTAACTCTTTTATTGTTTATTGGTTTTGTTTTTTTTTTACTAATTTTGAATAAAAATTGTTTTGAATTGAGTTTTATTAACACAAGTTTTTAATGAAAAACTCCCAACCAAGTCTTGCTTTTGAATGCTTGAAGTGAAAAGAGAATTTAGCATTTTTCAACCGTTATGATTTTAATCTTTTTATAGAAAAACCATTGGAAATAATTGAACATTTAAAAGATATTCAAACGAAGGAAAATGAAGAGATAACATTGTCTTGTACAGTTTCAAAACCAAATCAAAAACCAAAATGGAGAAGGAACGGTAAAGATATAAGAAAAGACGAAAGGTAATATACAATATGAAATATATATATATATATTGTATAGTTTATTAATAAAATTCTAATCAAAATAATCAGACATGCTCTTAAATCGGATGGACAAATTCATACTTTAACAATAAAAAATACAAATATGAATGATCACGAAGCTAAAATTGAAATTGCTTTTGATAAATTAACAAGCAATTCTAAAATATTTGTTGAAGGTTTCCATCTTTTCAATATTTTAAAGGATTAGAGTTTTCTAATAGATTTTCTTAAACAGAGGATCAACTAGAAATTATTAGACACTTGGAAGATCAACAAGTAGACAGTTTTGATAAGACTTGTCTATTTGAATGTGAATTTTCTAAGGAAATTCAAGTAGAATGGATGAAAAATAAACAAATTATTAAAAACACTAAAAAGTATGTTTTCTTCTATTTTATTATATTTTCTTCCTTTAATTAATGCATCTAATCTTTGTCTAAAAGATATGAAATATCCTCAAATAAAACCATTCATACTCTTAAAGTATCTAAAATCAATAATGAAGACGAAACTGAATATACCTGCTCAGCCAGAGGATTGTCAACTTCCGGTAAACTTGTAATAAAAATAGTTCCTCAGTTATTAGATGAAAACTATAAGAAAAAAGTTGTAACAAAGATTGGTTCAAAAGAAACAATAACTATACCTATAAGAGCCTATCCTGAACCAAATGTAATCGCTTATCTAGATGATAATGAATTAGATGAGGATAAGCGAAGAAAAATCTCATTGGTTGATGATAAATTAACTTTTGCTATTACTAAATGCGAGAGAGAAGATACGGGAATCTATAAAATTGTCATAAGGAATAATTATGGAGAAACAACAGCTGAAATTGACTTCACTGTTCTGGGTAAGATTTTTTTTACTATATAAACTGAGAAACCAAATCAACTCTCTAATAGATAAACCTTCACCTCCTATAAATCTATCTGTTTGCGATATAACTGCCGAAAGTGCTGTATTTAATTGGAATGAACCAGAAGACAATGGAGGTTCGCCAATCACTGGATATCGTATTGAAAAGAGAGTAAGTCTCTGTAAAGTAGGACAACTGTTCTATTAATTTTATAACAATTCTTAAAAATTGATTAGGAAATGTCCAGAAAAATGTGGAAAGAAGAAGCAAAACTAAAAGAAATGACTTTCAAATCAACAAAATTGATTAAGAATTCCACTTATACGTTTAGAGTGTATGCCATTAATGATATTGGTGAAAGCGAGCCAGCGGAACTTCCCGAACCATTCGTTGCTAAGGATCCATTTAGTAAGGACAGATTATATAAAAAAAATAACGTTGTTTTCTATGTAATTCTTTTCTAGATGTTCCCGGCAAACCGGATGCTCCAGTAGTATCTGACATCTTCTCAGAAAAATGCAAATTATCTTATAAACCTCCAGAAGATGATGGCGGAGCTGAAATTATTGGTTATGTTATTGAAAAGAAAACAAAATCGTCTTCAAGATGGATAAAAGTTAATAAAGATTTATGCTCAACATTAGAATATAATGTTACAGACTTGCTTGAAGGAGAAGAGTATCAGTTTAGAATTGCTGCTGAAAACAAGGCCGGTCTAGGACCATTTAGTGAACCATCTCAGCCTATTTTAGCAAAGAATCCATGGGACAAGCCAGGAAAACCCTCCAAACCAGAAGCTTCGAGTGTAAGCGGAACTTCAACAAACTTGGAATGGAAAGAACCTGAAAATGATGGAGGTGCTGACATTGTTGAGTACATTATGCAATTCAGAACGGAAAATAACCCCCAATGGAAAGATTATACTGATAAAACTCCAAACACGAAAACAAAGGCTAAAGGCTTAAAAGAAAATGAATCTTATCAATGGCGAGTGGCTGCTATCAATAGAGCTGGAAGAGGAAGCTTTTCTGAACCGTCTGATTATATACAAACAGTTGAGCCCGTTGTAGGTAATGCTCCTGATTTGAAATCAGGATTGGAAGATAAATTAGTCGTCGTCCCCAATTCAATAAAATTAACAGCCGAAATTCAAGGCGAACCTGAACCAAAAATTTCTTGGTACAAGGATTCAAAACCCGTATTCAGCGATCGGCTGATTACTGAATATGATGGTTCATGCGCTACACTTTCTATCGAAGAAACAGCAACAAGCGATGATGGAATATATAAAGTTCTCGCTACGAACAAATTAGGAGAAATTACTAGCGAAGGAAACCTTACAGTTCATACCGTACCTCATATTACAGCAGACGAATCTTTGAAAGAGATTATTATCAAAGCTGGAAAGACATGCCGAATTCCCATTACATACTCTGGAATACCAAAACCAACTGTACAATGGGTTCAAAATGACGAAGACAAAACCGAAAATGCTACAACAAATATTAAGGAACAAAAATCAGAACTAACACTGAAAAATTGTGAGGGTGGCAATTCTGGAACTTATACTGTTACCGCTGAAAATCAGCATGGTTCAGACTCTGCTTCTTTTGATCTAATCGTAAAAGATCGACCGTCACCTCCAAGGAATCTTCAACCAAAAGAAATTTATAATAACTTCATTGTTATACAATGGGATGAACCGGAAAGTGATGGCGGTGAACCTATTCAATCCTATACTATTCATAAAAGAGATGCTCAGAAACAAACTTGGATTAAAGTTGACAGCACTCAAGCAGATGTTCGACAAATTAAAATTACGAAACTTACTGAAAATCATTCATACTTTTTTAAAATTGTCGCCGAAAACTCTATTGGAATTTCAGAGCCGTGTGAAAATACCGAAGCAATTAAGGCTGAATTGCCATTCAAACCTCCTGGACCTCCAGAGAATTTGAACGCTTCTAATACATCAAAAACTTCAACGACATTGAAATGGGATGAGCCTAGCAATGACGGTGGATCACCAGTAAAAGGTTACTTTGTTGAGAGAATGTCATCATACAGTTCGAAATGGTCGAAAGTAAATCAAAAGTTAGTAAAAGAGAAAGAATTGAATATATCAGATTTGGAAGAAGGTGTAGAATATAAATTCCGTGTAATGGCTGAAAATGAAGCGGGACAAGGAGAACCGTGTGAACCAATCATACTTACTGCAAAAGATCCGTTTGGTAAGAACCAAATTTGATTACTAAAAACAAAATAAGATTGCTATTTGCTTTTTTTAACTGTTTCAGATAAACCTGGACCTCCTGAGTCTATTGAAGTTTCCGAAATGCAAGAGTCAGTCATGATTGTGCAATGGAAACCACCAAAGAATGACGGAGGTGCCGAAGTTACAAACTACATATTAGAAGTGAAAAGAAAGGACGGAAGATCATGGAAAAGAATTGGTAAAGATGATAACTTACTAGATTTGAAATACAAGTTTGCGGATTTGGAAGCCGATGTAGAATACGAATTCCGAGTTGCAGCTGAAAATAAAGCAGGCGTTGGAGATTATTCGAAGACTTCTAAACCTGTTAAATTTACGGAACCAATCAATTTTGCTACTCCTCTCGAAGATCAAACCGTTAGCGAATTTCCAGCAACAGCTTCTTTTGAATGTATTATAAGTAAATCAAATTTGAAAGCGAAATGGTTGAAAAATGGCAAAGAGCTTTCTAAAACCGATAAAAAATACAAAATGATTTCTAAAAACGGTACTCATCAGTTGCTCATTCAGGACGTTGAAGGAAAAGATGAAGGAGAGTATACAGTTGACTTTGAATCTGTTAGAAGTACAGCTAATCTCTATGTGAAAGGTAAATCAAAGCTAGAATGTGTTATAGTTTCTTTTTTATAAATTTTGAACTTTTTTTAGTTCCACCAACTTTTAAATTTGATAATTTCAAAGAAGAAATTATACTTAAAGTAGGACAGTCAACTGTTCTCGAATTTCCTTACGAAGCATATCCAACACCGGATGTTATATGGTCATTCAATGAAAATGAAATCGGTACTGATAGAATCCAATGTGAAACAATTACCAGAATGACTAGTCTGCGTCTTAAGAATGCGAAAAAGTCTGACGAAGGCATATTCAAAGCAATTCTTCGTAATCAATATGGCGAAGGATCTTGCAGCTTTTCAGTGAAAGTTTTGGGTAATTAACTAATTTCTAATACAGTTATAACTTCTTTTTATGAAACCTACAATATTGTATTTCTTCATAGATAAACCTGGACCGGTTGAAGAACTAACACCAAAAGATGTTGAAGCTACAGAAGTGACTCTATCATGGTCAGAACCCGAGTCCGACGGAGGTTCACCCATAACCAGATATAAAATTGAAAGACGAGATGTAAAGAGGACTTCCTGGAACAATGAAGTTTTCTCTACAGAACCGAAAATTTTAATAACCAAGTTAAAGGAGGGAAATTCGTATCTCTTCAGAGTTTGTGCTGAAAATTCAATTGGCTTTGGTCCGTGGACTGAAATACCCGAACCAGTGATTGCCAAAAGCAAGTATTCAGTACCCAGTCCACCTCTAAATCCAAGGGTACAAGAAATATTTAAGAGCGAGTGTCAAGTTGGCTGGGATGTACCTGAAAATGATGGAGGAAAACAGATAACAGGTTACATTCTTGAAAAACGAAAAACAAATAGCAAATTATGGATTAAGCACAAAGCTACCATAACTGATACTGAAGTCAAAATCTCTGAATTAGTAGAAGGAAGCGAATACGAATTTAGAATATTAGCTGAAAATGAAATAGGTACAAGTGAACCATCCGAATGTACTAAGCCTATAACAGCTGAGGATCCGTGGAAAAAGCCTTCCGCTCCTGGCAAACCAGATATTTCAAAAGTTAAAGGAAAATCCATGAATTTAGAATGGACTGCACCAGAATCGGATGGAGGGGCTAAAATAGATGAATATGTTCTAGAATATAGAACTGAAAGAGATATGTCTTGGAAGAGCTATAAAACAAAAGATACCTTGACAGAACTAAAAGCTATAGCTACTAACTTGAAAGAAAATGAATCTTATCAATGGAAAGCAGCTGCTGTTAATAAAGCTGGTCGTGGTCCTTTCGGGGAGCCATCTGATTTCATTAAGGCAGTCGAACCTGTAATTGGATCTGCACCAGAAATCAAGCCTTGCCTTGAAGATCAGACAATTGTATCACCCAATACCGCTACTTTTAAAACAAATATTGAAAGTAATCCCGAATCAAAAGTAACTTGGTACAAAGACGGTAGACTTTTACAAAACAGTACTACTGTATCAATATCATATGACGGATCCCTCGCCGAGTTAACTCTAAAGGATACCAAGGAAAAAGACGAAGGAACATATAAAGTATTAGCTGTAAATAAGATTGGTAAAAGCGAAAGTGAGGCAAATCTAGTCGTAGATGGTATGTATTCTTTTTAATTTCAATAGCATATGTTAGTAATAAATATATTTACAGCTTTGCCAAAAATATCCTTTAATGAAAAATTGAAGAATGTTTCTCTGAAAGTCAATCAAAAATTAAGAATTGAAACTCAGGTTGATGGAAAACCAAAGCCGACTCTCAAATGGCAAAAGGATGACACAATCCTCGATGAAGCTACTTCAAAAATTGCAATCGATAAAGTAAACCTCCAAGATAGCGGAGTATATAAATTAACAGCTGAGAATCAACACGGTTTAGACTCTGTTGAATTTACAATAACTATTAAAAATGTACCATCGCCTCCAAGAAATCTTCAACCAAAAGAAATTTATAATAACTTCATTGTTATACAATGGGATGAACCGGAAAGTGATGGCGGTGAACCTATTCAATCCTATACTATTCATAAAAGAGATGCTCAGAAACAAACTTGGATTAAAGTTGACAGCACTCAAGCAGATGTTCGACAAATTAAAATTACGAAACTTACTGAAAATCATTCATACTTTTTTAAAATTGTCGCCGAAAACTCTATTGGAATTTCAGAGCCGTGTGAAAATACCGAAGCAATTAAGGCTGAATTGCCATTCAAACCTCCTGGACCTCCAGAGAATTTGAACGCTTCTAATACATCAAAAACTTCAACGACATTGAAATGGGATGAGCCTAGCAATGACGGTGGATCACCCGTAAAAGGTTACTTTGTTGAGAGAATGTCATCATACAGTTCGAGATGGTCGAAAGTAAATCAAAAGTTAGTAAAAGAGAAAGAATTGAATATATCAGATTTGGAAGAAGGTGTAGAATATAAATTCCGTGTAATGGCTGAAAATGAAGCGGGACTAGGAGAACCGTGTGAACCAATCATACTTACTGCAAAAGATCCGTTTGGTATATATAAAAAAGATGCATATTTTATTGTTAAATGTATTAATAACTGTATGTTTTAGATTTACCATCAACTCCTGATAAGCCTTCCGTTACTGTCTTGGACAAACACTTTAAAGTAGACTGGGAACCAGTAAAGTCAGATGGAGGAGCTGAAATAATTAAATATGTTTTGGAGATGAGGGAAAAGGGTGAAAGAAAATGGACAAAACTGGGTGAAAATGAAAATCTTATGGAGAGAACTTACTCATTTTCCAATTTAAAAGAAGGAATTGAATACGAATTTAGAGTTGCCGCAGAAAATAAAGTCGGTACAAGTGATTTCTCAAAACCATCAGCAGCAGCAGTTTATGGTAATTTTTATTGTACATATCGACTATATTTCTACATTAATAGCGTTGACTAATTATTTCAGTGGAAAGTATAAATTTCATCACTCCGCTAGAAGATCAAACGGTTGAAAGCTTTCCATCGAATGCCACTTTTGAATGCTGTATATCCAAAGATGATCTTAAACCAAAGTGGTTTAAAGATGGTAAAGAGCTAAGAAAAAATGCTAAATACGATATGGTTAGCAAAAATGGTACTCATTCGTTAATAATCGAAGACGTTGATGGAAAAGATGACGGAAAGTACACTGTAAAGTTTGATGATGTGGAAACATCAGCAAAACTAAAAGTTGCAGGTATATAATTTATATTAAGTATTATTTACAGTTGATAAATTATGAGAAATCTTTCTTTAGTACCGCCTACATTCAATACAAAAGATACACAAGATGAAATTAAACTAAAAGTCGGACAGGCTACTGTAATCGAATTCCCTTATTCGGCTTATCCTAAACCCAAGGTTTCCTGGACATTTAAAGATAAACGCATCGAAGATACAAGAATACAGACAGAAACAATATCAAATATGACCGTTTTAAGATTGCAAAAAGCAAAGAAAACTGATGATGGAATATTCAAAGTTCATATTGAAAATGACTACGGCGAATGTTCCCTAACCGTTAAAGTTATCATTTTAGGTAAGAATATTACTATAACTCTACTTTATAGAAAAGTAAACACTATCTCTATTCTTTAGATAAACCTGGGCCAGTTGAAAATTTAAAGGTAACTACTGTTGATTCATCAGAGGTAGGTTTAGTCTGGGCTGAACCAAATTTTGATGGTGGATGCGAAATTGAAGAATATATTATTGAAAAAAGAGAAATTAAGAGGTCTTGGACCAGTGAAACGAAAACTGAAAAGTTAAATTGTGTTGTTAAAAATTTGAATGAAGGAAAGACATACAATTTTAGAGTAGCGGCAACAAATGAAGTTGGTACTGGAGAATGGACAGAGTTAAGAGAGCCAGTTACTCCTAAAAGCAAATTTAGTAAGTTTTCTTAATTTATTTATAGCTTCTGCCAAAAAAAAGATTCTAAATTAAAATTTTCCAACGTAACAGATGTTCCTTCTCCTCCAAGAGAGATAAAGATTACAGAGTTTTCTAAGGACAGTTGTGTACTTACATGGATAGAACCTGAAAGCGATGGTGGAAAACCAATTACTGGATATTACATTGAAAAACGACAAACTTCAAGTAAATTATGGATCAAAGTCAACAAACAAGCTGTTACAGAAACTACGACTTCCGTTATGGAACTTATTGAAGATAATGAATATGTCTTTAGAGTTGTAGCCGAAAACGAAGTTGGTTTAAGCGAACCAAGTTCCGTCAGTGAACCAGCAACAGCTAAATCTCCTTACGGTTAGTAATTTAGAAAGGTATTCTGTGATATCTAATAATGGTCTATGACAATAAATTGTAGATAAACCAGACAAGCCAGGAAAACCAATTGCTTCAAACTTGAAAAAGAATAGCGTAAAATTAAATTGGAATGAACCAGAAAATGATGGTGGTAACGAGATATTTAACTATGTTCTTGAAATGAGAAAAGACGGCGATTTTAAATGGAAGAAAGTTACCGAAGAGACTATTAAAAGTACTGAATTCAATGTTAAAGGTCTTAAAGAAAATGAAAAGTACGAATTTAGAGTAGCTGCCGAAAATATGGCAGGTGTAGGTCAATTTTCAGATTTAAGTGATCTAATTCTTATAAAAGAAAAGATAGGTAAGTAAAATTGAATAGTAAGGAATAAAAGACCAACTATAACTAAAAACTACTAATAACAGTCGGACAAGAACCTAAAATACTTCAAAACCTGGAAGATCAAATAGCAAATCAATCGGAAGCTGTATCTCTCGAATGCAAAATTGACATTGGTGAACCAAAGAGTAAAGTAAAATTCTTTAAAGATGGTAGAGAAATAATAGAATCAAGCAAATATACAATTGCTTCCGTTGAAGAGACAATTACTCTTAAAATCAACAATGTAGAAATGAAGGATGAAGGCACTTATAAAGTTGAAGCTATGAATAAACTTGGCAAAGTGGAAAGTAGCTGTAGTCTTACAGTTTATCGTAAGTCTTTTCACAATTCTATTGCTTCTATCTAACTTGTTCTGTTTTTACTTATTTGTACGTTTTTCTCTTAGTTCCTCCAAATATCTCTTATGATGATAAATTCAAAGGCAAACTCATACAAAAAGCTGAAACAACATTTACTTTTAATTGTCAAATTACTGGTAAACCTAAACCAGAAATTTCTCTTTTGAAAAATGATGAGGATTGTGAATTAACTGTTGAAATGATTAATGAAAGTGGAAAACTTTATATAAAGAAACTTCAATCAAAGGATACGGGAGATTATAAAATCTGTGCGAAAAATATTGCTGGAGAAGCTGAAGCTACTATTCAACTTCATATATTAGGTTTGCTATTTTATTAAGACTTTGTAAAATGGAATATATATATAAACATAAGATATTTCAATTCTAAATAGATAAACCATCTCCACCGAGAAATCTACATGCCACCGAAATTTATAAGGATTACATAAGTGTTGAATGGGAGCAACCGGAATCTGATGGAGGTTCTGAAATAACGAAATATAGCCTTGAAAGAAAAGATGAGAAACGTAATAGATATGTAACGTGCGGAGATACTGATGCCACAACTCTTAAATGCAAGATTACCAAATTGATCGAAGGAAATTTGTATTCGTTTAGAGTTTTTGCTCACAATGACGTAGGGTGTAGTAACCCCTGCGAAACAGAAGATCCAATCAAGGCTCGTCTACCATTTGGTAAGCTTACAATCTAATGCAATCCTATCATTAAAATTAATCTTTATGCATTTCTCTCAGATCCTCCTAATCCCCCAAGAAACTTGCGTAGTTCTGAAATTACGAAGAGTTCCGCAACTGTACAATTTGATGTACCAGACTACGATGGAGGCTCACCAATAACAGGCTATTACCTTGAGAAAAAATCCGGAACTAGATGGGTTAAAGTAAATAAGAAATCGATAATGGAAATGAAATTTGAGATTAAGGATCTAATCGAAAATGAAACTTTTGAAGTAAGAGCCTTAGCTGAAAATAACGCAGGCATCTCTAAACCATCCCAAACGCTTGAATTCGTTGCAAAAAATCCGTTTGATGTTCCTGGACCGCCTGAAAATGTCAGAATAGATGAAATCTCTGAAACATGTCAATTACTTTGGGACGAACCTAAGAATGATGGTGGTGCTAAAGTTGAATATTATACGATAGAGAGCAGACTACAAGGGGAAATTTCATGGAAAAGCGTAACAAAGAAAGTTGTAGAGAAAACCACTGAGATTAATCTAGAAGAATATAAAGAATACGAATTTAGAGTATGTGCAACAAATAAAGCCGGAAGTGGAAATTTCTCAAAAATCCTTAGTAGTATTAAATACAGTAATTATCTCAATATAAATAATGAATATTCAATAGATTAATTATATCGTTTTTTTTAGTACCAAAAATAGATTTCGTTGTTCCTATTGAAGATGTTACTGTTGAAAAATTGGGTGGAGCTGGAACGTTTGTATGTGAAGTAACAAGGGAAAATCTTAAACCTGAATGGTTCTTTAATAAGAAGAAAATTAATAGAAAATCAGACAAATTTGAAATAACTAGCACAAATGGAAGACATAGTCTTAAAATAAACGACTGTATTGGAGAAGACGAAGGAACTTATTCCGTTAAATTCCCAGATTTTGATGAATGTTCTGCAAAGCTATTTGTTAAAGTTCCGCCAAAATTCAATATGGAATCAATAGAACAGAATATTACACTACATGCTGGAAAATCGCATGTTGTTGAATTTCCATTCGAATCTTATCCAGCACCGGAAGTTACATGGAAACTAAATGGGTAAATAATCAATAGTTTCTTTTTTTAAGAAAGTTCTCTTCTAATTTAGTAAATAACTAATTGAATATCTACAGCTCTAGAATTACTGAAAAACGTATTCAAACGGAAACTATTCATAGTATGACAGTTTTAAGAATGGCTAAAGTTCAAAGGAAAGATAGTGGAAAATATACTGTAAAGATTAGCAATAATTATGGTGAAACTGAATTAACCGTTAAAGTTACAGTTCTTGGTAAATAGAAAATAACAATGACCTATTTTTATTTTTAATTTTATTGCGTAATAACTACAGATAAACCTGATAAACCTAATAACTTTCATGTAAAATCATATACTGAGGATTCAGTTAGCCTACAATGGTCCGAACCCGACGACAACGGTAATATTACATTTACATAATAAGAATTCTAATAAGAACTCTGATAAACCTTAACTTTTCCTTTGTTTTAGGTGGATGCATCATCAATTCGTATATCCTTGAAAAGCGTGAAGTCTCTAAAAGAACATGGACTAAAGTGGATGATGTAGAAGATGTCGAATACGATGTTGATGATTTAAAAGAGGGTACTACCTATCAATTTAGAGTAGCTGCCGAAAACGATGTAGGCATGGGTGAATTTGTAGAATTACCAAAGCCAATTACTCCAAAAACTCAGAAAGGTAATAATAAATTCCTTCTAGAATTTCTATATGAATATTTTATCAATACATTCCTCTAGAAAAACCATCTCCGCCAAGAAATCCAACAGTTAATGAACAACGAAAGACTCATATTAAAATTTCATGGGAGGTTCCAGAAAGTGATGGCGGAAGTGAACTACTAGGATATTATGTTGAACGTAAAACTTCATCGAGTGCCAGATGGATAAGATGTAATAAAACTCCGCAGGCTGAACTCGAAATGACTTTCTCAGATGTTATTGAATCTACCGAGTATATATTTAAGATAGTAGCTGTTAACAAAGTTGGAGAGAGTGAACCTGTTGAAACGCAACCAATTATTGCCAAAGATCCATGGGATAAACCGGGAAAGCCTAATCCCCCAAAAGTATCCAATATAAAAGATACTTCTGTGAAACTTAACTGGGAGGCACCGGACAACGGAGGAAGCGAAATTACAAATTATGTTCTGGAAATGAGAGCTGAAGAAACGATAGGATGGACCTTGGTTACTAAAAACAATATTAGAGATGTATGCTTTGATGTCAGGAAGTTGAAAACTAAGGATCTCTACGAATTTAGAGTTGCAGCCGAAAACTGCGCAGGACAAGGACCATTCTCTGATCCTTCTTCGCCAGTGAAAGTTGAAGAAAAATTAGGTTTGCTTAAAGATTTCCTATTTGTTTAGTTAAAAAGTAACCTTTTTTAAATATTTCAGTTGGAACTGGTCCAAAGATTGTAAGCGACTTGTCCAATGTAACGAAAACCAGCCCAAACAAAGTGATCTTGGAATGTTCCGTCGATCTTGGTGAGCCTGAGGCTAAAGTATCATGGTTCCTCGAGGAGAGAGAACTTAGCGTTGGAGATAAATTTGAGATTCTGCAGAAGGTTGATACTAAAATTTGAATAATTTTCAATATTTTAACATATACGCTATTAATTAATCAGGGTCAACTAGCTGCATTGGTAATAAACAATTCGACGATAAAAGATACTGGAGTTTATAAAATAGTTGCAAAGAATAAAATAGGAATTGCCGAAAGTGATTGTTCAGTAACGATTAATGGTAAATTGTTTAAAGTTATTTAAATGAAATAATTGACAATTAATTCATGCTTTTAAACTAATAGATACACCAAAATTGTCATGGATTAATGAACCAGACTTAAGGAATTTGAAAGCTGGACAAAGCGTTAATCTCTCAGCGAATTTTACTGGAACTCCACAACCAAATATCTCTTGGTTTATAAACAACGATATTCTAGAAATTAATGAAAATACCAGAATAGAAGTAAAAGATTCAGTGACAAATTTGTCATTGAAAAATATCAATGGGAAGTACTCTGGTAAATTAGGAGTTATGGCTGAAAATGTCGTAGGAAAGGAGGAGATTGACACCGAAATTATGGTTAAAGGTAATAATCGATGGTTTTCTATTTGATACTAATTTGCACAGAGCTTTATTTACTTTCAATCTACCAATTAGATATACCATCTCCACCTCAAAATTTAACTGTCAAAGAGATTAACAAGGATTATGCAATAATCAAATGGACCAAACCCCAGACTGATGGAGGAAGTCCAATCGTCTCATACAAAATTGATAAAAAAGACATAACAAAGACGACTTTCATGAACTCTGGAAATGTTTCTGAAGATTCATTTGAACATAAAGTAACAAAACTGATTGAAGGACACGAGTATCTATTTAGAGTTGTGGCTGAAAATGCTGTTGGTGATAGTGAGCCAGCTCTTATAACTGAGCCTGTAAAGGCTAGATTGCCATTTGGTTAGTTGAACTTGCCTAAATTAATACAAAAAAATATCTAATCGAGTTTAAATCTATAGATCCACCAAATCCTCCAAGGAACTTGAAAGTCAAAGACATTACTTGTAACGGATGCCAGTTGACTTTTGAGGAACCAAGCTTTGATGGAGGTTCTCCCATTACAGGCTACTATATTGAATATCTAGCTGGTAACCGATGGATTAAAGTAAATAGGACTCCTATTAAAACGTTGGAATACGTTATCAAAGACCTGATTGAGGGTGAAACTTATGCGTATCGAGTAATAGCTGAGAATAAAGCAGGTTTAAGCAAACCGTCTGAAGAATGTAAAGAGTTCGTTGCTAAAGATCCTTACACAGTTCCTGGAAAACCAGGACGACCCGATATAGTAGAATTACAAGCAACTTCCACCGATTTAACATGGACAGAACCCGAAAGTGATGGTGGAGCCACCATATCAAATTTCGTTGTCGAATATAGGTTAATAAAGATTGCATAAGTATAAGTATATTGCATAATAATTAACTTTCATGTTTCACAGAGAAACTACAATGAGAAAATGGAAAGTGGCAAATAAAGATATCATAGTATCAGTTAAAAATTTCTCTGTGGTTGGTCTAGAAGAAGGAGTTGAGTATGAATTCAGAGTCACAGCAGAGAATAAGGCTGGCTGTGGTACTCCATCCGACCCAAGTAGAGCAGTTAAATACGGTAAATACTACAAAGCTTAGAAATTAGTCTTTCTAGATTTATTTACCAATAATTATCTATTTTTCAGTTGAACCAATTATTTTCACTAAAGACCTACCAAATTTAAAATTGAACAAGTTGAACGAAACAGTTGAACTTGATTGTGAAATTTCACGTAGTGATCTGAAATTACAATGGTTTAAAGATGAAACACGACTAACAAAAAGTGACAAATACGAATTTAAATCTCAAGGAAAAGTTCATAAATTAATAATTAATGACGTCACTGAAAAAGTAAGTCTAATCTAAGAGATAGTTTTTATTCTCTTTTTTCGATACTATAATAATTTTATAACTAGGATTCGGGCGATTATTCTGCCACGTATGATAAAGCATATACTTCAGGATCGATCGAAATTCATGGTATTTATAATCGGCTTCTATTGTTTATGATTTATTATATATAAAATATTTTTTGTATTATAGTTCCGCCATCATTTAAGGAACACGCATACGGCGATCAGATAATTCTGAATGTTGGCCAAAGTTCAGTTATTGAAATTCCATTTGTAGCTTGGCCTAAGGCTGATGTTGCATGGAAATATAAGAATGGAAAACTACCAGATGCAAGAAGATTTAAAGTTGATACTATTCACGGAATGACATCATTAAATCTATCGAAAGCAAAGAAAACTGATGCTGGATTGTATAGTATTACTATTGAAAACTTGTTGGGTAAGGAAACCCTTAGTATTGAAATTTTGGTCTTAGGTAAGATATTATTTCGAAATAATTGAAAATTCAAAAGATCTTTAATTTGTTTATTATTATAATCTAGATAAACCTGGAAAAGTACAAAATTTGGCTGTTCAAGCAACAACTGAAAATTCAATCACGCTCGAGTGGGAAGATCCAGAAGACGATGGTGGTTGCCTAATTACTGAATTCGTTTTAGAGAAGAGAGAAACTTCAAAACGCAACTGGGAAACAGTTGGGAATTCTACAGTTTTGGAGTATGAAATTGAAAATTTAACCGAAGGCAAAAACTATACATTCAGAGTAGCTGCCGTAAATCAAGTAGGAACGGGAGAGTTCTCCGAATTAGATAAGAGTGTTCAAGCCAAGATTCAAGCAGGTATATTGCATTATAATTAAAACTCTGACAGGTCATAAACATGTGTTCTTTTCTTGAAGATGTCCCAAGTCCTCCTTTTAAACCAGAAATATCCGATATCAGATCCAATTCTTGTAAACTTTCATGGGATAAACCAGATAATGATGGTGGTTCTCCAATTACTGGCTATATGGTTGAGAGAGTTGCTAGAGGATCATCCAGATGGTTAAAAATAACAAAATCTCCTGTTGAGGTATACTATTTATCTAAATTTCGAAAAATAATGAAAAGTTAATACGTTCTTAATCCTTTCTTTAATTAGGAGACATCTTTCTCAGTTGAGGATTTAGTGGAAGATACTGAATATTCTTTTAGAGTAATTGCATTAAATAAAATAGGTCAGAGCGAACCTGGAAAACAATCCGATACGATACTTGCGAAAGATCCTTGGTGTAAGCTATATATTTTATTACTTTTAAATACTTTTATTCTAAGGATCTTTAACAATATATTATTAAATTTACAGCGAAACCTGGTAAACCAGAACCCCCTAAAGTTTCAAACATTAAAGATACATCTGTATCTTTATCATGGAAACCTCCAGAGGACGATGGTGGTTCAGAGATTACGAATTATGTTATTGAATCTCGATTAGAAGGCGCATTCAAATGGAAAAAAATAACAACGCGCACAATAACAGAATTATTCTACGAAGTGAAACAATTAAACACTAAAGACGTCTACGAATTTAGAATAGCTGCTGAAAATATGGCTGGTGTTGGTCCATTTTCAGAACCATGTCAACCAGTTCTTATTAAAAAACCATTAGGTAAGTTTTTATAGTTGTATATCTTGCTGTAGGTTAACAATATTTCGTATTTAGATGGAGCGCCACCTAAGCTCTTACAACCCCTTATGGATATGGTAGTTATTGCTCCAGAAGAAGTTCATCTCGAATGCGAATTTGATGTTGGTAAACCTCCAGCAAATATAACCTGGTTTAAAGACAATCGTCAAATACAAAAGAGTAGTAGCTATAAGGAAAGCTTTAATGACAAACTGGCTGTGCTCTACATCAAAAAAACAGAAGCTTCTTATACAGGAAAATACAGTTGTGAAGCTTTGAATAAGCATGGTAAAATTTCTACTGAATGCTTTTTGGAAGTTCAATGTCCTCCAAAACTTACTGTTGAAAAAGACGAATACATTGCAAAGGAAGGTTCCTCATTAAAAATCAGAGTTAATTATTCGGGTATTCCCCAACCATCATTAAAATGGCAACATAACAACAATGATATTCTCAGAGATATAACAAGTGATGGAAAAATAACTGAATTAAGTTTAACAGATATTAACCAGGAAAATACCGGACAATATACAGTACAAGCGAAAAATGAAGTAGGAGAATATAAAGTTGAATTTAAAGTTAAAGTTCTGGGCAAACCTTCAGAACCTCTAGATTTAGAGGTTCAAGAGGTTAATAAGAGCTATGTTGTACTGGTGTGGAGAGCACCGAAATCGAATGGTGGCTCTAATATTCAGAAATATATTATAGAAAAAGCAGATTCTACTAGACTCAGCTTTACAACAGCTGGAAGTACCGAAGATTTAGTATTCAAAGTTGGTAAACTACACGAAGGTAATGAATATAACTTCAGAGTCGCAGCTGAGAATGAAGTTGGAGTTGGAACTTATGCAAAATTGAACGATATCAAAGCAAGATTGCCTTTTGGTAAGAATTTTCTTAAACTGTATACTTTTTGTAATGTTTTTTTTCATTATATTCTTCTTAGATCCTCCAAGTCCACCAAGGAATGTTTTGGTAGGAGATATCACAAAATCATCTTGTAAATTGACATGGGATGCACCAGTTAACGATGGAGGCAACAAAATTTCTGGATATCTTGTGGAAAAATGCACTGGATATTCATCTAGATGGATTAAGATTAACAAGGAAGAAATAAAGAATCTTTTCTTATCCATTAATGATCTTGTTGAGGATAGTGAATACGATTTTAGAGTTATTGCTGTAAACGAAGCAGGACAATCCAAGCCTTCTGAATCAACTGGATTAATAAAAGCGAGAGATCCATACGACAAACCAAATAAACCGGAAAGTTTAAAAATTGAAGAATTCTTAGCAAATAGTGCAACTCTTAAATGGAATGCTCCGGAAAATGACGGTGGAAGTAAAATCATAGAATATATTGTTGAATGGAAAAGAGTTGGAGAAAAAAGATGGAGGCAAAATAAAGTAAAAGACACAGAGTTTACTGTAAAAAATTTGGATGAAGGAGAAGAATACGAATTTAAGGTTGCAGCAATAAACAAAGTTGGTCAAGGAAGTTATACAAACACCATGTCAGGAAAATATAGTAAGTAATTCTTACATATTTAGCATTTTCTATTACTCTAAAATATACATTTCCTTAATATTTATAGTTGATGATATTTACTTCAAGAAGACTTTGGAAAATTTAACAATTACCAAACTCGAGAAATCTATAAAATTTGAATGTGAAATGTCAAAACCTGATTTGAAAGTTGATTGGTTCTTTAATTCAAAAACCATTAGAAAAGACGATAAATATGATATACAAACTAGTGGTTGTACCCATACACTACTTATTAACGACCTCAATATAAGTGATATTGGGCAATACCGAGCATCATATGGAAATTTAATGACTGAATGCGAGTTTAACATTGAAAGTAAGATTTTTTTCAATTATAGCTTTTTTAAATTAAATTATTGAATATGAATTTTATTCAGTGCCACCCAAATTTGAGAAACATTCGAATAAAGAAAAGATCATTCTAGCTATTGGATCATCATGCGTTATAGAATTACCATTTGTCGCTAGTCCTGCTGCCAATGTAGAATGGACTTACAATGGTTCCTCTCTACATTCGGGAAAGAAACTGAAAATTGATACTATAACGTTTGTTTTAGATAATATTATAATAAAAAATTCATTTTATAATGCTAATTTAATTCATAGGAGGATGACTTCGCTCAATATTTCAAAAGTAACACCAAAGGATGCTGGTAACTATTCGGTTACAATAAAAAATAAGTTTGGCGAAGCTAAATTCGACTTTAAACTAATCATTCTCAGTAAGTTATATACTAAACTTTAAATTTTAAAGCACAAAACACGAATCATCCAATTCTACTTTTAGATAAACCTGGACCACCTGAAAATTTTAAGGTTACAAATTTCACCGAATCCACAGTATTTTTACAATGGCAAACTCCAAAGAGTGACGGTGGAAGTGATATTATAAAATATGTTATTGAACAAAGAGAATCAAATAGACGTTTATGGCAAAAAATCTGTGACGTTGAAGCTTGTAAATTTGAAGTAACTAATCTCTTTGAAGGAGAGAAGTATTCATTTAGAGTTGCTGCCGTAAATGAAATTGATATTGGTGAATTTGCTGAATTGGCAACAAATGTTATTCCAAAATGTACCCATGGTAATTATTTGATAATTAGAGTAAACTTTATTATCTCAACTTCTTAATGTGCTTTTATAGATCCTCCTGGTCCACCCTCAAAGCCTATTGTTGATAAAATATTAAAGAAGTCTTGTGAGCTAACCTGGAGAGAACCAACAGATAATGGAGGAAGTGAAATAACAGGATATTATGTAGAGAGATGCTTAGCAGCAAAGGTGAAATCATCAGCTCGCTGGATTATAATTAATAGGTAATTTTTTGACTTTTTAGTCAATTGAATTATATTACAACTAATTATAAAATTGTTCCTGAAATCTAGGCAACCAATCACTGAACTCTTCTACAAGACGGAGGATTTAATTGAAGACAACGAATACGAATTTAGAATTATAGCTGAAAACAAAGTAGGAAGAGGACCTCCAAGTCAGTCTTCTGAAGTAATTAAAGCTAAAGATCCATGGGGTAAATTGTTATATATTTAAATATTTCTTCTATAGTTGACATTATGTTTTTTGTAGAAAAACCAGGTAAACCTTCTAGTTTATCTCTAAGTAAATCTTTCCTCAAATGGAGAGCTCCTACTTCCGATGGTGGAAGTGAAATTTTCAACTATGTCGTCGAATATAAACTTTCGGACAGTTTTAAATGGGTAAAAGCCACTAAAGAAGGAGTTTATCATTCGGAATGTGAAATAGACCTATCTAAGCTCAATTTTAAAGAGGATGTCTACGAACTTAGAGTAGCGGCTGAAAATGAAGCTGGTGTAGGAAATTTTTCAGAAACTTTTACCTCAACTAAGGAAGAAAAAGCAAAGAAAGGAATAAAGAAACCGGAAATATCAAGAGAACTTAAAGATTTATCCGTTATATCACCTGAGAAAATAAGTCTTAAAGTTGAAGGAAGCTTCGAAAATTGTAATTTTAGCTGGTATAGAAATAGTAAAGAGATATATCCGGGAGGGAAAACAACTATTTCAAATAGTGAAGAATCTTCATCTCTTACCATATCTGAATCCCAGACTAACGACGAAGGGTGTTATAAAGTATTTATAAATAACAAATCTGGTAGTACCGAATCAGAATGCACAGTATCAGTTAAAGGTAATGTGTTCATTAAACTTGCTTCTTAACTTTAATATAATCAGAAATTTCTCTCAATAGTTGCCCCAAAAATCACTTTTACTGAAAAAGACCTTAAACAAACTATTAAAACTGGTAACTCAACCAATTTGCCTATTAACTTTATCGGACATCCAAAACCTCAAATAACCTGGACATTTAACAAAGAAATACTTCAAGAAAGTGATAAAGTAAAGATATCAACTGTTTCTGATCATTGTATAGTAGATTTAAAGAATGCTTCAATGAAGCAAAAAGGTAAATATAGAGTTGAAGCTAAGAATGATATTGGAAGTGATTCGGTTGAATTCATCTTGGAAGTAATTGGTAAGCGACTATTTTTCACTTAAGTTTTTTATTAATTAATCCTATATATATAGATAAACCAGAGCCACCTTGTAATCTAAGAGTAAAGAATATGGAAAAAGATAGACTAACTTTAACATGGAACGAACCAGAATCAGATAATGGCTCTCCAATAAAACAGTATATTATCGAGAAACAAGATGTAAATAAGCCGAATTGGCTAACTGCTGGAGAAACTGATCAATTGGAGTTTACTGTTACCAAATTATTCGAAGATAGAGAGTATTCTATAAGAGTTGCTGCGGAAAATAAGGTTGGTTTAAGTAAATACGCACAACTCTCCGAAACGATTAAGACGAAATCTAAAACTCAACCACCTTCACCACCGAGAAAATTAAAAATAGCTGATATAACTCAATCGTCTTGTAAACTTAGTTGGAAAGAACCTGAAAATGATGGTGGTTCATCAATAATTGGCTACTATGTTGAAAAATTACAGAAAGGTTATGGATCTAGATGGTTAAAAATCAATCAAGCTCCAATCGACAAGACATTTGTTGAAATAAAAGATTTAATTGAAATGAACGAATATACATTTAGAGTTATCGCTGAAAATAAAGCAGGAATTTCTTCTCCAAGTGAAAAATCAGACAAAGTTACAACTAAAAATCCCTATAATAAACCATCGGCACCTGGTAAGCCTAAAGTTGAAGTCGAAAGTAAGGAGAACTTTAAAATCAAGTGGACATCACCCAAAGAAGACGGAGGTGCCGAGATTAGCCATTATATTCTGGAAGAATATTCAAATTTCCGTTGGAATATTGTTGATGAGAAAATTAAGAAAAATGAATACATTTTGAAAAATATTTCAAAATCTGTTGACTATCAATTTAGAGTTTCTGCTGTAAACAAAGTTGGATCTGGCGCTTTCTCGGAAGAGAGTGAACTAGTTCGAATAGGTTTGTACCTTTTCTCGTTTTCCTGGTCAATTCTATTGTATAATTTTTGTCTTGAATTGTTTTTCATACAGATGACAAAATCTATTTTACCAAAAAATTGGAAACTATTGAATTAACAGCGGTACCTGAAAAAGTTACTTTCAGTTGTGAACTGTCTCAGGAACTAATGATTAGCGAATCTCCTGATTGGTACAAGGATGAAAAGCCAATTAGAAAGAGTGATAAATACGAAATTAGATCGAAAGGAACTAGACACGAGCTTATCATTCACGATGTAGATGGAAAATCTATTGGAAACTATAAATGTAGCTATAGAAATGAAGAAACTACAGGAGATTTAATTATCAAGACACCACCTACTTGTACTCTTCCTAAGAAATATGAAAGTGGAATTATTCTAAAAGTAGGCCAAGCTTTCGTAATTGAGATGCCTTTCCAAGGTTGTCCTCAGCCAAGTGTTAAATGGGAATTTAACGGAAAACCTATTACCGATTTAACAAGAATTACAATTGACACCATATTTAACATGACCAATCTTTCTTTATCAAAAGCTAAGAAAAGTGATACTGGAAATTTCCAACTGCTCTTGGAAAATTCTCATGGAAAGATATCAATTAATGTCAAGGTACAGGTTATTGAAAAACCCGATCCCGTAAGAAATCCAGTAGTTAAGGAAATGGATGCCACTCAAGTTTTTATAGGCTGGAGTAAACCCGAATACGATGGTGGTAGCGAAATAACAAATTATAACATTGAAAAGAGAGAAGGATATAAAAAGATGTGGCAAAAGGCAGGAACAACTAAGAATCTTGAATATTTAATTGATCGTTTAGTTGAAGGAAATTCATACTCTGTAAGAATATTTGCAGAAAATATAGTTGGTTTAAGTGAAGAAGTTGAATTACCAACGGTTATCGTTCCCAAATCTCAATTTTGTAAGTTCTATATATAAAATATGTTATAGGAGACATTCAATAATTACAACACTTTATTTTCTTTCCTAGCTGTTCCAAGTGCTCCAATTTCACCTATTGTATCAGACATAAGAAAAGATTCTTGCAAATTAACTTGGGAAGAACCAAGTTACAACGGAGGAAAACCTATTAAACACTATTTGGTGGATAGAAGAGTCAATGATTCTACTAAGTGGATTAGACTTAGAGAAAGACCTGCAACATGCTCCTTACCCATAAATGATCTAAGCGAAAAACACAAATATGAATTCAGAGTTTTTGCCGAAAATTCAGTAGGCATAAGTGAGGGTTCGGATATTTCCAAGAGCTTCGTGGCTAAAGATCCATGGGGTAAACCTTTTTTATACTTAATCTTACTTTTAACGTATAAGAATACTTTTAATATTACAATAGATACACCTGGTAAACCTGAAAAACCTAAAGTATCAGATCTACATTCAACGTCAGTCAAATTATCTTGGATGGAACCGAAATCAGATGGCGGATCAAAAATTAAAGGTTACCTAATTGAACAGAGAATGGAGGGAACTTTCAAGTGGAAAGCAGTCTCTAGAAATAACGAATTAGTAACCGATACTCAGCTCAAAATAGATAATCTTATGGATGATATGCAATACGAGTTCAGAGTATCAGCCGTAAACGAAGCCGGTCCAGGTGAATTTAGCGATTCTTCTGGATTTTACAGATGTAAATCACCAATTTGTAAGTATATTTTACTAAACAAGAAAATATTTCTATCCTATTTGATAATTTTATATAGCTGGAGAAAAACCAACTGTTATCAGCCCATTAAAGGATGAAAAGGTGTTAACTGAAGAGGATGTTGCATTAAAATGCAAAATTAATAATGGAGATTTAGCAATTAAAGTTAAATGGTTTAAAAACAATAAAGAAATTTATAACTCCTCCAAATACATAATAGTTAATGACGGAGAAAATTTGAAATTAACTGTTTGTAATTGTTCTATTGAGGATGAAGCTGATTATAGAGTTGAAGTCTCAAACGTCTTAGGAAAGATCTCTAGCGAAGCTAAACTTACTGTTCTCAGTATGTATATTTGTATATTTCATTTAATGAGGACTATTGTTGCTATAATTGAATGAATTATTCTATTTAGGTTCACCAAAGTTAATTATGGATGAAAAGTATAAAAAAGACTTGATTTTCAATGGCGGACAAGATATAAATATTCATGTAAAGTTTCAAGGAAGGCCTAAACCTAAATTCATCTTAAATAAACCAGAACAATCCAACGCTTCATTGATAATTGAAAAGAATTACGTTACGTTAAATGTACAAAGTGCTTCAGTGATGGATAGTGGAGCTTATGAAATTATTGCAACAAGTGACGTTGGAAAGGATAATGGACTTTTAAATATGGCAATTATAGATAGACCTAGTGAACCGCAAGAATTTAAGGTCATTAAACAAACGAAAAGTAGCATCAGTTTGAGTTGGGAATCTCCTAAGAGTGACGGAGGTTCACCTATTACAAAATATATATTGGAGAGTAGAGAAAGTAGTAGAAGAATGTGGAGTGAATGTGCTATTTTGAATAAGGACTGTTGTGAATACGAAGTAACCAGACTAAAAGAAGGAAATGAATTTATGTTTAGACTGGCAGCTGAAAATATTGCTGGTAAAGGAAGTTTTGCACCTTTAACTGATAGCGTTATTGCTCAATCTCAATATAATCCACCAAGTATGCCAACCAATGTTATGGCAGATTCTATCACTAAGAATTCCGCCGTGTTAACGTGGGAAATTCCAAAGAGAGATGGAGGATCACCAATTACTGGATATTATATTGAAAAATGTCAAGGATTTAGCTCAAGATGGACTAGAATAAATAAGGATAGACCTGTAACTGATCCAACTTTTGAAGTAAGAATAATCTTTACTTTAACTTAATTTAAGTGTTTTTAAAATACTAATAATTGTTTAACAGTTAAGAGATTTGGTTGAAGGAAACGATTACGAATATCGAATAATCGCCATAAACGAAGCGGGTGAAAGTAAACCATCGGATTCTTGTACAAAATTCACTGCCAAAAATCCGTATACTCAGCCATCTGCTCCGTTGAAACCTATAGCAAAACTAAATAAAAAATCAGTACAAGTCAGTTGGTCTCCACCTGCATCTGATGGAAAATCAAAGATTATCAGTTATAAACTGGAAGTAAAAGAAACTTTAAGTAAAACTTGGAAAACGGTTAATGAAGATATCAAAGATACAAACTACATATATGAAAAAATAGAACCAGAGAAAGAAATTGAATTTAGAGTATCTGCCCTTAACAAGGCTGGATACGGACCTACATCATCATCTTCTAATTCTATAAAATATGGTATTTAACTATTATTTTCATATGATATTGTATTGATTTTAATAAAACTAATTTAACAGAAGAGTCTATTGGATTTGAAGAAGAATTAAAGGATGTTGTATTGAAAAATGTTGAAAAAGACGTTGAATTCAAATGCAAGCTTACAAAGAATACAGAAGTTACCTGGCATTTTAATGGAGATTTTATCAGAGTAATTCCTTATTGATCCAATCATTTATATTCTATAGTAATTTATTATTTCAGAGAAAAGCTGATAAATACGTTATTGAGCAAAAAGACTTAGCACATAAACTAATTGTCAGGAACGTTGATAGTAAAGATATTGGAGAGTATACAGCAAAAATTAAAAATAACTCATCAACTGGTCAATTAGCTATTCAAGCTGCTCCAAAAATAGATACTACTAATCTTCAAGATAATCTTATTGTCAAAGTTGGGGGATTTTTATCGATTGATATTCCTTTCTCAGCTCATCCTCAGCCTATTGTTAAATGGACTTTTGATGGTACACCTTTAATTTCATCTCGAAGAGTTAACGTTGACGTTATGAGAAACACGACTTCATTATCTATAACAAAAGCTGAAATGAATAATGCAGGAAAATATGCTGTTCATCTTGAAAATGATTATGGAAGCTGTACTTATAAAATTCAAATAAGTGTTCTGGACAAACCTGATACTCCTCAAAAACTTAAAGTCAAAAAAGTCAATGAAACCTCCATTGATATTGAATGGAGTGAACCAAAATCAGATGGTGGATCACCAATTACTGAATATATTGTAGAGAAGCGAGACTCTTATAGAACAGGATACACAGAAGTGTGCACAACAAAATCGAAATTTGCCACTATTAAAAAGCTTACGGAAGGAAATGAATATGTCTTTAGGGTTTCTGCAAAGAATTCTGTAGGAGTGAGTAATGGCATTGAATTAAGCGAAGGAGTTAAACCAAAAAGTCCTCATGGTACGATTCTATTAATTTATAAATAACAGTTTACTTGTAAAACCAAATTTTATTCAAATAGATCCTCCCGGTCCGCCCACTAAACCAAGAATATCGAACATTACTAGTTCAAAGTGTACAGTATCATGGCAACCTCCACAAACTGATGGTGGTGCACCGATTAATGGCTATCATGTAGAAAAGAAAACAGATCAAAGATGGGTTTCTTCTAGCAAGAACCTCGTAAAGGAAATAACATTCGAGGCCAGCGATCTAATACAAGGATCGACTTACGAGTTTAGAGTTATTGCTGAAAATAAAATTGGAAAAAGTAATCCGGGAGAACCAAGCGAACCATTTGTTGCCAAAGATCCATGGGGTTTGTAAAAGAATTCTTGTCTATGTTTAATATTACTTACAAAACTGATTAACATCTACTTTCTTATTTAGACTTACCGGGCCCCCCCGGAATACCAGAAGTTAAAGAAATGCTTAAGAGAGCTGTAGTACTGACTTGGGAACCTCCTAAAAATGATGGAGGAGATAAAATAACTAACTATATTATCGAGCACAAGTTAGACGATGATTTCAAATGGATAACAGATTCGGAAGGGGAAAAGGTCACAGATACCAATTATAAAATTACTGGATTGAAGGAAAAAGAAAAATATGAATTTAGAGTTGCAGCCGTAAATAGAGCTGGCAAAGGACCATTTTCTCAATCGGACAAAGCAATTAAAGTTCAAGAGCCAATTGTAGGAAAAGCTCCCAAGTTAATAACGAATATCGAAGATCAAACAGCAGTCGGTAAAGAGGTAGTGAAAATTGAATGTGGAGTAGACATTGGTGAGCCAGAATCTGAAATATCTTGGTTCAAATGTGACAAGCAGCTAAGATCTGGTAGAAGATATGAATTTATCTATTGGAACAAAGTGGCAACATTAGTTATCAAAGATGCGGAGGGAAAGGACTCTGATGAATATAAATGCGTGGTAAGCAATGCCTTAGGAACAGTCGAAAGTTCTGGAAAGCTAAACATTATCGGTAAATAAGATTTAATACATTTGCATCAATAATAGATAACTAATATTTTCTTTTCAATAAAATAGTCAAACCAACACTGGATTATGATCTAAGATTTAATGATAAGGTTTCCTTAAGAGCAGGATCAAATCTGAGTATACCAATCTCTTTTACTGGAATACCTAAGCCAAACGTAAATTGGAAGTTCAAGGGTGATAATCTTTGCTCTACACCAAAAACGAGTATTCAGTCTTTGACAGATCAAAGTACTTTACATTTGAAAAATGTTAGTGCTGAAAATCAAGGAGTTTATACATTTATTGCGGAAAATAAAGCTGGAATTGTCAGTAAAGATATCCAAATTGTAGTTAGAGGTAACAAAAAATTAACTAACTTTTACTATAATCTCTTAATATCCTTTGAATTTAATCTTTTAGATAAACCATCGGCCCCAAATAACTTAACTATGGTTGATTTAACGCTCGACTCTGTAAAATTCAATTGGAAAGCTCCAGACTCTGATGGTGGAAGTCCAATAACAGGATATACAATTGAAAAACGAGAGAAATCAAGACAAACATGGATTGGAGCTGGAACAACAAATTCGAAAACTACTGAATTTAGTGTTGGGCGCCTATTCGAAGGAACAACCTATTTCTTCCGCGTTGCTGCAGAAAATGAGGTTGGAACGTCAGAATTTGTTGAATTAGATAAAGGAGTGACGCCCAAAGCTTCCATTGGTAAGTAGCTGAGGAATATATCCTTCTTGATTATGTTAAATCTCTTAAATATAATTTCTTAATTTAGGAGCCGCATTCGAACCAAGAAATTTAAGAATAAAGAAAGTGACAAAATCAGGTGTAGCATTATCCTGGCAACCACCATCAGATGATGGTGGATCCAAGATAAAAGGATATGTGATTGAACATAGACAGAGTTACGGAACAAAATGGAGTAAAACAGTAAGAGAGCTCATCAAAGAGACAGAACACGAAATTGTTAACCTAAATGAAGGAGACGAATTATCATTTAGAGTTATCGCTGTAAATGATGCTGGAGAAGGTAAACCTTCAGACTCCACTTCACCAGTTAAGATTAAGGATCCATACGGTATGTTTGATCAATTAATCACTTAACTTAGTTAATAAACTAGATATTATATAATTCAGATAAACCATCGGCTCCTCAAAATTTGGAAATAAAGTCATCTTCCAAAACTTCTGCTTCCTTGGCTTGGTCCGCTCCAAGACAAGACGGAGGTTTACCTATAATTAATTATAGGGTTGAAAAGAGATCGCTTGGTGCTTATCAATGGGAAGCAGTTAATATTACAGATAAAATTACATCAACTAGATTTACTGTTGACAATCTACCCGAAGATAATGATTATGAATTTAGAGTCTTGGCGGAAAATGGATCTGGTATTTCAAAGCCGTCAAATGTTACTAGAACTATAAAAACACGTGAGCTCTTATTATTAGGCAATAGAGGCATTAAACAAGTAATTTTATATGTTCACAGGTGAAAAAGTGAACTTTACCGCTCCTTTGCGGGATATTAGCATCTCGGGTTTGGGAGGAAGAGCAATATTAGAAGTGGAATCCAATAAACCGATAGAGAAATCACAGTGGATGAAAGACGGTCTTGAAATAACTCCATCAAAGTAATTGACAATTAACTAGTCATATAAAAACAATTTGCCTGTTATTTCGACTAATGAGCTTGTTTTTCTTTCCTAGAAAATATGACTTTTCAGTGAGTGGCAGAAAGCACAGTTTAACTATAAATAACTTGGATTCATTGGATATGGGAGATTACGCGGTTATAATGAAAGGTCAACGATCTGTTGCTAGGCTCACTGTAGCAGGTACTTTCCAACTATCAATTAAGTAAATCATATTACAAAGCTAATGCTACTCATTGACTCCTATAGCTAAACCTACAATTTCTAAGGATTATATTGAGCCAGTAATTGTAAATGCTGGAACTTCACTTGTTTTAGAAGTCCCTTATACAGGCAGTCCTCAACCTCGAGTATCTTGGAAGTATAATAATCTCCATCTGCAAGAATCTTATAGAATTAGCACAGATACTATACATAACTTAACAAGTCTAGATATTCGTAGAATTGAAAAATCTGATGCGGGGATCTATACTGTCTTTGTAGAAAATGAGCACGGTACAGCTAGAATAGACGTAGAAGTTACAGTTTTAGGTAAAAACTATTTTATGGGACTATTATTTATTTAAGGATTATTACTAAATTTACATTCTTTGATATAGATAAACCTCAACCACCAACTAACTTTACAGCATCTAATGCAACCAATACATCTGTTCAGTTATCATGGAATAAACCAAGAGATGATGGCGGTTCACCAATTATATCTTATATAGTTGAAAAGCGAGATGCTCTACGACTCACTTGGAAACAAGTTGCATCCACAAAAGATTTAAAAGCAAAAACAACAGATTTAAATGAAGGAGTTCAATATATCTTCAGAGTATGCGCCACAAATGCAGTAGGAAAATCCGATTATGTAGAGTTAATAAAACCAATAGAAACTACTGGAAGTGGAGGTATTTTTGAGATAGTTTTTCATTAACTTCAAATTGATTTTTCTAATTATATCTTTATGTTTTAGATAAACCAAATGAACCTCAAGATTTACAAGTTGAAGAAGTAACCAAAAATTCTTGCGTGCTATCATGGAATCCTCCTAAGGTTGATAAAAAGAGTCCAATATATGGATATCATATCGAACGACGAGTTAAAGCTGGTAGAGATACTTGGATTAAAGTCAATTCCTTACCAGTTACGGATATGTACTACCAATCATCTGATCTTGTTTCACCAAATGAGTATGAATATAGAGTGATTGCTGAAAACCGCTCAGGCTTCTCAGAACCTAGCAATACAGTAGCAGTGATAGCTAGAGATCCATACAAAGTACCAGGAAAACCAACCAATTTAAATGTCTCAGACATTAGTAAACGGTCGTGTAGATTATCTTGGCGTCCTCCGATTTCTGACGGTGGTGATCCAATTAGAAATTATATTGTAGAATTCAGACCGAGAAGTTCCTTTGGATGGCAAAGGGATGGTATTGCTGATTCTTTTAGTACTTCTTGTAAAGTTAATGGATTAGCAATGGGTGAAGAATATGAATTTAGAATAGCAGCGGAGAATAGAGCTGGTTTGGGTCCATGGTCAGATAACTCTGAAGTTGTTAAAGTAGAAGAACCTATAATAACTGAGAAACCGGCTGTCCTATGTGGTTTACAAGACGTAATAGCCGTAGCAGGGAAGCAAGTTAAGTTAGAATGCGATCTATACGGAGGTGAACCTTTAGCAAAGATAACATGGTATAAAGACAAACGCGAAATATATTCGGGCCAGAAAGCAAAGCCTTCATATGATCCTTATAATCAATTAGCAACTTTAACCATAAATTCAGCTGACCTTTTGGATGAAGGAAGATATCTTTGCGAAGCTATAAACCCAAGTGGAAAAGTATCAAGCACCTGCAGATTAACAGTTCGATGTATGTAAATTAATATTTTTTTCATTTTCAAGCAACGCATAATAAATAACTTATTTTTCAATCTTTTCAGCTCTACCAGCAATAGATCGGGATTCGAAGAATCTTGACAATATCGAAGCTATTGAAAACTCTCCGATTAGTCTGCCTGTTAACTATACTGGTCAACCAAAGCCAACAATAACTTGGATGAAGAATGGTATACCTATTAGATCTAAGCTGGGAATTCAATTGGAACAGATGGAAAATTACGCCTGTTTGAATATTAACAATGCTAATATTTCTGATAGCGGAAGATACTCGGTAATCATTGAGAATTCTGTTGGAAAAGATCAAACTGACTTTAATGTTTTAATAAGAGGTAAGAAGATCTTTTCTATTTTTATAAGCGTGAGGTTATTATAAACTTTTGTTAACAATTTTATAGCTCCGCCTTCAGCTCCTGTTAACCTTAGAGTTCAATCCATGCAAAATGACTATTTAACTTTGGCTTGGGATTCTCCAATATCTACTGGCGGTATTCCCATAGCTAATTATATTGTTGAACGACAAGGACCCGGCCCGAATTGGACAGAAGTAGCAAGAGTTGAATCTGGAGTCAACTCTGTCAAATTAGGCCATTTGAAGAAAGACGAAGAATACAATTTTAGGGTCTTTGCTGAAAATAAAGCTGGAAGAGGAGAAGCTGTAAAAACGGCATACTCCATAAAAATGCAAAAGTACGCGGATGTTCCATCAGCTCCAAAAAATCTTCAAATGTTAGAGAGACAAAATGCAATCATTCTTGAATGGAAGACACCTTCTGATGGAGGATCACCTATATTCAATTATATTATTGAAAGAAGTGTAAACTCAAATAGATTCACTCAAATCGGAAGAGTATCAGCCTATGATACTTATTTTAAAGATTCTAATACAACTGAAGGAATTTACGAATATAGAGTTTACGCAGAAAACGAATGCGGAGTTGGTCCATATGCAAACTTTGGACCTGTTAAAGTAATTAGCGAGGAAAGACCACCAAAACCTGACAAACCCGAAATAGTATCGTTTACTAATAATTCCGTAACTTTACAATGGAATTTACCAAAGACTAAAAAGCCTATAAATAATTTTAAAATACAAGCCAAATCAAACTACGGATGGAGTTTAGTGGCAGATAAAGTTTGGAGTTCACCTTTCACAATTCCAGATTTGATAGAGGGTGTTAAATATCAATTTAAAGTCGCCGCTACAAATAAACAAGGCATGGGAGAATTCTCAGATGCGTCCGAACCAATAATACTCCGTGAATCTATACGAGAAGTTGCACCTGTTATTTCTAGTGTAAATGATATTTACGTATCAAGAGGTGATGATGCTAAAATAGATTGTAACATTGGAGGAGTTCCAGCCCCGACAGTTAATTGGTAAGAAATGAGTTTAACATCTTCATTCATTCACGCATTCATATTTGCGTTCCTATTTTAGGTACATGGGCGGGAAAAAGCTGTATTCCTCTTTTAAATATCAATTAAGAACAAGGGATTCTAAATATAGCCTGACTGTAAAGGATATTAGCGAATCTGATATTGGAGAGTATACGATAGAAGCTTCAAATAACAAAGGCCAAGCTAAAGCTCAATTTAGACTAAAGGTAAGCTTTCCTTTCCTCCAATTACATAGAAATTTTACTAAAAGAGAACATTTCATTATGTTAATTAGCTGAAAACTCCTCCGAAACTGAAATTTGACAATACTCATGAACAATTCCTAATCCGTAAAGGAGAAACCTGTAGACTAAACGTTTCATTAGATGGTGTTGGTAGTTTAACAGAAGTAAGGTGGTTTAAAGATGGAGTACTACTGAGATCTGGTAGAAATATTAGAGTTCACGTAAATATCATATCTATTAAATTATATGTTAATTAACTTAATTAATTATATAAATTTAATTGCAGACCGATGATTTTGAAACACTTGTTTCAATATCTAATACTTCAAAACAAGATGAAGGCACTTATAAGCTGGAAGTTAAAAATGACGCTGGATCAGCTTACGTTGTCTTTGATATTACAGTAACAGGTAATTAAAATACAGTTTTATGCATTTCCTCACTATAATTGCTCGCTCTTATTCTTTAGATGTGCCTTCCCAACCAACAAACTTACAAACTCATCAAGATAGGTCATCTGTAAAATTGGATTGGAGAAAACCGAGAAATGACGGAGGGTCGAAAATTTTAAATTATATTATAGAAAAGAAAGATGGCAGAAATTGGACCCATGCAGAGAAAACACCAGCTAGGAACAATTCCTGCACTATTAATAACCTTAGGCCTGGATCTGATTACTACTTCAGAGTCTACGCAGAGAATGAAGTTGGTAGTGGAGAACCAATCGAAACAACTGTGCCTATCTATATCAAGAAAGAAGGTTTGTTTTACAGAATAACATCTTTTATATTTACAGAAATTTTAATGACATAAAATTTGTTGATTAGTTGATGACAAACCACCAAGAGCTTCAACACCAAGCAGAGGAAGAAGTCCATATATTTATAGACGAACCACGGCATCTTCTAGATCACCTACAACGTCACCTTCTCCTTCACCATCAAGGCCTTATGAAATTATTGCGGAAGCTCCGATTCCAAGAAACTTTAAACCACTCGAAGTTAGGAGAGATAGTGTCACTTTACTGTGGGAACCAGGATATTCCAATTCTAAATATCCGATCAAATCTTATATTATTGAAAAGAGTCAAGTACCCACATCATCTTGGACAAGAGTTGCCAAAATTCCTCCTCATACTCAGAGATATACTGTTCCTGATTTAACTGAAGGTGCTTCGTACAGATTTAGAATCCTATCTGAATATCCAGAAGGATTTTCTTCACCTTTGGAATTCGATGAACCAATTTTCACTAAAAAACTTGCCGGTTTGTATTTCATAGAAATAAATATGACCCTTTTCTGATATTAACATTCTTTTACAGAACCACCAAGTAAACCTTCAGGTCCAGTGACCATTGAACAAGTTAATCCGACTACTTTCAATTTACAATGGCAGCCACCTTTGAATACAGGAGGTAGCCCCATCAAGGGTTATTTAATCGAAATGACTGATGCTAAAGGATGGCGAAAGATTGCCTATAATACGCCTAGAAATTTGAAACATAACGTCTACGGTCTCGAAGAGGGAGAAACTTATTTCTTTAGAATAACAGCAGAAAACGAAGCTGGTTTAAGCGTTCCTCTACAAAGCGATTGCCTAAACGTAGAAAGGGAAAGAAGACGATTTACACCATTCGAAAGGAGAACGCCAACAAGAGAAAGAATCGTTCTGAAATGGGATGAACCGAAGGTATACGACAGAAAGAAGATTACCGGTTATATTATCGAAAAACTCGACACGTCTTCAAGAAAAGATTGGCAAGAAATCGATAGAGTTGGCTCTAATTTGAGAAAATATGACGTTCCACTTTATCACGAAAGGAATTACAAGTTTAGAGTTCGGCCTATTTTAGATACCGGAATTGTAGACTACGTAATTAAGGAGGAAGAGCATACTTATGAAACTCATAAACGTAATATAATATTTTTTTTAATTTAGACTTATTACAGTTATGATAGCTAACAACAAATTTATGTTTGTAGGTCCACCTTCTATTCCCCAAGGACCGATTAGAGTTGAAAATATAACAAGCGAAAGTGCTAAATTGACTTGGAAAAAGTCTGAATATGATGGAGGCTCTCCAATTACAGATTATGTGGTTGAAATAAGAGATTTAACGAAATCAAGACCTTTCTGGACAAAAATCGCAAGTGTACCACCATCCAAATGCGCTCTATATCTAGATGATATGGAGGATAACAAGCAATACGTTATTAGAGTCCTTGCAAAGAATGCTGTTGGGGATAGTTTTCCACTTCTCTCTGATATTATTACACCAATCAGATCATTAATTCCACCATCCGCACCTGGCGGACTGAGAATTGTTACAAGTACTGGAAATGCTTCCACGCTACAATGGCTACCTCCTAAGCACGAAGGTAGTTCAGCCATTTCAAAATACATTATAATGAAGAAGGAGTCTAAAAGAACAGTATGGGAAAAGGCTGCTGAAGTGGATAGTACAACTAACAGATATACAGTTTCAAACTTAAATGAAGAAAAGAGTTACGATTTTGCAGTTTATGCTGTAAATGAAGCTGGAGAAGGAAAGAGGTCCAGTACAGAATTTGTAGGACAACCAACTGCAAAACTCCGTAGCTTTTCGGGAGTTGAAAAAGTGGATTTATCAAGAGACAGATCAAGAGAAAGTATTGGTTTGGGAGTTAGACCAAGGAGAAGCTACTCAGGTATAGAGAGAAAAGACTTACCAAGCGAAAGAGAGAGAAGCTACTCAATAGTCGAAAAAGATGTTCTCTTTGGTGGCAAGGGAGATATCTATACAGGCGTATATGCTTCCTATAAAACAATGAAAGTGGTTACAGGTTTGTCTCATAGATTACGGTATACATTAGTATATAGAAACTAATACAATATAAATTCCAAACAGAAGAGAAACCTCCTACGGGTAGACCAAAGAGATTTAGACGTGAGGAAGTCGATTCACAACCACGCTATGAGCCAAAACCAGAAAAAAGGACTGCGCCATCTCAACCGAGAGGACCGATAGAGATATTGGAGATTACCAGAACTACCATAACTATTAGCTGGTTGCCTCCTGCATCGGATGGATGTGCGGCAATAAGCAACTATATAATCGACTATAAAGAAATAAATAAGTCTTGGAGACTCTCATCAAGAATACCAGCACATAAGACATCTCATACTATTACCGATCTCAGAGAAGGAAAATCTTATTATTTTAGAGTTTCGGCCGAAAATTATGTCGGAACATCGCAACCTCTTGTACTAAATTTACCAGTAAGTCCGAGACGGTCAGCAGCAAGACCTTCCGCTCCGATTGACATTATTAATGTAGAATGGTCGGTTGATGGGTCACCTACATTAACGTGGGCCGAACCGGAAGACGATGGTGGAACTAAAATCGTAAGATACATTGTAGAATATAGAGAATACGAGTCATTCGACTGGAAATTACTTGAAAGAATTAGTAGAAGAAAGATTTCCATACCTAATTTCAAGAGTTCAAAATATTATCTAAGAATCAGCGCAGAAAATGAAGTAGGAAGAGGAGATTCGTTAGAAATAGATCTAAAAGACTACGAAAGCGTCAAGAAAACAATGGCTCCTCCCAGTCGCCCACAAATTCCACTCGTTGTAACACCGTCAGAAGGTTCCGTTCAGTTAGCATGGCAACCTCCTAAATACGATGGATCAAGCGATATTATATCATATACTATAGAGATGCGAGATATAGCAGAACCTAAATTTAGATGGGTTCCTGTTACAAGACTATCTGCTAAAGTCTTTACGTATGAGGTCAAACATTTGACTGTCGGTCATAAGTATTACTTTAGAATTTGTGCCGAGAACAAAGCGGGCAAAAGCGATTGGCTAGAATCTAGAACGAGTGCTGAGGCTAAAAATCCTATTGTTACACCAACATCTCCAAATGATTTGGAATTAGTCTCAATTAATCACGAAATAGTAAAAATATCTTGGAAGGAACCATCGGACGATGGTGGTAGTCCCATAACGGGATATGTTGTGGAAAAAAGAGAACCTGGTTCAACTATTTGGCACCCAATATCGAGATTGGATAATAAAACGTTTAATTTTGCCATAAGAAATCTCTCTGCCAACATAACCTATTTCATTAGAGTAGGCGCTGAAAATATACTAGGAGTTGGCAATTGGAGAGAATTATCTGATTCCGTCCGATTATCAGCTTCAGGCGAGCAGCTGCCTCACGAACCTACAAATATTAGAGCAGTAGAAATTTCAAGTGATACTGTTAAATTAAGCTGGGATGCGCCAATATCATCGGGAACAGCTCCCATCACAGGATTTTATATTGAACAGAAAGTTGGAAATAGAAATTGGAGAAATATTGGATATGATAATCCTCATAGATTGTGGTGGAGTGCTACAAAATTAAAGGAGGGCGTTACATACTTCTTTAGAGTTTGTGCAGAAAATAGATTCGGAAAGGGTGATTGGGGATATAGTAAAGCAATTGTTCCAGCAACAAAAACAGTAAAAATTGGTACGTTTCTACTAAAAATTGAAATGTTTCGATATAATTATTAATTGATTGTCTTTCTTTCATTTAATTTAGCTATACCCAGTTCACCGTCACTATTCCAAATTAGTAAGGCGACAGATACTGCAGTCACTTTGTCGTGGATGCCACCAGAAAAGAATAGAGATAGAATTAACAAGTATCTATTGGAAATGAACGATGGAAATTCATGGGTTAAAATCAGAGAGGTTGATCCATGCGATGTCCTTCGTTCAACCGTTGATAGATTAAGGAAGGATCGAAATTATCAATTTAGAGTTAGCGCTATTAACGACGGAGGAAAAGGGGTTCCCACTCAAATTGACTACTCTCCTTCTGGCGATAGCCAAGGTAAATTTTTATTTGTAGAACTAGTAATGATAGGGAATTTTATAAATTATTTCGATAGTAGGTACTCCCGATACACCGCTTGGTCCATTAAAAATCGTAAGAGTAACTCGAAGAGCAGTCCACTTAAAGTGGTCCATGCAGACTGAAAGAAGCAATATCGATCGTTATGTTATAGAGAAGAGAGAAGCGACCAAATCAAAGTGGACCAAAGTAGCAACAACACCTTCCGGAGTCACTGCAGTAGTCGTTAGCGATTTGATCGAGGATAAATTGTATTATTTTAGAGTTTGGTCTGAAAACACAAATGGAAAGAGCAGCTCGTATATTGAAATTGATATACCAGTTGCAACTAAACGAGTATTAGAAGTCGCTTCGCAACCGAATATTGAAATGTACACAAGAGAAATCTACGAGGAAAGAACAGCAGCTGGAAGAGTCGAAACAATCGTCTCTGAACGTTCAACCACTGCTTTTTCAAGATACGGAGATTTGCCGTTATCTAACGTTTCTTCTGACAAACTTGCTCCGAAGTTTTAAAATACTCTTTAATTTTGCTTTGAAAGTACTATAATTTTATCTAAAAATAGATAAAATTATAGTATTTTATTTATCAATATGTGGATTTATAAGATTGCGGTAAAAAATGAAAAAAGGGTAAAATTTTGAAAATCGTCTATTGCAAATATGCTTCTAGATAATTTATGTCTCACACATGTTTTCTTTCGACTTATACTGCAAATATTCCTTTGCTAAAGTTTGCATATTTAATTAAAAAAAGGGCATGCAAAATTAATTAACTATCTATCCCTTTTTTGATTTAATTGAAATTGGCATGGAAAAGAAATATTTGCTTTGTATCGAGTGTTCATATCTTTAAACATTCTCTAAATTATTTACTTTTTTTTTCATTCTCTCTTTGTCTTTTTCTCTCTCCTCTCTTCCTTTCTTTCAGGGCAGTTTATTTGTAAGCTGCCTGTAAAATGAGAAGAAGAGGGGAAGAAATGATTTGAGGTATGAGTGAAAAAGAAAATATTTACCAAAACATAAAAAAAACTAAACAAGGTTGATACACCATTAGATTAAAAACTTTGATATTAGTTCTTAAAGAAATTCATTGTCAATACTAAGAGAAAAAGAAGATGATTTATTCACTTTTCTCGTTGACAATACCATATTGGAACACTACATTTTACATAATGAAATAATAATTAATTCTTTTTTCATTGCGAAAAAAATTGAATTTGAACCGAAAAGAAAAGGGATAAAAATCATTCACTAAATACGATTTATGAATGAAAACAAAAAACAATCGAATTTTTTGGTATAAGCCAAAAAATGGGAAAAATATGGCTGTTAATATAAAATGTTAATATCATATATACAATATATATATATATATATATCTGTATAGATGAAATTATACAAATTTTCAGCCATTTTATCATTGAATGCAAGCTTTCAAATTAATAAAATGATTGTGTGTCTTTTGTAATCATCTGCAAGTTTATATATATATATATATATAGATAAAAAATGCATTGTGTTTTGGAAAATATTCATCTCAATACTAAAGTAATAAGGTTTTTATTGTTTAAAATAATTTAATTGTGCCTATCATTTGTGCTTTCTTCTTGAATCAATAAAAACTATTAGAATCATCATTAAAGAACTATTTATTTGTTAATTGCCTAAGAAACTATTTCTTCCGTCAGTTTCAATTCTTAGTGTTAATTTCAATCCTTTAGTTTTTAATTTATGAACGAAAAACTTTATCATTTATAGATTTAAATCTATACTAATATATATATATATACTGCTTATATCGTTAATTATTATCCTCCATTATATAGATATTGATCAATAAAAACCTTTTTCCGGTGTCTACACTTTCATGGAACTGAATTAAAGCCGAAAAATGAAGGTGCCAAAATTGATTAATTAGTCTTCTTTATGACTGCGACATTAGAAGTGGATAACCTTTCCAGAAACCAATAATTACCGTTATAACATAAAATGTAAATCTTTTACGTTAACCTAAAAAGTTCTATTTAAAATCATCACTCTTTAATATTTCAATTTGACTATGAAAATTATTTAATAAAAGTAAATATGGTAGTAATTTTCTATCAAATAATAGTATAGCTAGTTAGATGTTATAAGAGAGATAGAAACAAGTTACGTTTAGCATTACAACTTTTATCTTCTTTTCCGAAAATGAGAAATTTCCAAGAAATAATTACCGGTTCCCTGCAAATTTTTATAATAGAGTGAGATTCTTTCTCAAACGTTTCCTCTGACCTTGAGTTTAGCATATCAATGGCTTATAATAAGGAAAAGAATAGTTAAAAGGATGAAAAGATAGATAAAGATAGACTCAAATTATTTCTTATACTGTATGAATAAGTGAAAGATCAATGACACTGAAAACTGATTGTCCAAATACTGTATTAAGCTAGTCTTACCGAAACAAACAACGGAAAGAGGTCAGCGTTTCACTCTTTAGAGTAGAGTAAAATTGTAAATCGTTCGCTTCAATACAGATAATGAATGACTTTTGATACGTTTGTTGCTTTCAATTGTTTTATTTCATAAGTCAAATTGATCTTTAAAGAGGTTAGCATTTATCTTAATTGTTCGACTATGCTCATAGTCAAACATAACTGGAAAGTGAGTGGACTTAGAAAGAAGGAAATAGTATGATAAAGAGTATAGCGATTCTATTTTGCCTGATTTCAACTTATATCGGTAAATTCTTATTAAATAAGTAAAAAGAGTTGATTGAATTTATTTTCTTTTAATTATTAGCAGGGTGTATTGTTAAAAGATTAAATTTAAATAACGAAGCCATTTTTCCAAATGATGCTTTTACCGCGTACCAAACAAGATTACCATCGGATAAACCTCATTATGCTCGACTTAATAGATCTATTATAGGGCATCAACCGGATGAACCCTGGAAAGCATGGTATGGTCTTAACTCTTCAAGTTATCTTCAAGTTAATCTTGGTAATTTCCGTTCTATCGCCATAAATACTAATACTTTCGTATTATACTAATAATCTTGAATTTTCAAAAAGGAAAAGTTTACGAAATACATGCAATGGAATTGAGAGGAGGAGGAATAGGCTCCGTTCAACATTATACATCACATTTTCGAATTAGTTACGGAGTTATACTTAAAAGAATCTTATCCCTAAATGCTAACAATACCGAAAAAGTAAGGCAATAATAATTATCTTGTTTTTTTAAAAAAAAAATAATAACTATTTAAGAAAATAAGAGAAATGTATGTCGTTCTCTGAACAGATATTTAATGGCAACACTCACTTAAATAGCGATGATATTTTATACTTTACGTTTGATGAACCAATTTTGTTAAAATATTTCCGGTTTCACACACTTTCAGGAAATGAAATGCCTGTTAATCTTGAATTGTATGGATGCGGTATAATTGTAATTTATTTTAATTTATTATATTGTTAATTATGATTTTGTTAATACAGAAATTCAATATTGTAAAGGAAATGTTGTTGGATTATTCAACTATTCCAGAGTACCTAATAGTGCTTTCTACGGTTATAATAAACTATACCATTTCCATAGAGCTCAAGACGCTAGACTACAATTTAAAAACGATGAAGAACATTCGTGGTTTGGCTTTAATGAATCGAGTTATTTACAAGTAGATTTAGGCAATTAATATTGATCAACTAATTATACTTTTGACTAGATAATAAACCCCAAACTATTTCAAATAGGTCAATTATACGATATATTTGGTTTGGATATGAAAGGTTCAAAATATCAAAATGAATCATATTATACCAGTACCTTTCTCATTGGTTACAGTATGAATATTTCAGATATTAGATTTTACGAAACGAATGGACAAACAAAGGTATATTCTATTAAGTATTTTTATTCAACAAACAAAATATATTAATAATCATACGGATTCTTTTGTTTTTATAAATTTCAAGATTTTCCAAGGAAATTATGAGTATAACAGTAGAGATATACAACACAAAAATTTCTTATATAAACTAACAACAAGATACATTCGATTTTATCCTTTAACCGGTTACCGTCGACCTGTAAATCTTGAGTTATACGGATGTGGTAGGTGCTTTTTAAATATTTCATCATCTAATTTACCTCATTTTATTGGATGCATCTCATTAAATGATTTTTCGATTTTTTTTGTTTTTTTTTGTCTTTTAAAGATAACTTATTACAAAGGAAAGGAAATTAGTACTCTAACCAAACACCAAATAAAAATCAATATTGTCTTGTTTTGTTTACTTTAAAATCGGAAAATTTCAATATTTTATGACATTTTACGTAAATTCAATGAAAATTAACAATCTTAACCGGTTAGTTGAGCCTGATGCATTTCCATCCATAAACATTTCTCTATATGTATATATACGGCAGAGTATCACAATATACATCTTTTTAACAGTATTTAAATACATAAAACTCTCAAACACGGAAAAAACTCACAAAAAACATCCGATAGAAAAAACACAATTTTTAAGTCACAAAGCCAATCACAGACCAATGCGTTAATACTAACTTCAAAAGATTTAAATACGTAATATTGCACGATCTCATGTCAAAAATAATTTCTAAATTCTCTATGTTAGTCATGTGTGAAACAATTATGCAAATTATGCAGTCGATTATGCATTTTTTTTTTAACGATAGCAGCGGCCCCCACCACTTTTCATGCACCAAAACAAAAACTGTAATAGAACTAAATCGTGAAACAAAAAAAAACTATTCATTTTTTTTTTCATGAGACGAAAGTTTCTAAAAATTCATTAATAATAAATTTCTTAACCTCAAAAATTTATCAATGACCGTTTGTGAGGCCGTTAACAACAGCTTGAGCCTGACCTTGATCTTGAGCTACATCATTTTTCTTTCCACCTCGGGGGCGTTTTGCACTACGCTGAGGAAGAGCTTGTTCAGCATCTTTCGATTCAGAATTGTTATTCTCCCGAGGCTTTCTGGGCGAAGGAGTTCGACGTGGCGACTTTTTTTCAGGAGATTTCGACTTTCCAGAATTGGAGCGATGATTGTCCTCCTTACCATTTTCTTTTGGCTGTTTTTTCGGTTGGGGTTTGGTCTGATTTATTACAAAAGCATTTATAAACAATTGCCTTTATTTATTAACACTTCTTAAAATGATAGCTTACCCCTATATTGAGCGAATTAAGAATTTTGTCAGCAATATTTTCGGCTTCTTTTTTCTTTTCAACCTTTATTAAGAAAATATATAATATTTATATCATCAATGAGAAAAAAGCTTTATAACTACTAACCGAAATTTCGCCACTCAAGTCAGGTACGTCGATTTTTGTAACATTTATTTTAGCTTGAGGTAGCACAACATCGGCTTTTTTATTGTTAACAGGAACTTTCACTGGTGCTTCGACTGGCGCTGGAGGAGTAACTTTCTGAGACTTAGCAGCAACGGGAACAGGTGCAGGTGCAGCAGCAGGAATATGAGCAGACTCTGCTTTTCTTATTTCTAGAATAAACAATCACTGAATAAATTGAAAAACAAAACATTGTAATTATCATTTACCTGCATTTGGACTCACAGGTGTAGCAGGAGTAGAGTAATGACCTTTGACGCCACTAAGATGACCGAAATTTCTTATTTGTTCAAGGAGTTCTTTAAACTCAGCAGAATATTTTGTAGCTGTTGAAAATTGATCATCCACTCGGCGATCACTGACGAAGTGCTGTTAAAAGTAACAGTTGTTAACTTACAAGTCTAATTTTTTTACAATAAATCATGTTACATAGATACAATAGTTTGCCATCAATAATATATTACTTAAATAGTTTCGCACAATAAATAATCTATTCGTTAACCGACTAGTTCCTAACTTAAAAAACTAAATTCAGGATCTATTTTACAAATAAAATTAATGACATTTTCCGGATTTCAGTTAAATTAATTGTTAGCCGTTGTAATAAAAATTCTGTTTGATTATTAATAAAAATTTTTACTTTAATATCAGTTCTCAAGAAAGCCATTTCTTTTTCATTTAGAGTACTGGAACGATCACATCTGGCCTTTAATTCCATGCATTTTTTATGGCGATTCATCAGCATCGTTTCTTTACGAAAAAATAATAATAAAATAATACATTATACTTCTTTTTAACAATAAATTATAAGTACATACTTGCATCGGATTTTACTCTATCAACTTCAATCATTAACTGAGCTTCTCGTTCATTTAGCTCATCATGCAATTTTCTGAAACTAGTCTTAATTTCGTTTACGCTCTGATGACTGATATCAGATAGCTGAACTTGAACTCTATTTAATGAAGCTGCCATTCTCTGTAGGTCTTTCCACGATTTTTCTAATCCAGAATGAGGTGGTCGGGGATTGAAGTTAATTGGAACCATCTTTTCGCTATCGGCTCTTTTCCTATGTCCGGCTAAATTAAAATAAATACAATTAAGATTTATCATATACATATATACATATATATATATATATAGTATTTATCATGCCTTCCTTTTAGAATATTATAGTATTATAGATGAATCAAACTCATTTGGTTTATATTTTTTAAAGTAGATATCAAATTTAAAAAAAATAAATATTAACAAAGTTACGGCTCGCATAGCCCTAATTAAATATTTATCAAAATGTTTTTATGCTTAGGTGAGTGAACTTTGACTCGAACAAGTTGACCTTCAAACGTTATTCTAAATGATTCTTATGATAGAAATATCGATTTCACACTTAACATATCCTAAACTACACCTAAGGGCCTGAATGTACACTTTATTTTTAGAAGGAATCTGCACTAACAGATAATCTAAGACAAAATTGCTTTTGCAGAAGCAAACATCCTGAAATTACAGTAAGAAAATGAAGTCATTTCTAGGCGGGAGAGATCTACATTTAATTTAACCAACATAAAAAGAAATATAATTTGAGCGTATTCGTTCCAAGTTAACATATTAATACAATTAACAACAGTACTAGTTTTAAAATGTTAGCAAAAGTGGTAAAGTAAATAGTGAATTGAATGACTAATTTTTCCTTTCCAATTCATATCTTAGTAGATATTTCAATATTCAAAATAGATGAAATTGATACATTTTTATAAAAGTAATACAAGTTTTAGTGACTATAAATTAGAATTAAATTATTTTTTCAAGCCATCAATTCACTTAATTTGGCACTTCTAGAATAGCCTATAAAATTATGCTAAATATTTTCTACTGAATTTTTAATATACCTTGTTTTGCTTCTTTAGCTTTTTGCCGCAACTCGCTGGCATCCACGCCATGATTATTGTTAATAGTTTTACTCTCAGCCTGATTGTGAACTTGTATAGAATTAGGACGAGTTGCCTCATTCTTTAAAGCAGTGTGAAGATTTTCAAGTTTCTTGTCTCGACCTAAAAATTAGTATATATAAAAAAGTATAAATATTTTTAAAGATAAAACCATTTCTTAATGTAAATTATATACATTTCATAAAATTTGGTAAAAACTGACCATTAGCAATAGGTTGGTCGGATTTTTCGTCATCGTGCTGATTTTGAACTTTTTTCTTGTTGTTCTTCTTCTTCTTTTTAGAAGCCGACTGCTTTGTTGTATTCCATTCACCCAAAGCCTCTTTTGCTCCATCTGTTTTATGATCAATAATCGCATTCAACTAAGAGTATAACTTGAAAACAAAATATTCATATGAATTGCTATTCGACATGAAAAATATAATGAGTGGGCGAATTTCCATAAAACTAGGAAGAACTTTTCGAGTTCTTTACAAAATTGACGAGAGTATATATAATCGAAAACCTCATTCATTATCCTTAAAAAAAGTATACTAAGTTGGATGAATAAGCCTAAATAATATTTGGATAAAAGGCTTTTTTTTCGATCAGATGCTAAAACTTTCAACGTAATGATAACTCTTTATTTAACATAATTTTCTTTAAGAATTTCTCTATTTCGATCGCACGTTAATTCTATCTTAAGCCCCATACAATTACTTATTAATATTCAAGCGCCTAAATATAAAAATGGTCACGAATTTATTTCTATGTTTCACTTGCTTTAAATACATATAGAAGGCTTACTATTTTAAAATGTAAATTGTACATTCAAGAAATTCAATTACTTTATTAGGTCATCTTACATAATATTGTATTATGTTTTTCTTTAAATTAACTTTGGTATAATGTAATTATGATTTTAATCGTTGATCAGATAATAAATAGATGGCTTAGTTTATAAGATGAATATCGCATTTAAACATATTTAGAAATTAATAGCTAAATATAGATCATGCCTTCGAAAAAATGTATGCCTAATTACTTACCTGCTCTAACAGCTTTTATTGTTCTCTCCGGATCATTATTATAATATTCCAGGACCAACATAGTATCGTGGTTTGAAAGACTAGGGCAACTTTTTCGGACTTGTTGGACCTGTGTAAGTAAAACAAAATCTCAGAATAAATCAAAGTAACGGCTTTATTTTTCTTAAGAATATTACCAAGTCCCTCATTTGTTTATCCTTTGAATCTTTAGCTGCCATAACTGCGTTGGTTCTCGTATCGAAGTAAAGCGATTCTGTTATCCAAAATAATATAAAAGATTTAAAATAAAAATTGATTAAAAAAATATTCAAGAAACGAACAGCTGTTCTATGTGACAGTCCGAGACCGACTGATATGCTATCTCAACTTTTTATACAATACAGATACAGTGGACATTATAAGCATTACATAACACCTAGTGCCTAGATTCAAGACTAAATACTATCACGGCGATGTGTTTTTTAAAGGAAAAGACGTTTAATTACACTGACTGCCATTTAAACTGCATCTTAATGCAAATGCTAAGGGCTCCTAGCATTTGGCCTCAAATCAAGACTAGCGATATTTGTGAAAAAATCAGTGTTGAAAAATGTAAAAAATTTAACAAAATATCTCTAACAAAAAAAAGTTTTTACCATTGAAATTTAAACAGTAAGGAAGTCAAAGATACCGGTATACAGTAATATATAAGTATAAAAAGCTCCATCTTTATAAACTTCGCCAAGTGTATTTAGATATTTTAATACAAACGAAAAGATATTATTTTATTTTACGAGCAAACCTGTCGGCTTTATCTTTTGAAACCCATATGATGTTTATCAAAACTTATCTAGAAAAAGGTAGGAATAGAGGTTTTTGAAAGATTATACTCTTTCGTATAACTAGTGATGATAATTTAGCGAGATCAGACTAGTCTAAGGTCATGTTTCATATAATTGCGTTTTAGGAAATAAAAGAAAAATCAATATGTTTCAAGTTTTACAATAGGGCTGTAAAATAATTGATTACGCAACTGGGTGCGCCATATCGTTCAACAAGTTACTAAATAATATCCTCCATTTTAAAGAAAACAGAATTTTATTACACTATTAGTGATCAAAGAATCGGTGACGTTATAGTATCTTTAAATAGCAATAGAAAATTCAATACCGTCTGCATATTAAAAATAGAGTAAAATTCAATAAACAGAAGTTCAAACAGACTGTTTAATTATCGATATTCTAAAATAAAGTTACATTACCATCATTAAATTAATTTTGAATTAAAAATATTATTCCCAATATGTAAAAAATATATTCTTATTCTAACTACTTAAATAACGAAAATTGTCCTTTTTATCGTTGTTATTCTAATCAATAAAAAAAATTGCCTAAACAATCTAAACAGATAGACAATTTTGTTTGAAAACAATCGCAAAATTGTTACACAACCTAGACAACAAGTAATGAAGCATGTTAATGCTGCTATAAAACTCCTTTTAAACTTGCATTAGTTATTAATAAATACGAGTAATAACTAAAACAAAATGATATCTTGAGAAAAAAGATAATCTTAAGCTTTTCTATCATTTAGCTTGATATAAAACAGTATATAATAATACAATAAAAATGAATATTAACAAAGTAAAAAACAAGAACGCTTATGGAATTTTAACAGCAGGATATTCTATTCTAATATTTTCGATAACTAAAAACACGCCAAGGTATAAAAAAAAGCTTCTCTTAAGGAATAGAGAAAGGGAATATCGTTCAAATGTGTGCTTTGCATGAATGACTCATTTTCTCAAAAGATGGATGATTCAAGCAAATAGAAAAACTATTCTTCCTTCAAAATAGACAAGTTTAGGAGGACCGAAAGTTTTACAATTAAAAGTGAAAACAAGATTTATCCCAAAGGCCATGTGTCAAACACAGCTATGTTTATATCTCAGTTTGTCTTTGTGGACATGTGTTCCTTTTCTCAACGGAACAGGTCAATTTGCCTTCACGAAATCATTCTGAGGAGTTGATAATATTATTATATTAAAGAAATATAACTATGGTTAAAAAGAACGTATTTGAATATTCACTTGCAGTTATATTGTTTAGTTAACATTTATCGAAAAGAAACCAAGGCTAATCTGTTAGTCTTTTTTAAACGAAGGACTCAAAGAAAAAGAGTCTTACATAATATAATATTTGAAAAGATTGAATAAAATATCGATTTATCTATGCAGTCTCTTCAAACAGTTTAAACAGCAGACAATACATTATATACCAGAAAATTTAAATACTCTTCCTATAATCATTGTTTATGCATATTTTATAACAATCGAAATATTTTTCTATTAAAAATAGTCTAAGAGTCTTTTTTAAAAAAAAAAAATGTCATTATAGGATTTAGAATGGCTCAACGTTCAAGTGATTACTGCTCCATATAGTTACACAACAGATTGCAACAACACTGCTCATGTATAAATATTCGTGTTGAAATATTCATCTCCTCTATTTTTAGAAATTATATCGTCTACTTTTCAATAAAAACGAGTGTTATGTGGCAAAATCTTCAAAATTAAGATGTTACTCAGTCCTAAAACTAGGAAATAATCATAAAAGAGATAAGAAGTCGTTAATTATAGACAATACGATGTCTTGTTAAATGAAAATGAAAAATTAGAATATCACGAATTGGGAATCGCATTACCTAGATTTTCAAAACTGTGACTTTGCACTCTAAAAACTAACCTGACGTAACGACTGTAAAAGATTTTCGAAACAGAAAGCGATAGAGGCTGCGACAGTTAGTTTGTTTTCCTCTGTTTATGGGTTGCTTAGGATTTTTGGTTGACAAAAATTCTCTCTACTTAGTATAAACAAGCTGTCTGAGTGCAAAAAATTTCTATATGTTTTACATCCTCTGACAGAACAGCGGTTGGCTAGTAGAGAAAGACGGGAGGGGAGATTCAGTATCGAAAACTACAGAATTATAACATAAGAAAGGGGGTCAAATGTCAGCTATGAATAATGTAGTATTAATTAAAAAGCTGAATGCACAAATTATTGAAATTAATTCCATAGCCAGAGAATATTACACAATTCAGGAAAAATTTTAACGCTTTCACGGCTTTTTGGGCATAATCAGCTGATATCAATACCGGTTACGTAATCGTTTGATAAAAAATGTCATTTTGTTTTAAAAATGTAAACAGTTATAAAATATATTAACCGAACTAAATGTTTTCTCCCACCGAACTAATAAATGAATAATGAATTGGTTTGAATAAGGAGAAAAAGAAGAAACGCCCTTCTATATTATCGCTCAATCGACTATTTTTTTTCAACGACTGTTGCAAAAATATTTTCCTAATTCCTATGAATAACTCATAAAAGCCTAAAAAATATTTAATTTATTTCGATGAAACTAGAAATAATTAAATAAAAATTAAAAATTTTACCGGAATTAGATGGAGTTCCACGGTTCATCCTGTTTTCTGTCGTTGGAGTTACTTACAGGTCCGCACACGTTTTATTTTTTTTATTAGCGTATAATTTTTCGAAAATTTAAAATTCTTTTCCCAATTAATTAGTATTTTTTATAATTTAACCTTTCCAACTTAAATAGTAATTTTTTACTCTGATATTTCATAATATTATAACCATGGTTTGATAAACAAAGATGGCGCTGTCTGACAATTTGAAAGTAAAACAGAAAAAACTAAATCGGGGGTGGAAGGTAAAACCTTCCTCGAATTATAGAATAGGGAAATGTTATCTTTCATTTAATCATATTCCATTTGCATAAATAAAAGATAATTAGTTTTTACATTTATTGGAGTTTCTATTCTTTATATCAAAACGTACTGTTTTCGAACGATAAGTTTGTTACCTATAAAGTTTTAAATAGGTATTTATATTCATTTCACACGTATATTAAATATTATAAGATGTATATGTGATTTCTTTGACCTGTGATTCTATTATCGCCTATATAATATTTAATTTGTTGAAGCTCTTTAGTTCAATACATTTATAAACAATAGTAATTTCATCGAACAAAGAATAATATACATATAGACAATAAATTGTAGAATACCTTTAAAATTGTCCTCTTAGATTGTGTTTTTCTCGTCGAAAGCTATCGTTTGACTAAACATTAAGACTATCGTTAGAGATGAAGATAAGCTAATATCAATATTGTTAATCTTGTATCACACAAGATTCTTAGTACAAAGGTACAATTTTCAAGGATATTCAAAAAATTGAATAAATTAGTTAAGATATTTAAGTATAGAGTTTTTGAAAAAGAACGCACGTGCCTCTCTCATGAATTTTCGTCCTACATTTATAATGACAGCATTAACATAAAAAAAAGATTCGAATAACCTTCGAAGGAATATATATATATCATATTTTCTATGTTAAATTACTGAATAAACGAAATCGTAAGTATACAACTTGATAAACAACCGTTCTTTTTTTTATTTATTCCTTATCGTTTCAACTCTTTCGTCCAAACGAAAGTAGATTTTTATATATAATATTTACCCTTTTACTCTATATTACTCTATCTTATCAACATTTCTATTATTCAAGTTTTCGTCTTTTGTTCAATTCTCTTCTGTTTGGATTTAGAAAGAATCTTACTTACTTATAGGCTGATCTGTCTACTTGATGTACACGTCAAAAAACTGAGTTATAAAGGCTTGGTCTTTTATATACTTTTTTTTCCTAAATCGATGGATTTCGCCATATGACTAGGGATCAATAATTAGCTGGATCACATACATTTTCGAATGGCTGTTTCTTAGTTATAATAGTTGGCCGAATGAATAAATTAAATTTGCTACAAGTATGCTTTATTGTAAGTTGAGCGGCATATCAAAGAGAGAGGGAAAGGGAAAGTGAGTAAGGACTGGAAGGTGTCGGTCTCTTTATGGAAGAGGAGACTAAAGGATAGGGGATAAGAAACAAATGATAGATATACGAGAACTTGGAAATGAGAATAAAAACTCCAAGTGTACATACAAATTACGTGCACTCTTTCTTTATCATAATTACGTAACAGGCCGTGTTTGATTGTTATCTTGATCAAGATAGTTAATGTGTAAAAAATTCATGAAGATAAATATATAAATGTATGTATATACTGCATATTCTTAAGCAAATACAAGGTACATCCAATAGTTAAAAACATGTCTTTACGTTAAATATCAAAATAATAGGAAATAATTATCGTATAAGGTTAAAACCGGCTGGGGATGATTACTGGGTCAAAAGATCGAAAGAAAGACATAAAAAGCTAAAACCATTTTTACTAATCAATATTATGTTAGTGTAATTTAAAGTACAGAGTCTATAAATCAAAAAAGAGAGAATTTCAAGTTCACTATAAATTTTTACTATGTTTTACAGCTTAAATAGTTTAAATGTTAAAAAATTATGTAATATATATAGTATACTGTATATATATAAATTTATATATAATTATAACTTTGCTGTTGAAGGCTATTGCAAGTAAATTCAATTTTCTTAAACGTCATAAATATATTTAATTTTAAAAAATAAGATAAATATTTTGTTTGCTTAAAAATGAAATATAAAAATCGTTAATCTTTTTTTATTTTCAAGTTTAGTTTATTACTTAAAACAGAGAGAATATAATCATATAAAAAATTTTATCATTACCTTAATATTCTATAACATTTTAATATAATATGCAATTTGGAAATCGTGTCAGATTGTATACGTAATTTTCTCTTTTCTTCCTCTATTTTTGATTGAGAGAGAGAGAGAGACAAATATAATGAAGACTTATTAACTTATTAATATAGAATACAAAAGTATAACTCAATGAACTAACCCAAGAGATATAATATAGTATTTGTCACATTTTATCCCTCTGTATCAACAGAATAGGATATTTTGCTTTTTCTTCTTCTTGATCTTTTGTGGTATCTTTCGTTACAAAACTATATTAATCCCTCTTTTTTCTTATCCTACTTCTTTCTACTCAGGTACATACAATCTCAACTTTAATGTTTTAATTAAATACATATATAGCAGTTAATTTCGTTGCTATCATGAACACATCATTGCTTAAGTAAACTATACAGAGTTTTAATAAAGCGTATATTATATTGGCTTATACTACCGTTTGTTGTTTCTTTAATGACCTTAAAGTTACCTTGATAATAAATATCAAGAGAAAAATAAATGTGCTAATTGATATTTCGATGTTAATGCTTATGTGGCACAGCTCTTATAGTAGTATATCATATATGCAATAGAATAATATCGCAAAGAAAATGCTCGCCAACATTATCAAATAGAGTATCACGTTCCTATTTTGTCAATAAAAAATAATAAAGTTAGTATGTGCTTACATTAATATGCTTTTTATGCACCTTACTAATAATTATTGACGTACACCAGACGGCGCTAGAGTATGATAGCTACACTCTTTCCGTTTAAATAATTTACGCTTTCATGAAGCTTTTCTGAGCTACTTATAATAATAAACAATAATAGTGTAAAACAGCTTTAGGCTCTCTTTACGCAAAGAATTTAAAAAAGGCAAGAAAAAAAACTGGAGAATCCGGGGATCGATCCCGGGACCTCTCGCATGCTAAGCGAGCGCTCTACCGCTGAGCTAATTCCCCGCGTTGTAATACGGTATCGTTAAAGCCATTAAGACTCACATAGGTCTAAGAGTTGTAATAATTTAATAAGCCTAGTAAGAAATCTAAACTGCAGTTAGAGTCAGCGAAGAGAAATAAAGGCTAAAAGAGAAAAGATTAACAGCATTAAACAAAACGAAGAACTTAAATGTATATAAATGAGTTAAACTGAGAAAAATTGCAATAAAAAGGTGACTTTAAATTATTTTAGATGATTAATTAAATTGACAATTAATGAAAAAATAATCTTTAATTATACTAATTATAATTGAAATTTAAATTCTATTACAAATTTATACGTTATATAATTAATCAGGTCTGTAACAATAAAAAGAGTAACGCCCTTAAAAATGGATACAATAGGATGCTTCATCGTGATATAATAATCATGGATGCCCCATTGAATTGAGTATAAAAGATTGCATATATGTAAACAACCAATTAACTACAAAATTTATCATATAAAAAGAAAGCTAACGTTCTCTTATTCACACTCTTAATTTTTTGTTGCGATTGTTAAATATGAAATTATCTTTCTTATCATTTTGTATACAAATTACCTTTTCGTATCAATTGTCTTTGCCTAAAAGTTACTTTGGCTGTCCAACAGAAAACGACTGGGATATAGTTTCTATTAAAAATTCTAATACTGGAAATTTTCTGCAATTCTGCAGCTTAAAAGAGAATGCTCACTTCTCTCCTCCTGCAAATAACTATTGTAGTCTTCAGAAAATTTGTCTATCGAGCATTCAGCAAGATAATATTACTATAACTGAATACGAGGTATTCGGAAACATTACTTTTGGAAGTATACATAAGAAGACCCTTACCTTACATCTATGCTGTCTGACGAATTCACAACCGAAAGTTTCAGAGGAATATATAGTGTTTTCATCATTAATTGTTAGTTGATCTGATTAATTTTAATAAATAAAATAGCTATCAAAGTACATTATTAGAGAGAAGACGAACAGTGTGAAGTAATAAATAGATATGAATTTGTAGACGAAGTATCTATTCAAGATGTTCTCAATACAAATAGCAACTACAAGATATGCCACTATAAATTTATAGGTAGGATTTTTCCATTTCTTATCTTTAATATACAGTAGTCGTTTGGGTTTCAATATATATTTTTATCCTTTTACATTAGCAACACCGAAAGAATGCCAATACGCTTTCGACAATGGTCTTAGTTATAGAGGTCTTCAAAATGTCACTTTAAAGAGAAAGACAAAATGTAACGCTTGGGAGGGTTCCTCCGCAAATAACTTCTTTCCACAAACAAGCGGTTCAATCGTTGGAACAAATTACTGCAGGTTGAAAACATACTCCAGAAGACACTAGTTTTAGTTTATTACTAATTTATCATTGTGAAATTAGATTAGTTTATCCTGACTTTCCCGAAGTTTATTGCCATCAGGACGTACATCTTTTTCGAATTACCGATCCGGACGGAAGCTATTGGAATGCCGAAATATGCAGTATTCCAAAATGCGGTTTGTTTGTTAAAGCTATTAGATACTTTTTAATATGAAGTGCATTGTTGTTGAAAATAGAGGAGTTAAACCTGCCAAACATAGCATTCCATAAAGGAGTTTATGCTTCTCAAGCGGGTGAAAATTTTATAGTACCGGAAGTATTAGTGGACGGTAAGAAAGGTAAGATATAATATTCGATATTTATAAACTTGTAATATAGTGTATTAAAGCGATATAATGAATGAATGCATATTTTAAAAAAAAGAGACATGTCTTCATCTACCCAAATCCATTAAACCGTGGATTCAAATTGATTTTGGTAAAGAGCAGGAAGTTTTCGCTTTACGACTTGATAAAACATTAAGTAACTTAAAAATTATCTTACCTATTTTCTTATTGACATTTTATATTGATTTATTAACAGTTTCGTCAATAATTATGAACAATATAAATATTTATGTTTCTTTGGGACCAAACGATTTTCAAAATGGTCTTGCTTCGATTTGTGTACATAATTTTTCAACTGGTCATTTCCTTAGATATAGATTAGAATGTGTAAAACCAGTTAAAGGTCGTTATTTAACTCTACAGGTAGAAAATAATCTAAATATGTTGAAAATAGCATGAATATCTAATAAAAAAAAACTCTTTAAAAGGTTGGTGTAAGTAAGGAAAAAACTCAACCATCTCCTTCCGTCTTAGCTTTTTGTGAAGTTGAAGTACTCGGAAATGGTAAAAGAAAACAGTTTAAACAATATAAGAAAAACTGATATTTCTATTTTTATAATTGTGCTAGAAACGGGATGTGGTCAGGACTTGGGATTCGCTAGTGGACAATTAACCAAAGGACAAATTACAGCATCTTCCGAAAAGGACGATATGAATAGACACTATGGACGTTTAAACCATGAAAAGGCTTGGTGCGCTTTAACAACTGATAAAGATGCATTTTTTTCAGTTAATTAATAAAATAGTATTTATAAGAAAATTTAACATAGAATTTAATATAAAATTCTTCAGGTTGATCTTCTCTACGAAACGAAAATTCAGGGAATAACTGTCCAACCATTAACTCAATTCGGAAAAGTCTTTTATGTGTCTAAATTTCAAATATTTTACAGTAGCAATGATATCAAATGGAAATCAATAGATGTATTTGAAAATTATATTAAAGTAATCAATAATAATTCAACTTTTTAACAGTTTTCTCATAACAATTCTCTTTCTTTTCTCTTTTATTAAAAAGAATTTTACAGTTAAATTTGATAGGTTACAATCGAAATTTTTCTATTTCAACAGCCCTTTATGGGCTCGTTATGTGAAACTGGTCGTTAAAGATTATAATATTGAACCTTGCCTAAAAATTGAGCTTGTTGGTTGTCCAACTACTAGGAATAAAGATATTATTGTTTACTCATTTCCACAAAGCGAATATTCACAAAGTAGATTCTTAACACACATCCGTTTTGGTTTTTTTAAATAATTATCTATCTGGTTTTTTGTTTAAATAGTTAATACTACATCTGGAAAGAATTGCTACTTTCCATTCATTTATAAAGGAATTAAAAGAGATAAATGTATTAGAGAAAAAGATGAAGGACTATGGTGCTCTCTTACTGAAGATTTCGATAGAGATAGATTAAAGTCTGAATGTTTAAGTTAGTTTATTGATAATTCCATATTTTTGGAGATTATATTGTGTCTTTTTCTTCAGTAAGAACATATGGAGGGAGCGGAAACGGAGGAATTTGCCAGTTTCCTTTCGATTCCTGGGGTATATTTGAAAATAGGGAATGTATGAACTTTCATAAACTGCACCCTTGGTGCGAGACGAAAGATAAGAAATGGGGATATTGTATACCATTTACCATACCAACTCCATCAATGTCTGAAAAAAGTGTTATTACTCCTGAGAAGGCCGTTTGCTCGGATTTAGTTAAGTATAATAGGATAGAATGTGGCTTTAAGTTGTCCAAAGACGACTGCGAAAAGTTGGATTGTTGTTATTTAGATGATGGAAAATCACCAGCCTGCTTTCATAAAAGTTATTATCATATCTATAACATTTTTCTTCCTTTTGCTCGAAATAAGTCAACTGTAATGATCTATTATTTCTAGGGAACGAATGCGGTGGAAAGATCAATTTCCCAACAAAAATAGCATCTCCAAACTATCCTTTCTATTACGGGGAAAATTTAGAGTGTACATGGCTTGTAGAGGCTCCAATAGGTTCATTTATAAATATCAAATTAGAAGCTTTAGACCTTCCTAAGAGCGAGGGCATATATCAAGTAAGTTTAAATATTGAAAACAATTTTACAAGACATCAAAGAATATTATCATATAGCAAGAAACATTAACTCTAAGAACGGGAGAATGCCAAGATAAAGTAACTCTTTACGAGGTTACATCCTCTGGAGAGAGGACTTTTATAAGAAATTTAGTCAACGGAAGTCCAGATATTAAGATGATATCTAGCACAAATAAAATTGAAATAGTCTTTGAATCCTGTCCGCGAAATACCATAACAGAAAATCAAGGGTTTTTAATTACTGTTTTCTTTCAAGGTAAGAAAGTTTAGAGTTGTTTTAAGTTAACATTCATATAAAAAGTAATTTATATAGGATGCTCTGGATGCTTTCTTGGTCATGAAGAGTGTTCTTCCACGACTTGTAGAGATTCTTGCGGCGAAATTGCTTCTCTAAACTTTCCTGCAAGTTATCCATATAATGAACAATGTAGATGGGAAATTCTAGTCACGCCAGACAATTTTATTGAAATCGAATTCCTTTACTTCGATATTGTTAGTCAAAATCGATTTTGTTTGGAAGATTATATATCGGTTACCGATGTTGATATTAGCGGTAATTTAGTTGAAGTAGGAAGATTTTGTAACAGATATCAACCAAGAGGAAGGATTCGTTCAAGTTGGAATAGGCTAATCATAACTTTTACTACTGATGGAAATGAACAAGGAAACGGATTTCACGCAACGTATACTGAACTATCTTACGACGGTGGATCAAAGAATTTTAACGGTTTAATCATTTATTACTTTTTATATAAATCATATATACAGTATATACAGTATATATATACACTATATACTGTATAAAATACTAATTTATCTCATTTAAACTTATATATAGAAACTGAAAAATGTGAGAAACCTCACTGGATTATGCACAATGGAATTTGTTACTGGCATGTGGAAAAAAATGATGGTATAACTTGGAGAGATGCTGATGAAGAATGTCAAGTTGATGGAGGACGTTTAGTTAGATTACTATCCGAAGATCAAGTAAAGTTTATTCATACAAAATTGATAAACGATTGGGATTCAGATAGTAAAGATGTTCACATTGGTATTTATTTATTAATTCTTATCAGCATCATCTATAGCCCGTGAAATAGAATTGAACTTTTAAAATAAATTTTATAGGTTTATCTGATATAGACGAAGAAGGGACATTTCGATGGATTGATAACTCATTTCCATATTACACGCAATGGTACTTTTCTCATTTTTAGATAATTAAGAAATACACTAATTGATATCATTAGGGATACCGATACGACTCCAAATCAGCCAGATGGTGCAGAGACAGAAAATTGCGCTGTAATCAAATTAAAAAGTCAATTTGCTCTAAACGATTGGCACGATATTGCTTGTTCATCAGATAAGGTTTCAATAGAATATATATTTATTTTATAAGTGGAGGAAATACTATATTTCTTTTCTTTTCTTTTTTTATATAGGTTCAAAGATTTGTATGCGAAAAGCAAAAAACATTTGTTAGCACAGTTGATACTCAAAATATCTTAAAAACTAGTAATCAATGCGATAGAAGTTTATTCCCATGCAGGAATGGTCAATGTATTCCAAAACATTTTAGATGCGATGGAAAGATACAATGCATTGACGGCTATGACGAAGAAGATTGTCCAACAGGTTAAAAAGTTTCTTTACATTTACTTATATAAATTTAATAAAGAAATCTGTTCTAATAGCTTGCGACGGATTTCGTTGCGATAATGGAGAGTGTATATCTTCTTCGTACTTTTGTAATTTTGTTGAAGATTGTATTGATAGATCGGATGAAAGAAATTGCGTTTATCCAGAATGTTCTGAGCATGAGTTTCAGTGTGCAGATAAAAAATGTATATCGGAAGAAAAAGCTTGTGATCTGATACCAGATTGTTCAGATGGAAGTGATGAAATCCATTGCGGTAATTACTTTATAGAGAAAATAATTTAAAACGTGACGGTTGATTTATATTATCAGCTGAAAAGTGCAACAAAACAAAAAATTTCGAATGTTTTTCTTCAAAATGTCTACCTATGAGAAAATTCTGCGATGGATTTGTTGACTGCCCTGGTCTGGAGAATGAAGATGAAGGTGATCTTTGTCTTCAGCAGCAAGGTCGTACTTGTAGATCGTGGCGGTTAAACGGTTATGAAAATAATGGACATTATAAAATTAATCCGGATTTGACAGGTTTTCTTGTCTAATTAGCTAATATTTAATGATGTAATAGTCTTTTCTCAACAGTTCCATTCGATGTCGAATGCGATATGGAGTCTAACGATGATGTTGTCGTTAATATTATTCATTTAAATGACGAAAAGCCACACTTTATCACCGGCTTTGAATCTTTCGCTTCCTTCAAGCTAGAGCTTAGCTACTTGTATGCTTCGAAGATAGAACAAGTAACTCAAGTGGTAGAATTAGCCGATTATTGCGAACAGCATATTGAATACCGTTGTAAGGGATCCATCATTTCGGATGGTGGTTTTAGAAGTAGATCTTTAGATAATACTCTTATTAATTGGGTTATTGAGGACGATACGAAAGACTGCCAATGTCATTTGGATTATGCTTGCAACGTTTTAAATAGAACAAAATGCTATTGTCAGGAAAATGACGCTACACTATATCTGGTCGATAAGGGATTTTTAAAGAAAAAGGAGTACTTACCGTTGGTTCAAGTTGTATTTGGTGATACGGGTGCATCTGTTGAAGAAGCATACGTTACCGTTGGACCATTAAGATGCTACGAAAGTAGAAATTTTCTTATAATTAAGCTTGAATGTTAATAAGCCATTGTTGTTTACAAATTATAGAATACGATCGTAACTTGGCTAAATATTCATGTAAAAGTGGGCAAGTTGTTGAACCTAAAACCAAATGTATTTACGAAGAAGACGAATATAAAAATATTATAGGATGTAGGGATGGTTCTCATTTACAAAATTGCGGTTTGTATTAGGAATATTTTCCAAGGGATTTCATTAAAAGTAATCAAAAGCTTGTTTGTTTTAGAATCATTCCAATGCCCTAGTGGATATATTAAATGTAAATTGTCATTTTGTATTCCAGTATGGGCTCTATGCGATGAAGTTAAACATTGTCCATTGGCCGACGATGAACAAAATTGCAGTTAATTCTTTCATTTTATTCATACTATTGAATTATAAAGATTTTAATTATTCTATGCTAAGACATAATCATATCTTTACAGAGAATTTCACATGTCCTGGAATGTATCAATGTCCTAATTCTAAACAGTGTATCTATTCATCTCAATTATGCGATGGAAAAATGCATTGTAAAATGGGTGAAGATGAAAGAAATTGCTATCCAACATGTCCAAATGTTTGTAATATGTCTAATATTTTTATTAACTCTTTAGTTTTTAACATATTATTTCCATTTTTTTAATAGAATTGCATATGTACAGCTTGGCATTATTCTTGCACTAGCGGAGTTCAATTGGAACAGTTTGATTACAGAATTAGGAAAGCTAATCTTGAAGAAGCGGAAATAGGACCAAAAATAACTATTGATCCTTACTGGCCTTTTATATATGATTTAGATTTATCAGGAAATAACATTGAACAATTAAATTCCACACAATTAAGATTTATGAGTAATTTATTATTTTTGAATTTGGGGAACAATAAAATAAGCCTATTACGATTTCATACTTTTATTGGTTTGGGAAGGTTGGAAAGTTTAAATTTATTAGGAAATCCTATAGAAGAAATTGAAAATGGAGCCTTTATAGGCCTTAAAAAAGTATCAATATTGAAATTATCATCAATGAAAATACGAAGTATATCAATGAACGCTTTCGAAGGATTGGAAAATCTTATCTATTTGGATATATCTGACAATAGAATATCATTTATTCACAAGGATTCATTATCAAAATTAACGAATTTAGAATATTTTGACTTTTCAGCAAATTTAAATCCCGAAATGACAAAGAACAGTCTTGCATTGTTGACGAATTTGAATAAATTAAAGTCGGATGACTTTAGATATTGCTGCTACGTTCGTGACAGAGTTGAAGAGTCTGATTGTCATCCACCAAAGGACGAAATCTCTTCTTGCGAAGATTTAATGAGGAATAACATTCTAAGAGCCTTTGTATGGTTGTTTGGAATTAGTGCTTTTCTAGGAAATGCTTCAGTTTTATTAATTAGAGTACTGAGGAGAGATATTAAAAATGTCAATGGAATATTGGTATCAAATTTGGCTTTATCTGATTTCCTTATGGGTTTTTATTTGTTGGTAATAGCAGTCGTTGATAATAAATATAGAGGAAGTTACGTTGAGCACGATTATAGTTGGCGAAATAGGTAAGTTTTCTCCTTCACTTAAATAACTTATTACTAATACATTTTACTGTTAGCAACCTTTGTGCTATTTCTGGTTTTATTGGAACGCTGTCGAGTGAAGCATCAGGTTCAAATTGTTTTTTCTTCCTATTAAGAAAATATTCATAAACATTTATATTCGTCTTTTCAGTGTTAACCCTATGTCTTATAAGTATAGATCGTTTTATATGCGTTGTTTATCCTCTAAGTACGAAAAGAATTACTAAAAAGTTCTCCTTCCTCTTAATTTTGGCTGCATGGCTATTCGGAATTGTTCTATCTGGCCTACCAATGCTATCTATTGAGGTATATGTATATTTAGAGATAAATTACAATTCCACTCTGCTTTAGCTTGTCTAAAGTTATATTTTCTTATTTTGTGTTATAGTATTTCACCGGTAAAGGAAACGTAGGATTCTATAGCAGATCTGGTGTTTGCATATCCCTTCATTTGACAAAAGAGGAGACTCCTGGTTGGGAATATTCAGTAGCGGTTTTCGTATTTATGAATTTTATGGCATTCCTATTCATTTGCGGAATGTATATTTATATGTATAGAACTATTCAAAAGTCGATAAAGTATGTACTGTTTACGTTAATACTTCATATGATGAAAACATATAATTTTTGGGTCTTCTTCTTAATTATATTAGATCCTCGGGTAGAAAACAACAGTCTAATGAAATGAAACTTGCCAGAAAGATGACTTTGATTGTCGCAACTGATTTTCTTTGTTGGGTTCCAATAGGAATAATGGGTTTTATGGCCTTGGCTGGTTATTCAACCCCTGGTCAAGTTTACGCTTGGACAGTCGTGTTCATTTTACCGGTTAATAGTGCGTTAAACCCCTTCCTATATACTATAGGTGACTTAAAAAGTCAGGTACGTATTGAATATAATAACTATAGGGGGACATAAAGCAAGTGATTATCAATTAAAGGGCATACTGAAAAAGTTATCAGCCAGGCTTGGATTAACTAGTATAAATGAAATACCAGAGCAGTGTAAGTAATAAACTACACGCTAATTAATGCACTAATTAGACAGAGACATTTAATTAAAAATTAAAATTAAATACAGCAATGATTACTGAACATTTCTTTTTGGAGAGTCAAATTGGAAATGTTCTATGGAGAAAAGATCAACTACAAAGTACGCATATTACAAATTTTGAACAATATTCAAAAAAGAAGAAATTGATTAGTATAAAAAATCTATTAAGAATATTTGAAGTTTCTGCAAAAATAATTAATGACATGCATACAACTGGAATGTTATTGGGAAAAGAAAAAGTTGATTTTAAAGATATTTTGTTATCGATTGATTCAAAAAAAGTATAAATAAATATGAAAAATTATAGAATTAACTTATTTTTTATCCATTTTTGTTTTTCAACAGAATATTCAATCAATTAACCTACTCGTTGAACCATGTGCTAGCGGTAAACAACCTGATGATATACTGTATTTGGGTAAATTAGCAAAGAGCCTACTCCGATGTAGAATAAGTAAACCTGCAACATAAAGACATATTATCATATTTATGATCAAATTCTATTCTTTCCACCTGAAGATATAAAGTTAACGTTGTTTAATTTTTATCTATATCTGATCCACATCACAGTTTGTACAGTTTTCCAAACAGATTGTTTGCTTATTAATATCGTATATAATTAAATATGTAACAAAAAAGAGAGAAAGTTAATATTTGTGTATTAATATTGTTTTCTTCATCATTATTTTGTTTAAATAATACAATGTGTGTAGTTCTATAAAGAAATACAACTAAATAGCAAAAAATCTAAAGAACTAAATAATCCGCTGGGTGGCTCTGCCTGTTGGACTTATTAATTTCATATATTATCGCTCGGAAATCTCTATTTTATCGTCTTTTCTAAGCACTTTTCAGTATCGGTATTAAAAATCTACCTTAGATTTTGTACAAGTATTCTGTGTAATATGGGCAAAAGTATCTCTAGAACTTGTATCTCGTTGTAAAATGGCAAATAATTGTTTAGATTTGGGTATTGCAGAGGAAGACTTTGACACTCTTCTTAACGCATATATGTAAGATGTAAAAAGCAGAGTATAAAAACTAATTAAACTTGATGAATATTCATAAAATATTTTAGAAATAAAGAATCGATACCATTAGAACAACAAAAATTACTTTGGAATGCTTTAACGAAAGAAGATAAAGAAATTTTGAGTTGTCGATTAAGTTATATAAATAAAGTTTGTTTACATTTTTATATTGGAAATTTACTTGAAATAGAATAGATGAAAAGATAAATAAATTAATTATTCAACTAGGCTGAAGATTGTTTAATGAAAAACGTTGAATTTTTCAAGAGCATATTCAAACGGTCGCAGAAGTATAAGCAATTTCAGGTTTGTACAGATTGGTTATATATACAGTATACAGTATACTTGTATATTTAAATAGATATGTATTTTTATTCCTTTTTCAGCCTATTAATACTAATTTCTCCTGCTTGTTAAATCTAATAACGAGAGAATGGTCTTTAGAATGCGAAGACGAACTAAAAGAATGGTTTGATCCAATCATAAATGAAGTTGATAATTATAGCACAGCTAAAGACCAGCAATTACGGATAATGCATATTGGAGCTGATTTAATGAGGTTTAATTTATCAAAGATAATAGATTCATTAAATTAGTTTTCTTCAAACAACCACATAGATTATCTTATTGTTTGGCAGAGAAAGGATTAACAGTTGACGCCGTAACAGATTGTATTATGAAGTATCATATTATCAGTTCAATTTTTGAGTAAGTAATCTATATGTGTTTCATATTGTTATTATATAGAAATATTGATATGTAAAGATGTACTGCATATACACTTTATACATTTTGTAGGAATACAGAAAATGTTATATACCCTTACGCAACCCAATTTGATAATGTTATTGATTTAGAAAATCAAATTCGAAGTACCAAATTCCCTGATAAGCTATGTAAAAAATCTATAACGGATTTAATAAATATTAAATATAATTATGGAGATTTCTCTTGTATTGGTAACTATGCTAATAGAGAATTTTTATAACATTTTCTATAGAAAGCAATAATTATTAGATTCTAGTTATGATGTTATTATAACCACTGGATATTTCCATTTGGATTCAAATGTTTTTCAAACTGCAAAAGATATTTATCAGAGTTTAAAACCTAATGGAATATGGATTAATAATTGTCCAATTAGCCTATCCTTTAAAAAAACATATCGTGCTCAAACAAAATTCTCTGGATATTCTTATAAAGAAATACTAGATGAAGTTAAAGAAGTTGGATTTCATATGGAGGTAAGTAAAATCAAGCCTTGATTCTTACATTTATACATTGTATACAAACATACAGAAATCGAATCTAGATAAGAAGACTACGTTTTGTAAAGATAACAATAGAATGTTATTCGAGAGATTTAACTTGATGTTTTTTCTTGCTCGTAAAGTAAATCAATAGTTCTCTCTTTATTACCTAAACAATCATTATTAAATAAATACTTTATACATGTTCTTTTTACATAGTAGATGCAGTACAGGGATATGGCGGTATATTTAAATATACGCAATACAAATACTTATTCATACATAAATTATATATATATATATATATCATAACTGTTCAGAAACAATAACAAGAAAAATATCCTTTTCATTAGGGGACATTTATTCTAGTTTCACCGTCGTCTCGCTGTTGAACGTTTATTTCCTGATATACTTCACCGTCGTCAAAGTCAGGATTTATCTTAGCTGGAGTTAAGGGTACAAATACGTCATCACTCATAGGTGACAACTCTTGATAGTCAGAGGTAGTGTGACCTGTAAGTGGCTGATAATCGTTATCCTGTTCACTCTGGCGAGGTTGTGGTCTGGTAGGAGCATTTTCCTTCGGGGCGTCATCAGCGGAACTAGAAGTCTTAGATCTATTCGGAAGTCTAGGGGGTACAGGATGCTGTATTTCGGAATTCGTAGGCAAATACGGTTTCACTTCGTTCGAAAAGATGTCAGAATCAGCTTCGCTATAACGAGTGTCCTTTCTTTGCGTTTCAAACACAGCCGGTACGGAATGAACAGGATTTTGAACATAGTAGTTTGATGCTGGTGTTACTTGTGGAGTTTGCTTCTTCATCTCACTTAAAGTCTCTTTTGAAGCTGTTGGCTTTTCCTTAGTTGCCTTCTTTTTTGTTGGTCTGCTTCTCCTATTCCGATAGATATTACAGTTTTAATGACACCTATGTAAAAAAAGTAACTTACCTTTTACAATAGCATATTATAACAACTAATAAGAGGACAAACACCAAAACACCACCAATAACACAGAGAACAATTAAAAGAATATCGTAACTAACTTCGCATCGGGTACCCGAATATCCAGAAGTACAATTGCATTTAGTCTGGTTATCATTTATTTTATAACAAAACCCACCATTTTTGCAATAATCAAACAGGCATTTATCTAAAGTTGAAAAAGAAAGAATTTAATTGATTTATAGAATAAAACGTCAAGCCTTACCCTTGCATTCGCCTTTATCGCGTAGATAAGCATTTTTACATTGACACGTGAATGTGTCGGGAAGTTCTAGATCCTCACAAATTTCGAACGCGTTACAGTTATGAGTGCCACTTGCACATTCGTCAGTTGCTTTTAATATGAAAGAAAGAATAAACGAATAAATAAACAAACTGCAAGTATTTATTAAAATATTGGTACTTACAGTAACAATCTGATTCACGTTTGCTTCCAGTTGGTGACGTCTTTTTTTTACCACAGGGTATACATTTAGTATTTTCCGTCAGAGGTATATTAGATGGTTGAAAGGTTCCCGCTTCACATGGTGTGCATTCACCTTTGGGATAAGTTCCTGGAGCACACAATAGGACGTCACATTCTGCTGCACCAATATCTGATGTTGTCTTATTTGCTGGACAGAGAGTGCAAAGAGCCGATATCTTTTTGCCATTTAAACCTAATTTTCGATAGTATCCGCGTATACATTTTGTACATGAACTTCCCCGAATTTCCATACCAGATTCACAATTTTCTAGTTAATGTTTCAACACGTTATAAAGTATTTATATTACTAAAAACAACGTACCATAGCATTCATTTTCAGATCTAGCTTTTGTCCCAATTGTTGTCATATTGACAGGACATTCATCACATTTTCTTGTAAATCCTGTTGAATGGTAAAAACCATAATCGCAATCCAAACATACGCTTCCATGTAAATATCTTCCAGGTCCACAATCTGGTTCAGTACAATCGGCAGCAGATTTACTCCCTTCTCCAATAGTACTGAAGTTTTCCGGACATTTATGACAGCTCATTGGGCCTATAAATTCTTTATAAAAACCCTTTTTACACATCTTACACGAGTCACTATCGGCGTATTCCCCTTTTCCACAAATTACTATTTAAGAAAAAATAACCTTATACCTTGTTTAGTAATTTATTTAAAAGAAAAATTACGTATGCAATCTGTCTTGTCTTTTGATCTTTCTCGTAATGTTGTAAGACCATCAGGGCACTTCTTGCAATCCGTTGCATACTTTTCATCTTGATAATATCCTATTTTACAATCTTCACAACCACTGTTGGTTTGTTTTTGTCCTTCACTACAATCGTAGATGCATAATGCAATATTATCAGAACCTTCTTGCTTAGTAGTTTTTCCTATGGGACATTTGGTGCACGTTTCACCAAGCTTAGTTGCATTGGTAGTTCTCCTGTAATATCCCTTCTCGCATTTAATACATAAATCCTTTTGTCTGTAATATCCGTTTTCGCAAAGACCTAAAATAGAATAGAATAAATAATACTTTCATTTTGATTTAAAAAATGTAATTATTATAAAAAATCAAACGTTTGCAGTTGCTCTTGTTCGTTGATCCTCTATCTTGCGTTGAGTAATTTGGATCGCATAATTTACACTCTTTTTTATCCATTTCATCTTGATATTCACCATAGTCACATTTCTGACACTCTCCAGTGGCTATTAACTTGTTACCCGGAGAACAAAGAGCTATAAAAAGAGATAACGTTTTACTGAAAAACAACTAATACAAATAGAGAGTACTAACAAGCATCGCAAGATTGTGAACCGGCTGAATAAGTTGTTTTATCAAAAGGACACTTTTTACATTTTACGTCAATGTCCATGCTGACCTTAAAGAATCCCCTTTTGCATTCAGTACAATTAATATTATCCAACGATTCTTCACCCGGAGGGCATCTCTCTGAAAGATAAATAAATCAAGTAACTAATTTATGTAACATTTTCAATAAGAGTTTCTTACTTTTGCAGCTTCCTATATTCATAGATGTATCCTTCAAAGTTCCATAACCATCAGGACACTTTATACAGAAGGTTTGATTTAATTTGTCTTGATATTCATTTATTGGGCATTTTAGGCATTCCATAGTTGATGTTTGTTTAAATCCTTTTTGGCATACGCATTCCAATTGACTTTCAGCAGTTTCAGAATTTGTTGTTGAGCCCGATTTACATTTAATACATTTACCTCCCAAATGTACTTCAGCTTTTCGATAGTAACCGAATCCACATTTTATACAATTGGATCCATCTGATTTATAGCCAGATGGACATTTATCCACACAAACTGTGGATCCTGGAAGACTAGTTTTTGCACTGTCGCATTTAATACATTCTGTCGATGCCACTCGGTTTTGAAAATAATCGGCAGGGCATTTTACACAGACGCTTGCCTCTTCTTTGTGGCCAACATCACAAGGCACTAATAACGTTTATTAAAGACAAAGGTTAAATGATACTACTTTAGGTAATTAAATTAAATGTAATATTTACTGCAGCCTTTCGTCAGGAATTGGTGCCCTCTTGAACAACTGTAAACTTGAGTTACCGATGTATCTTGAGGATTTGTATTAGACTATAAATTGTATAATAGTTAGTTACTAGAAATGAATGCATTTAAATATTTTACTATTCTTACATAAACGAACTTTCCGGATGTAATCATGGTTTCTAGAATGGCCTTTACTTCTTTAAGAACAAACTCTGTTCGCTTTGATAGCCATTTCCTTTTACAGGAAGAGCAGGTAAAGTATCTTATATATTTAAATTGTCTTACTTACTGTATATTGTAGTATGAAATTATTACATAATTATTAAAATTTGTACATTTTGTATCCACAATGAAATTGTCTAGAGCGTCTCTTTTCTCATACCCTATCCCCCATGTATCGCTTTCTTCTCCTAATTTTTTCTCAATAAATGCTTTAATTTTGTCTTTTTGACAATCGTTTAGGATATATGTAAGCTTTACGTGAGCGTTGACCCGTTGATCGCGTTCAATTACTAAATATAGATTTAATTAATAATTAATTGTGTGAATAAATTAAATGTATAAGTTGGAATAAATTTGACTAACTTATTTTGCAATCTTGTTTAAAGATGCTGTTTTCGCCTGTCGTTGTATAGCCGCTGGGACATAAATCACAAACTTTTTTTGTATTATAATTTTGGTATTGTCCCACCCGACAATAGACACATTGGCTTCCTGAGACAGGATATATACCATGTCCTATTGGGCAGCTTAAGATATCTGCATAACATAAAATTACAATAAGAAACCGATGGAAATATCATTACATCAGTATAAGTTTGTATCTTAGAAAATAGCTAAATCAGTTACGTACCGCATTTTCTTTCGTTGTTATTGTTTACTGCTATCCACACATATAAATTGTTTAAGCAAAAGTAGCCACTTTGCTTTACAGAAATGCCATTTATATGTCTCATAATTAAATTACAATTGGAAGGTGTTATAGTTTGTAATATATAATCCGTATCGATTAAAGATGTTAATCTTTGTGAACACTCTCGATAGGCAGCATCGCTAGAAAATGCAGGAGTGAAGATTGCATACAATTCAAAAATGAAGTTAACTCCATCACTCCTAGAATCATGAAACTCCAGTGTGAACCTTATATTATCTGCGCAATTAAGTTTGTCATTTGTATAATTGCTCTTATTTTCGAGGTCAATAGATATTTTTAATTTATTTGTGTAATCCTGTAAAGGGCAATTAGCTGAACTTTCGTAAACAAATGAATATAATGTCTTAAACACAGCTTGATCGGCAGAGATGACTGTAGTAAAAATAAATAATAAAGAGGAATAAAGTATTGTAAAAGAACAATCATTTCTAAATTGTATACATTCTATAAATACTAATAAAATACATTTACCGAAAAGGAAAGAGGGAAATATTTTAGTTAGTTTACAGTTAACGAACTTATAAAATGATATTTGATATCTTATTATTAGTTAAATTTATTAGTAAATTGTTTAGTTATTTGTAATATTTATTTCATAACAAATTGGCAATAATCTCTCCTTCACTCCCCTTCTTATCGTTTTCATTATTGATATTATTATTATTAGGTTGAACCAAGCTAACCTACTTTCTTTTTGGTAATTTTACTTCCAATTCTTGACAACCAATAACAAAAAACACAGTCAATACTCTATGTAGAAAACTATAAAGTTGACCTTAAAGATCTCTTTTCTTAATGTTTTATCTTTCATTTGAGTTCTAGCTTATCCAATAAAGTACGCAAATGTATGAAGGTAATTTGTATGAATGTCAGATATACATACTGAATGATGTATGAATCAAAATTGAATTAAATAGAACATATATATATAGTATATACTGTATATATACTTATATATTATTGTATGTTGATGATTTTGAATAGAAAGTACACGAGATATTAGGAAGCAGTTAATCTTGTCGTTAGGAATACAATATTGAATTTATATAGATAATATTTATGAATTAAAATTATGTTAATTAAATGATTTACCTGTAAAAACTAAAGATAATAAACTAAAAGTTGCTAATACACAGTTCCTTCTTTCAGACATTTTCAATACACTAGGAGAGTCGTGCGAATCATTCTGAACCAATAGACGAAAGCCTTAGGCTTAAGTTATTGAACGTAAGGCCAAGATCTTATTCAATTTTTTGTTTGAATTTCTGTATTGGGCCGTACCAGTTGCCATTTGTGTTTTATATAAGATTTCTAAATAATATTTAACCTCTTTAATGTATTTTAAGCGAGACTATTCTAGGTTTTTATCTATTCTTGACTTGATACTTAGTCGATTCCAGAAGTAAATTATATTGAATGAAGCAATATGTAAATATTTATAAAGCCCAAACTTGTAAATAACCTGGAATTTTGTCTTTTGACGAGATAAAGATCTCTTTAAAAAAATGCAAAATCATATTCTGATTATCTTCTTAATTTATAAAAATAGATTTTTTATTTAAAGAAAATTATTTAACTAAATGTTTCTCTTCTTCAATTTCATGATTTTCTTGCCTTCTCTTTCTTAGGCATGGCGAATTTTGAGCGGAATTATTCATCGGCTGTGAATTTTGTAGTTCAATAGCCCAGGGAAGTTGACGTATGAGAGCATGATTAAGAATACTTTCGTAACACTCGTCTCGATTTATAATGGCTCCAAAGAGCAACGGCTGGATGATTTAATTTATTTCATATTAGTAATATTGATATACTTTATCTCTCTCTCTCTCTCTCTTTTACCTGATCTTCAGTTTCGGTCTGAATTTCAATTGCCATTCCATTTCCAGGAAACCAGCTATTGTATTTGGCTTTAGCAACATTTTGAACGTTGATAATTGGAATGAGGAGATTTTTTGAACTATGAGCCTTATTTCGTTCGAAACATATAAAACTGTTTCATCAAATAAACAATTTTAAAGCATTAAAGTGTGCTTGCACGCGTGATATTAGACTATATTTCAGACCTGTTTGTAAGATATAATTTTCCATTTTTAAAAGCTGACGTAAGCGGTTTATCTCTACTAATTTTTGTGCACCTCCTCCCGTGAATCCACCCTAAATATATATGTATGTATATACAGTATATTGTATATATGTAAAATAATATAGCCTATATGATAGAACGTCCTCCGAATTTTTACTACGAATACTTTCTCCGTTTCGTTCCCCTTACCTGGTAAAGGCTTTTCCGTTGAAGGTAAAGAGAAAACTTGGCAGAAAGCCACGTGACTCGTATCCAAGTTTGCCTCGGTGACTTCTTCATTTACAGACAAAACATTCTGGGTTAGGAGAGAAACGAAATACGCAAATGAGCGAGAAAGCAATGAAAAAATGATGAAACAATGGGTAACACACCCTATTAATAGCTGCAGCTTTTAGTTTATTTTCTATCTGATTATCAGTAGGCAGATTCATCCACATATTATAAGTTGAATCATATTTACGCCGTACTCTCGGAAATTTATTATAGATAGCGTCAAGAATGAAAAATTTCACTCCCAAATATAAGCCGGTAATACGAAAAACGGTACTACCGGAAAATATAGAAGTGGCCAGAAAGAATAGTAGAAGAGTAATTACTAGGCGTTTCGTATAAGAATTCGATTGCCAAGTCAATAAACTGCAATATGTTCAAAAAACTATAAGTTAATGTTTTTTTAAATATGTAGAAATGAAAGAAAAAACAACATAAAATATTTATGTTAGTACTTTTTTAATTTTTCTAAATTGTCCGAAATATTTGACACTCCAACCTGAGAGAAGAAAAAGTTAATAATAATATAATACGTATATATTCAAATGGAGGAACTTACTTGAACTTTAGTGGCTATATTTAACACTAATTGTACTTTATCAGTAACTCCAAGATCCTTTGTTTCTTCCTTATCCTATGTAAATAAATGGAAGTAGGAAGAAGTAATAAGCTATTCATATATTAATTACAAACGTCATTTTCCGAATTGTCGGGGAAAAGTCGGAAATTTATATTCCATCCTCTACAAATAGGATTAATTAATAGATTAATTAGGGTAAATTAAAGACGTAAATTAAAGTATATTCACTTGACTTGTAAGAAATTAATAAATAATTTTAGAACTGCTAGAAGACACAAAAATGGAAATAACCAACCATGCCAAACTAGATAAGTATACAACTTAAGATAGTTTAATGAAAAAGGAAATCGATTATAAATTTTCAACAAAATTTACTTTATTTATTTAAACTTACGCAAAGTGTAATAAAAGAAACGGCAGGATTTTTCCAAGTTATCAAATAATGAAAATATCTTATATAATCATAAATTGGTTTAGCGTCGGTTCCTTTAAGTAATGATAGAATAAACATATAGTATACAGTATTTGGATCTATCATTATACTTACTAAATCTTTTAATCGTTTCTTTCAGTCTATATTTAAAAATAAATATGAATAAGAAATTCCTATTATGATAAAATATTACTAACTTTTTAACCGATAATTGCTTATTTTCATTACTGTTTGCAAGACTATCATCAACACCCTGATCTTCGCAGAAATCAGCAAAAAATTCGTAAAATTGAGACACTAGCCATTCATATAGGAATTGAAATTTCCATAAAGATTTCTTTGCTAATCCACTATTATCTATTAAAAGGTGTTTTAAGTCTTTAAAAAAGAGTTTTATTTTTAGATTCAACGAGTATTCTTACTCTCTTGTGACAATTGTTCTTCCACGACAAATTCTTCATCGTCTTCCTTAGGCCTTTATTCATAAATGTTTTATTGAATAGACCGAAAACTAATTATTTTTATTTACTTGTTATCTAATTCATCTAGTTTTTGAGACAGAATATTATTCAGTTGTTTATGTTCATCAACGTCTTCGTTTATCATCATCATCGTCGTCTCCGTCGTTGACGTACCGGTTGACGTCTCTACCGTTTTCTTCTTTTTAAGCGTATTTATGCGTATTAATCGGAAATTTTTAATATTCATTCAAGTCATATCCTAGAAGAAAAGAGATGAATTATTAAAATGGTACCCGTCTTCTACATATTTTTGCCTAATCTTAGAAATTATACATGAATCATAGAAAAATGTGAAAAATTACACTGAAATAGAGATATTTATTTATTGGAAAAAAAAATCTGCACAGAAAATCAAGTTAATTTAAGATATGAATAAAGAAAAGAAAAGACCCTTTCCTCTCTTATTTGAGGAGTGAGATTAAAAAAAAATATAGATAGATTAGTAAAACAAGAGTAAAATAAAAAGGGGATGCCTTAATAAAATTTCGCCAATACATATCCACAACAACCGGTTCCTTTAGTATAACTAACGTAGAAAATGCATAAAACTACGAACATAGTTCAAATCTACTCTTTTTTTTGTATTTATTATTATTTATAACGTTGTAAAAATTTCTCATACGATTAGGCCGACAAGATTTTTCAATACGAATAATATATTTATATTTATAATATTTCATAAAGAGCATACAAATGCAGTAACACTAACCGTTATTATTTCTTTCTTTTTTACAGTTAATACATTCAACATAGCTAACCTAAATTTGTATAATTTTAATGTAATTATATAAAATATCTAACCTATAAATTATCTATATTATATCTTGTTTTTAGCAAAACCTTGATAAAAAAAATACCAACATTTTCTCCCCTTTTTTTATACAATAAAGTAACAGCTGTTTCCAACTTACAATATAAATTGTACACTGTGGAACCTTTAACGTCTTTTCCACGCGAAAACACAAGGAATAAGGATTAGTAAATTCTGTTTGTATTTAAGAATCTTCTTGTGTTAATACTAGCTTAAAAAATCTTTTCTAAACTTTCAAAACTACTCTTACTTAGTCCAATAGTTGATATTTTATTATTGATATGCAACACGGCGCCATCTGGAGGCGAAAGAAACACAGTTTCATTTGTGTATACTATATGTATGTATATAATGCATTAACTCGGGATTATTCAATTAATATTTCTGCGCACACACACACATATATATATATATACTGTATATATATAGTTGTAAACAAAACATTGTCCACAGAGGAAGATATAAAGAGAAAGAAGATAAAAATTCTTTGCTTTTATAGTCTCTCTCTCTCTCTCTCTCTCTCTCTCTCCATTTTGCTGAATAATTTTATATGTTAAGAACATAAGAATGGAGGAGAGAAGGAGGGAGAAAGACGTTTCTGTTTTAGTAAATTAAATTCTATCTTCGTATTTATATTTATATTTATTTCTATTGATTATTTCTTTATAAAAAAAAATTGAATATTTTTTTTACATTCTGTCTATTGTTCCTACAAAATGATAATATAAAAAGTTTGCAGGATTATTATATTATATTCATTTTGACACACACGTACATACAAACTCTCTTTCTCTCTCTCTCTCTCTCTCTCTCTCATTCCCTTTTACTGTGATAAAATCAATTTTCTGTTGTTCCCCGCCATCCGCCCTTTACTTTTCCTTCTATCAGCTTAAATACATATATGTATATATATATATATATTATATCCTACTGTCCACTTTCTCTCTCTCTCTCTCGTTACTTTAATAATATGTAAACGATTTAGTTGTTAACATACAACACTGAACATCGAATATCAATTATACAGTATAGGATCATCTACAGCAAAACTTAATGGTTTTTCTGTTGTTTGTACCAGTAATTTTTTACCATTAGATGATATAAGCATAATTAATCTAAAAGATATAGATTTGGAAAAAAAGTAATAAACTGTCTGTCTGTCTCTCTCTTTTTATATGTCTATACTGTGTATATATGTTAAAATCATTACGTATTTTAATTAGTTTTTAATGAAATATAATTAAAAAAAGGAAATAATGTGTTGCATGATTATATCTAGAGGGTAATAAAGTTTATATCTACTATATACAGTATATGTATATATCTATGTAAATTTAAATATATGCATGCATACCTGAATAGATTTATCTATACAACAAAAGTACAGATGCTTTTTTTATTAAAAAACTTATTACAGGTTGCTCCATGAAGAAATAACACAAAATACAATATACGTTACATGATTCATATATCATCATATCAAATTTACTGTATAATACTAATAATTGGTCTTCTGTTATGCATGTTATACTTTCAAGTTCATTTCAATCATGCTTAACATGTATATTAAATGAGTAAAATATTAAAGTCGATCTATTTTTAAACCAGTTTTTTTCTAATATTATCTAAAAATTTAATAATAAAAATCAAACAATAGTAAAAGGAAAAAATATGCATTGATATCGTTTATTCTCCTTTAAATTGAAAAGCTAAAGAATAATAATTTACACAAAAGATAAAACTCCTATTTATAAACCCACACCGAAATACACCAAGAAAAGAGACTTGAGGACTACTTGATAGTAGCGAAAGGTCGCTAGGAAATCGTTGGCGTAGAATAGAGTTTCTAGAAGACTGCAAACGAATCCGGATTGAACGAAACCCCTTCCATATTGGACAAACCAAGTGTTTTCTTTCATAAAAACGACTTCACTTTCTCCCGCTAGTGTGTTTACTGCAGAGCCTGTGGTAACAATCTTTTAGTATTCATCTAACATTAAAGATTGAAAATACTCAAAAAAAAAAACCATCAGTAGAGTGGTTACCATTCTTTTATATTATATGTTAAAATTATTAACCTTTGCTAAACGACGTAGTATCAAAATTTGATTTCTTCCAAATTTTTGCTTGTCCATTAACGATATTAGATGTTATATTAACCCACATTCCACCAAAATGTCCGCTTCCTGATAGAGGACTTCCACTAAAGATTACGTATTCGGTAAGCGATGCATGTAAAACGCATACGGATTGCGATAATCCGCCTATTTTAATTAAAATCCATTCTAAATCAGATTTAGGTAGAATTTTACCAGGAAACTCTTTCGATAATTCTCTATGAATATTTTCAAATGATGTTTTAACATTCTTATCTAAACCCAATTAATTGTTTAATTAGGACAGGAGAAAAATTAAATGAATGATACGTTTAATCATTTATTAGTAAAATACAAAAGTAACACAAATAGAAGAACAAAAAGGTGGAAGAAGATAATGATAAGAAAGGAAGGGATAGCAAAAAGAAAAGCAAATTGTATAAATCCTTACCAGTTTGCTTTTTAACAATTGATGTTAAAGTATCGTTATTGAATGTAAATGATTTGTTATTAATCCAAGTATTAAATAATGCAATAAATATAGTAATAGTAACTGCGTATTTAAATAATTTAAAGCAACAACGAAACAACGCCATTTTCAAATTATTCTCCTCTTACTTAATATAATTAGAAATGTAGGACAGGCCGCCGTACGAGAATCAACTAGAGAGAAAGTGACATGGGGATTATACAGAGGTGGGGTGGGGAGGGGGAGAGAGTAGTATAGAGCCATTTAACCATGTGTTGCTTTATTGTTCTCATTAATCTATAATTTGTTTCAAAGTACTAAGGCCTACGATAGTATATTTCCAGGTGTTTAACTACTGTATTTAATTTTCCAAACATTTCGATCCAAAAAACCGACAAAAGTGTTAATAGGTTGCATCCTCTGGAAGGAAAGGAATAGATTTTCCATCCAAGAAATTATGTATTAGGTCAATACATTGTTTGGATGTCTGAAGAAAGAACAGACGTATATAATATGTAGTTATATTATACTTCAGTGTATAATATTAAAAGAGAAGAAAATCTCCAGTAACAATTATATACAACTGTGAAAGATTTACCTCAATAAATAGGTTGTCATGGTACCAGGATACATGAGGTGTAATAATAATATTTTCTTCTTTGTAGAAAGGATGATCTTGTGGGAGAGGCTCCGTTCGAAAAACGTCTAGAATAGCAGCACGAATCCACTTATTACTAAAAAAAGATAGTGAAGATATTCAACTTTATTGCTTTACGATTTCCCCAATTTAATTACCGTAAAGCAGTTAATATAGCTTCGTCCGATATAACATTTCCTCTTCCAATGTTAATAAACACCGTATTCTAAATTAGTTGAATTTCTATTAGAATTCTTGATTGCAATATATTCAAAACGAAAATGAAATGAATACGAAAAATGACAACAGTCCTGTTTTAGGTTAATATTCAAAATCATTTCTATCAGGAATACTTACTCGGTTTTGACAGGCTTTTAGGGTTTCTCCTGAAAGTATATCTGTCGTATCTTTTGTCACAGGAAGAACATTACAAACATATTCGCAATTTCCTAATACCTCGTCTAAATCTTTAACAGTCCTGGCATAATCCACATAATCTTCTTTTACTTGTCCAGAAGTATTAATCGCCCAAACTGTCATTCCAAATGCTTTACATACTCTGGCAACTAGAAAAGATTAAGAATGATTAGTTTAAACAAAACCCTTAAATAATAAAACAGTGAATTAAAAGAAAAAGCCATTACTCTTTTTTCCTATAGTTCCAAAGCCCAAAAAAGCAATTGATGAACCATTGAGTAGTTTTATAGAATACACATTCGCCATGTTATCTTTTAAAGGCCATAAATTCTTAGCGCCTTTAATATTTATCTTTCTTTCCAATAGAAATAATTGATGAAAGAAATACTCAGTCATTGGATGACTTATATGGTCCTTAATTCTGCATACTGGTGGCATCTTTTGAAAACAAACGTATAGAAAGAATTATAATAATCATTATTTTTTACGTTTTTAACAGTTTTTCTTGCTAAAACAATATGCTCAATTCCAGCCATTGGTGATATAACTAATTTAACATTTGGTGCTTTTTCCAAAAAGTCACAGCATCTTACAGGAGATGAAGCAACTGTTATGACTATATCAGTGCCTTCGAATACGCTCTTTTCCGTTGCTAATAAAGAATATACAAATTTAAGAAATAATAAAAATCATAGTTTATGTATAAATTTTCTTACGAAAGGTAAAGTATTCATTATAGATACACCTCTCATCAGATTTGGGAAAACTATTACAAGATGTCTTGGGTAAGAAGACAGCAACGATTGTTTTTCTCTCCATGTCTGTTTCAATATTCAGTTCTCAGTGTTGTGTGATAACATATCATTGGCCTCTTCTTTTAAAAGCATTTATAAGGCGTAACTAACATTGGTCCTGTTCAAAGGTAGAAAAATAGAGTTTCAAATTTATCTTTTTATATACAATATATATATATATATATATTGATATATTAAATATATTGTACAGCATATTAAATATAAAGATCTGTTCTAGAAATAGTAACAAAGTGAAAAACTTATCATTAACATGCTTTAAAATTAAATTATAAAATTGCTAACGTCATCCTAAGAGATCCAAAATTCTCGAGTGTTTCTTTGTGTTAATGTCCTATCATATCAAGTTACAAAATTAAGCTGTAGAGAGATAAGGGAAAGAATTCATAAGGAATAAAAAGTGTAAACTACAAATAAGAAACATTCTTTTCTCTATATTTTTTACCTGCTAGGTAAAATCTATTGAGATTCAAAGGTTATTTCTATTAATGAAACATTCTTTACATTTGGTTTTGTCGATACTGATAATCGTGATTTGAGTGACGTAGATCCTGTCATGGGAATCGTTTTGATCTAAGCGGAACTGGTGTCGGAAGCATTGAGTATTGATTGTTGACATTGTAAATAGATATGGAATTGATTCGGCATATAAAACTTCTTATTTAGCATTTCTCCTCTCATTGCTCTATTTTGTAGTCTATTAAAAAAATTGCATAGAAATTATAACGTTTAGCAAATTATTGATCTTCTCTTATGTTGACATATGTATCCTTTAACAGCTCATTGAAAAAATCAAAGTTTATCCATTATATTCTAAGGTTCCTCTTTTTTCCTCTAGTCCTCTTATCGTTACAGCGAATTACTTGGAACAATTTGTTTCGCATAAACATTCAAGTAGAAGAGGAGAGATTTCTGTCAGTTCGATCATTCATGCTTAAGATTACCGTTAATGTAGGAAAAGAAGCAATAACAAAATTTTCATAATGAAATCAAAGTAAGAAACGTAACCTATTAATGAAATCAGAGTTTGTGCTCTTCTCTTAAGAAACAATAAAAATTATAATCATAAAGAAAAAGAATAATTCAGAATGAAAGCCATATTTGAAAAGAACAAGTTAGCGCAAAGATAAATAAATATTTAACCTTTTCCTCTTACATACATCATCATATTATTCGATTATATGACTTGTAAGAGGAGAAGCAAAGTAAAGCTTTGCCAGGTGATAAGAGTCTGATATTCTTAAACATCCAAGGCTAATTTTAATATAATAGAAAGCCAGAAAGCCTTAGATTTATTCTTTGTCTTTTAAATTTCATTTTTATTAATGATAATGTTATTTTTCCTTTTTTTTATTTCATAAAAAATAGTCTAAAGTCATTAAACAATCAAAGAAAAGTAGACAGAGATGGGAGAGAAGAGGCCATGGGGGAGAGAGAGAGAGAGATAAGTCCATCAAGGAAGAGAAAGCAAAAAGAAATTGAAAAGATCTAATTATACATTCTGTTATGAAAAAGTCACTTGTCTAATCCGAAATTCACTTCGTAGCGAAGGAGGGCCGAGTCTATGCTTTATCCATCCACTTTCGTGGGCATCTAAATAATCTTTGTATTTTTCCGACTGGATATAATGGATATTACCTCCTTTTGGTATTATCTTCCATTTTGTCCATGATTCTTCGCTCGGTGTTTCCGTCATCGTTACTCTTGTTTTTTTCGTGTAATAAGATATTTCTCTCTCATGAGCGTCTAAATAATGTTTCGGAAATTTTACGTTTTCCAAGTAAACGAAACCATTCATAGCGTCAATCACCTTGTTAAAAAAAAAACAAATGTATAGCTATATATCAATATATAAATAAATACTGTATGTAAGAAATACCCGCCAATGAGCTGAGATATGAGTATCCACGTCTTGAATATCTATTTTGGTTTCAATAGCACTGTTGTGGGTGACTTTCGGATCAGCGTCGAGCCACCAATTAGGATATCTGACAGATTCAACAGAAATAACTTTTCCATTAAATTTACTTGTCATGTTCAGCTGTAGGGGAGGGAAATTAAATCAAATAATCCAAAACAAGAGGAGAGGCGAGGAGGGAGAAGAATAGCGTTTAGGAAACAGTACACATTGCTGTGATTTCAATACAAATATATGAAATATATTTATGATTAATAATGGCGTCCAATATGGAGTTTATGGGCTATAATCTATTATAAAAATTCAATGAAAGATATCCTTCAGATAGTAATAAACACAGGAACTGTTAGTTCGCAAGACAACAAAGAATTCTGCTACGGATCAATAAAACAAATATTCTTTTAAATGGAAATTTCTTGATTTAAACGTTATCAAAAGGGATTATTAAAGTCGTTTAAGTCTTGTGGAAAGACGAATTATTCACGAGGAGAAGAGAAATATCCAGACAGAATAAATTGTAAATAGTGCATCTTTTTAATTGAATTATAGAGGAAAGAGAAAGAAAAATGAAATAATATACATTATACCTCGTTAGCAGCTTACCTGTTCAAATAAAGTTACTTAACATATCAATAAATGTCTTATTTAAAATATTAAATATGATTTCTAATCGAGTTGTTCGATTTTGAAATAAAAAATAAATAGCGTAAATCCTCCATAGGACAAATCCGTCTTACAACTTTTGAAAAGTAGTATCTTTTACAATATTACTCTTTTGCAAAAACACTAATAATAGCGATTATAGAATAAACTAATAATTATAATAATAAATAACAACATTGTAAAGATGAAAAGGTTAATTAATCAGGTTTTTCTTTGTTTTTGTTTTCATTTTTGCTTAGGAAATATTAGACTAGCACTACTGATTAATTTTAAAAAGTAACATATTCGCTTTTATTGTTAAAGAGAGAGAGAGAGAGAGAGAAAGAGATGGCAAGGAAAGATTAATAAAATAATCTATAAGTACAGATGTCGCTACTAGTCTTTAATAGTTGTTAGGAATTTGTACCTATAATTGGGCATGTAAAGTGAAAATATTGAAAATGGAAGTTATATATATAGACTTCATAATGCACGTACAAAGTTCCTCTATCCACAATCGATAAGTTTTCAATCATTTGTAAGTTTCTTAAAAGAATGGGTATAAGAAACGCTATATGCGATTTAGAGATAAACTAGAAGGGAACCGTAATTTATATATCTGATGCTTATTGACTTTTTTTTTTGGTTTTTCGATTCTTTATGGAAATTTGTGTCTCTCTTGCACAGGATTGTCTACTCGTTTATATATCATAATATATATACTGTATAGATACAGTCTATTATACTGAATATCTGGAATTTTGTACAGTAACTCTTATAAAGCAAAGATATTTATATTTCTCATAATTTTGTATTCAAAACAGTTGAACGGATTTGATAAGTTATAATGCTATACCAAAATAATTCAATAATAAACATTTTGAATAAATTTTAAGCAAGTAATATAGATTGAAAAAATCAGTTGTACTAAAGAATGTGTCGGCGAGAGCAAAGGTTAACGTGGACGGAATAAACCCTCTACCATACTCGACCATCCAGGTGTTTGCTTTGAAGTTAACGGCGGTTGCTTCACCCCACGCGTGGAACGGTGTATCACCTATTAGAAGTTGTAAAGGAGAATTAGTTGTATTTACCTCTTCTTTATGCTAATACAGTGTAGAAATACATTATTATATTAGTAAAAGGAAGCGAAAAATAATAGAGTAAATCAAATACTCTTTTAGATAAACATATCAATTTTGATAGTTAATTTATGTAAAATAGACATAGAGCTTAAGAGAGAGAAGATACTTGCATATACATAAATTTATATATATATATATTTATTGTATTCATTCTAACCTGGTTTGTATATATTTACATCTAATGTCCCTTCTACCCATTGATGGAACTCTCCTGTAATTAATGTATCTGAGACATTTGCCCAGTATCTACCAGAATGGCCCATAGTTTCCAATGGTGTACCGAAGAATAGTAAATATTCGGTTGCAGAAGCATGAAAAATGCAAATCGATCCCATCCATCCCCCAGCATTCATGAAAATCCATTTCAAATCCTTCTCTGGTAGAATAGTCCCATTATATTGGGTATAAAAGTGCTTATGGATGGCCGAAAAGGTTTTTTCAGGAGATTGACCTTTGACTTAAAATAGAAAATAGGCATATTGAGCAAAAAAAAAGAACCTTTCTTTAAAGTCTAAAATACCCATATATTTCTTGGTGATTGATGCTACGCTTTCTTCGCTGAATAGATAGCTTTTGTTTACAAGCCATACATGAATAGCAGGTACTATTATTGCAAGTACAACAAAAAGTTTTATTATACAACTGATACACGACTTGCAGGACATCGTGGCGGCTGTCTGCTAAATCGTTCGATCACGTGACAAATCAGCTGTTCTCTTTAAATAAATTCTATTGGCTATAGTAAAGAAGAGAGTAGTTTCCGCAGAAAATTTTTTAGGTAAACACGTGTCTGTATGTTTGGTTTTTATTTATTTATATAAATAAAGAAGAGAGCAAATTAAAAAGAAAACAAAGAATGCAAACGACAATTTTATTTCGTTTGAGAGTATTTAAAATGAAAGCAATGTATTTATCATCTGACATCCGCATAAGAGAGAATGATTAAATGAATAAATGAATGAATGAGTGGTGGATAGATATATAGATGGATCAAATTGATAGATAGATGAACAGTGAAGAGTCTATTAACAATGTAGGCTTATTAAAGTATTAAAGAAGCGTAATTAAAATATCTTCTCTTCAACATATGCTTTCGTTCATAATTGATTAGCATGTATTGTTTTTCATATTTTAAAACACAAAGAGCCGTTTGTCCTCCAAATAAGAGATCTATATATCTATCTCTCCCTCACCCTTTCTCTCTCTCTCTCGCTTCCTCTTTCTTCACTCCCCCTCCTTCCTTCTCTTACGTCTAACTCGTAAACTCGTAAAAGATCCTTGACAAGATAGGAAATAGGGATATCTTAAAAGTACTCTACTCTCACCATATAACTTTGCCACAGTTTTGAATAAATTTAAGTCCTCTTCGGTGCATATATAGGTCAACTTTTTTCAACATACTTTTTTTCTAATTTAAGGACAGCCATACACCGGTTTTATCGAATAGTATTGTAACTGAACAGCCGATTTCCTTATCACGTGTTATTTTGTATCACACCACCATAAGAATTTGTTTTTGTGAGGGTGGCAACCAAAGGGTACTGGAACACGCCATTATCACGTGATTTCTCAGCTGTTTGAAGTATGCAAATAATGTTTTTGGAAAATAAATCCACCTTGTAGAATATACAGCATAATTTAGTGGATAGGACAACTATAACTAAGCTACTAATCTATTTATGGCCATTTTACATTAATACTGTATAATTAATGAGTAAACCCAAAACGCACACGCCTGAATGTTTATCTATTCAATGTATTACCGATATCACAGAAGAGAAGCCGTCTGTCTAAAGAAAGAGTAGTTAATTATAATGATGTCTGGAAAAAGACCAAAAATGCCAATTGCATTCCTAAATGAAATTTTTAATAAGCACGATCCAATTTAGCGTTTCGAAACTGATAAAGAGACTATAAATACTGTATACTAAATAAACATAATAAACTTTATACAGTATAGTGAATAGATTATGATATTTATACGCTTACGAAAGCAATAAGTGAAATTTACGTCAATATAAATTTCTCTTCATGTTTCATATCGTAACAAGAGATGACTTTTAATATTAAAAATACAAATCTAGACCATTAATTAAACTAATACTGATAGTCCAATTTCATAATCCTTAAACTAGTACAGTTATTGAAGTGTATACTTTAGCTATTATTTTTTTTTTATTAATAGGCCTATTAGTTTAATTTAACGAAAAGTATTTCCAAAGTATGGTAATAAAATATTATGGTTATTTAACAAATTTTGGGAACTATATATTTACTCTCCTACTTGTGAATTAGGTATATACTTTATATAAAGACGTATCTATAGGAAATAATCAGAACGAATTTTTCCTTTCGATCGACGTTTATTAATAGATACAGATTTTTGCAGATTTTCTGCGTTATCTCCAGGCTATATCTCCTTTGGAGTCTTTTTTATAATTAAGAATATATCAATGCAGAAAAAGGAGAGATTCTCAATACTACATTATTCTATTCATGTAATAGTTATTTATTTATGTTGAATCTGACTTTAAACTTGAATAATAAAGCTAAAAGTTGCTTTTTATATTCAAATATTACTTTTAATAACACTAAGAAGATAATGAACAAACGTTACGGTTCTGTACATCAATAAAACATTTCATCCATATACTAATGAGACTTTCTATATATTTGTCTAGACTCTATAGGATCGTAAACGATACATGCTAAAAATATTACATAAAGAAAATATAAACACGTGTAAGCATGCAGTATAGACACACTAGAATAGAGAGAGATAGTAAATTCCTTCAACAGACCACTATTATTGTTTACACTCTCTTTGTTTCTTTTTTTGATTATTCTAAATGAAATCTCATAGAAGGTGTTTCTTCTTTTGTATTGCATTTTGAGGTATTGAAAAATAGCAACAGAATAAGTAAATACGTTATTTGATAGTTGAAGATATATTATGGTTATAAATGGAAATCTTGCTCTAGAATATAATTTCACAGTCACGCTCTAATATGTCGTTTATTTGGAACAGTTTGTCATTTTTTTAGACGTATTCCTAATTATAACGTTATTTATTTACGTTCTGATATATAGATCAGTATTTTTAAATTTGTTATCAGAGTCCAAACTCTCTCTCTCTCTTTCTCTCTCTCACTCTCCTAGTTTTTTAACACAAAAAGTATACAAAGTATGAATCGAGTTTTTCTATTGTTTGTTTGTTCATTTCTTCAAAAAGGTATCAGAAATTTAAACCAACGTATGGATATAATGACGTTTGTAAACCTCTCTTTTCTTATACGAGTATTAATTGGAGAATCGTGTGAATAGTTGATGTTTTTTAGTAATATTTACAGAGGGAAGGAATATGCAAACACTATTGAAAATTTTCTATTGAACATTACCAAGAGAAGGTTTTTAAACTTAAAAAAAAGATTTCCCATAAGCCGATATATTCTTCATTATCTAAGAATTTATAACAGACTGAGTACAATTTTACGGCTTTACTGTTCGATAATTTCTTTTGACGCTTACTGATGATTGGTTGTAGTTCCATAAGTCCATTAATGCTTATCGTGTTTTACTGGTTGCATTCATGTTTGCTACTTCTCCTCAATTCCTCTTCAAGTTTATGGCCATCTCATCTTGTTTTTTAAAAAAATTCTCATATTTTTCACAAAAACATAGGTAAAGAAATCATTAAAAAGTATTAGTGAACTAATATTTCTCATCTTTCAGGTAAACAATTGAAATACTTGTACAAGTCTACAGAACGTCATAGGCTTAAGATAGGTTTAAAATTCTGTAAGACTAAATATAAACTACACAGGGAATATGAAATACAGAAGGTAGACCAATATTTTAGGCATAGAAGACATAGAAGCAAAGAGTGAAAGAGAGAGACAGACAGATACATAGACAGATAAGTCTTTACTTAGGCCGTCATGCAGACGAGACTGAATGAAAGAATGCAATAATGGTTATTTCTTTTGGGTAAAACTATCTTGAAATGTGTTTGGCATCCGCTAAGTGTATTATTTTGCTAGGTTACCAAGAAAATAAATAGATTACATAGCAATTTATAATGTAAACTCAGATGTTTTACTTGTCTTTTATATTGAATACAGAAAATTTAATTATATCTTTATCAAAATAAATGTTTTTCTTTGAATAGCAAAAAGAAAAGAGGAATGATTCACATAAGAACATATTGATAATAATAAAAAGGCAACAATAAAGAGAAGAGTAGTCTTGTTTTTATGTTTCGGTGGTATGTTTTTCTGATGATGTTTATTAGATTTCATTAATTACAGCAATAAATATAAAATACATCATAATGAATATCTATTTTCCTTTTTCTTTCTCTTAAAATCATAATGATGCTTTAAAACATAAGAAAAAACTGTTATTTACTGTTTGTAACCTTTTGAAAGAATAGTAATTTTTTATGGTTTGCTTGTTGAATATTTTTCCTAATACTGTTCAAAATTCGGTAAAGGCTTTTCATCGTAGAAGTCGGATTACACAGGCTGCTTTTGCTATTTTTTGCTTTAATTTTTAGTATTCGTTTCAAGTTATACTGGGTCTTCCTCCCTTAGAGCCAAGCCTTCTACAAATTTCAGCATTCATAGCACACCATAATCTTGCAACACATCCTACATTAAAAGATAAATGACGGGTTCCAGTCGAGTCGGGCGAACCGAATGGCCACTCGTATTCGTTAGGCACAGGTCCTTGAATGTTCTCCTCAAAAAAGCGAACCAAAGGATACCATAGGTTAGCAAGTTTTCTATGAGCCAGCTGAGAATTTCTAATACTTGGATTTTCGGCCAGCATATGATAATTTGTAAACATTTGCGAGGTTATATATAATGCAAGTATGACATCGACAGTGTAGTGTTCATGAGCTATGAGAAGAAGAATCATAGCTGCTAAGCATAGTAGTCTAAATATCCAGTGAAGCAATGTGAAAGTTTGAGGGCTGTATTCAATAAGCGTTAAAGTAACGGCCACCATATTCACCGTATGACCGCTGTATATATAATCACCACAGGTAGTTACACCCTGTATTGACATTCCCATCCCGCGAAAGATGAGAAGGGCTCTTGAGACTCTTTCATTTAAACTGGCAGTCGGAGGCTGTCGAATGGAACAAAACGGAACAGATTAGAAGAAGTTCATTCAGCTCAATACATTAAAAAAAATTGATAAAAAAGAAGAAGAGGGTTGAGATCGTGTTCTTGGCTGACTAAGGTTGTTTTTATAAATATCTTGTTACATTGAAAGCCGTTATTTAGCTAAAAAGCGTACCTTTTACAATATATAGTAGCACATATATTTACTAAAAGTATAATACGCTCTATAGGTTATACATGAAAGAAGGCGTATTCTACAGTTTTGTTGAATGCAGATGTAGTGACAAACAATCACGCACAGATATATTCCACTATTGTATGCATTCAAACATCAGTCAATAGATTGTTGCAAATATTTTTTCCTTGATATCATTCCAAAGTTTACGTAATCTTTTGCTACTTTTGTTTTGAAAAGGGGCGATCACAAATTGAATATAATACATGACTAATATTGCTACTATTTATTATTTATGCTAAAAAGGCATAGGCCTTTGTAATGTCAAGGACGTCACGAATAACCAACAGTAAGACTACGAAAAAAAGTAGATAGACTAGACAGCCAGAAAATGAAATAGGAAATATATATAGATATGCTATATCTCTAGATATATTTATAATAAGTGATTCAATGTCTTTATTTGCTTTTACAAAATCACCTAATGGCACTATGTTATTTATTTGTATCCTTCGTTTGGGAAACATATCTATAGTGCTAGTGTTTTCTCGTCTTTTTTTAGGTCTTATGAATATTCTCAAACTGATATCAACGGTGAATGTAACCTTTAGCTATTAATTTTATATTTTAAAAATCATGAACATACTCCCCAGATTAATCATGACATGCAGAGTTCGTGATTTGTTCAGAACATTTATATTGTCGTATTTAGTAGATAGAATATATATATATACATTGTATTTATGTTTCATGGCATATTTATATTTTGTGCAAAGTAATCACTATATATATATGGTAAATGCCTTATTTTGACCTCTAAATTTCTTATTATTTCGAATAAATAATCAGTTAGATCATTGTTATTATAATTTTAGCATTTCTTAATAAGTTAACCGAAACATTCATGGTTTTAGGCCAAAATAACAGTTTTCTAATTTTTTGGATTATAATAAAACATATTTGTAGTCTGAAAATATTATCTTCCTAAATGTTACACCCTTTGAACTGCTTAACTATTTTTCCTATTCAAAGTAATACCTATTCAAAATCCTATTAGCTTAAGCTTTATGCATTATATTTGTCATATAAAGAAAGTATAATAATTTTGTTTTAAGGAAAATCAGTTTTTTTAGTTGATTCTAGGTGAAATATAGTATAAGTAATTGACTAATAGAATTGACTTCAGAAAGGATTTACGTTTGTCAGAGAAAATTAATATCAAATGAGACCGATAGCTTTTAATACTTAACGCAAATGCGAACCTATGCTGGTTTCTCTTTTTTTTTAGCATTTGATCTATTAAATCATTGCTAATACAGCTACAAAATTTTACTTTTTTTAAATCTGTACCTGTATTTAATTTTTAATCAGGTACAAATAATTTATCTTATACATATTTATTGAGAGCCAGCATCTTCAATTGCAAATGCCTGATTGTAATACATATAACACTATCTCGATAGGAAATTATCGGGTTTAAGCGTTAAATATCTATGAATGCTGACCAGGCTTGTTTTGCTTAAAAGAACAGCTTCTACGTAGAAAATGTGCAAAATCTAAATTGATAAGTATGCTTCTCCCTACCGACGCTTGTCGCAACATACAAAGATATAAAGAATATGTTCAGGTTGAATAATGCTATAAAACTATATTGAAGGGTAGTACTAAATCTGCTTAAGATGAGAAGAAATATTTTTATGATGCACTAGTTCTTTATAAATGTGATATATAAATAGATGAATTGAAGCCCATTCACACACTCTATGCTGTGTCTACAACTAACAGTAATACACAGAATTCTAGGTTTGAAAATGTTTCAATTTGAATAACAATTGAATAAAATCACCAACCGTTCGAAAACATTTAGGATAGGTGGCGAACGTAGCTGGTAATGACGTCACCACAATAGTCGTGCACCTGAGAATCATTATGGTTGATAAAATAATAGCACATCTCCTTGCCAATACAAATCTGTAAAAAAAACCGGGAAGTAATAAATAAGAATAAGATTTTTGCTATTGTAAAAATTAAAAAAAAACCCGTCTATTACAAGAATAACATTGTTTTTTTCTCTCCCTTGGCACTGGGAAAATTTTCCTACTTTCTTTCTCTTTTTTCTTTTAAACATAATTCGATAAAGAGTATAGTTACGTTTATTAATAAATAGCAACATGTATAATTCTAACAACCTTGATTTTATAGGCCATATAGCTTTGCGTAAAAATAATTAAATGTCGCTTTAATCATGCCTTCTATGGTATTTGCTGTTTTTTCAGCTGTTTCTAATTTAATAGCGAAGATATAATTAGAACAGGGATTTCTTTATTGGAGAGACGTTAAACTATCAAAAAGCAGGATAATTAAAAAAAGATCGTACATAACGAGGCTTTCCCTTTTTTGGAGAAAGATTTTCAAGTTTTTACTGATTATTAATATTTTATTTAGCAGGCGTTGACCTGTATTTATCTATTTACTTGATAACAATATATTTAGACAAAAGACAAACAAAGGGTAGCACTAGTTTGTTATAGTTTGTCAAAGTTAAAAATGTCTATATTTACAAGAAAGAAATCGACGGAAGTGTTTTGTACCCTAGTTTGTTTATCTTTATTTTTAGATAATCCAATATTAATAGGCTATTCTAATTAACAGCTTCTCTCTGTGTATAGTTTACCCGCAAATAACGTTGATTATTCATAGGAGTAAAAGGAAAAGAGAGATGTTGATGGTTTATATCCCATATATTGTAACCAATTGGCATATTTTAGAATTCCTCATCTATTTTGTGTCGTTAGCTAAAACTATGTTTATAATTTACGGTATACTTAGCTCTAATACTTTTGACAATGTTATTATCTTTCTTTTATTTTCTGTTCCAATTGTATTAATAACGGAAGTAAACTGGCCTTTTTATTCTTGTAAATCGCTCTATTACACTACATATATATATATTATCTATTTAGCGAATGACTGTTAATACAATTGTTTAACTGATTATTCAATGGTTGCATAAACTATGATTTTTCCAGAAATTTTCGGTAATAAATTAACTTTTTGACCATAATTATACTCGAATTTAATAACTATAACACATATAATTACAACTATCTAACTGTCCTTAATTATTCAAGAATCAAGGCATATGTTACGCGATATCATTAAGTTAATCTAACCATTTAAATTACTAGGCCTTATCATAATTGACTGATAGCTACATTTACTTAGTCATTCGCAAAAAAAACCTGTTTCATATTGAACAAACTGTTAGGAAGAAAGAGAAAAGTTTGCTTCCTTTCACTTTCGAATTCTAACTCGGCCTATATGCTAAGGATGAATTTGCTCGATAGCTAAAATTATAAAAGAAAATACTTACCTATGCTTATGTAGTATTGATAATATAATACAAGATATAACTAATATCATCATGATAATTTCGCATGCGCCAAGAGCCCAATCTCTATAAACTACACTATCCAAGAATAAGTCGGGTAATTGCTTAAAAACTCCAGGTTTAGGCAATCGGTCATGAACTACAACCGTAACATAAGAAGTAGCGGCGTAAGCTATAGCCATATAAATAAGTGCTAAGAACATTTTTTTATAATCATTAGGTGGGATTTTTCGACATTTTTGTTCGTCCTCAGGCTCTATTATAATATGACTTTCTCCGTTTGTATCCAATTTTTTCTCCTGTATTGGTGCAATTAATCATAAGTAAAATATTAAAGATAATTAACAAGCAAAAAGAATGACTACTTTTCTCTGCTGTTTTACTATTATTAATGGAATTAAGAGTTACGATCATCATTTTAAATAAGTTTGCAGAAATATTCTTTCGTTATTCTATTATATAAACGGGCTATAAGAAGATAAAAGAAGAAGAAGAGGAAGAAGAAGTAGAACGAGGAGAATAAGTAGATAATTTATCTTTTTTAATTAGTTATTTATTTATTATTTTCACAATAGATCAATAATTTTATTGAAAACAATAACAAACTCTATTTCTAGGCTCTTGATGCCTATCTTTATCCATTCTCACCTACATGTTAAATAGGAGTAAAGTTAACCTTTTTTTTTTGATATCCTCTTCCTTCCCATACTCACACACCAACTCTACACCACTCCACCCCTTTCTCATTCTATCTCTCTCAGTCTCTATAAATATATCTATATATCTGGTTTTTTTTATATTCTTTTCTTTGGTTAAAATTTTTGAATGGCCATTATTTATATATATATATATATATATATAAATATACATTTTAAGTAAAGATCATAGTTTGGTCCGCGTGCACCTTGTGGTGTACGGATGTGCTAGCATACACAACATACAGCATTCCAACACGATAAGGGATGGAAGGAAACGGGCATTAGGGGGTCGAAAATAAAAAGACAAAGAAAATATTAGGAGGTCGGAAGGTGGAGAGAAAAAAAGAGATTGTGTAGAAGAAGGGGCATGACGGGAAAGGATCTTAGTCATGGTTGACAAATGTATTTCAAACAAGTCTAAATGGAAGAGTTTATTTTTACCATTAAAACACAAAACACAACATTGTCAGAATAGTATAACGAATTATTTGAAATATCTTTTAAACCGACTTTTTTTATATAGATTGTAAAAAAAACGACTGTAGGCCGTGTTTTGTTTTCGTTTGCCATATAATATTTAATAATCTTATTATATAAGATCGGTATCAAGTTGTTAATTAAGTATATGGTTCCTTATTTACTTGTATTTATACATATTTTGTACGTAAACCTCCTCCGACACCGCTACGAGAAAATCGATAAAGGCAAGTCTAGCTCTCAGTTTTTTTTTGGCAAAAATCTGCAATATACAGTCATTCTATGCCAACGGGATGGATATAGTCATTCTCTTATATATTGTTAATTTAGTATTTAGACACTTTACATAGACTTTAATTTCTACTAACCATGTTTAAAATTTTAGCAATCGCACTCCTTACAAATCCACATCAACAGTCGATTTTTTAGGTACCGCTAGACACCTACAGCTATACAGCAAAAATAAGAAACTGCCGGTATAAAATGGCGCGGGGTGGCGCTACAGTAGCCTCTCGTATGATTGGAGACGATGACCAGACATCTGGAAGCATATGGGGAGAAGAATTTCCACACAGAAGTTTCTAATAGCAATATTAACTAACTTTTTCATCTACATCTACAATTAATCATTTATAGGCGTTACAAAACAACATTTGTTAACAGTTTGTCAAAATAGAAACCGAGAAATCCAAAAAAAATCTATTTACAGCGCCACCTACTTGGCCAATTTAAGGCCTTTTTTTCTGAGAATCGTGGTTTTCCCATCACCTCACACTCTGCAAGATCTAGAAAAAAACAACTGTCATTTTCTATATCAGCAACAATTAAGGATAGGAAATAACGTTTCTCAATATACTATCATCCTTAGCATAGTCTTCTCTCCTCTCATAAAAAAATCCCTTCTGTACGTTGTCTAATTGGTATAAATATTCTATTTAGGTCAGTACTATCATTAACAAACGCCATCTTTTATTTATTAAGAATATCTTTTTAGTTTATACACTGTTTACATAGTTTCAGTTTATTATTCCAATTCTGATAAAGAATTACTTTCGCTATATGTTTTTCAAATAAACATCTTATACGTTTCTTATTTTCTTCTTGTTTGTTTGTTTGAAATAGTCAAAAAAGAAAAGAAAAAGAGGGGAGCGAAGTGTGGGAGGGAGATGACACAAGGAGGTCAGCGGGCGATATAGAAAGATCTAATTAATGAAATAAACAGGTCGTTATTTATCATTCGCTTTATTTCTTTTTTATATGAAATAAATCAACTTTATTTCATCTTTCGACTAATAATGAATTATATATAGATTTGAAGTAAGCTCACTTTGTTTATTTATGGAATAATACACTATAAAGTGAAATATAACCGATTAAACGTTATAAACTGTAGATGGCGTTTTCTGCTTATTTATTTGAATGTGTATTAAAAAAAATTTCATGGCTAACAATCTTTTAAGATAAAGAAGGGATAATCAAATAAGAAACCTAGACGTAAAGGCTAATTAACATCTTCTATTACAGTACTTAATGTACAGAAAAAGTTAATCGCTCGATCCATAAAGTTATGGATTAAGAAAATGGCGTGTTTCGCGTCTGCATTTATATTCGTTTTTAATTATTGCAGTGTAGGGATTTAAATAATAACAATCAAAGATGGAACAACTATTTATAAATACAAATATTATCATCAGTTCTCAACAAAAACACAAATTTAATTAACTAGTATAATATATGGTTATCCCTTCTCTTCCCTTTTAGTTTTGTGGACGAGTCGACTCTAGAGGAATAGTAGCGAAGAGAAAGAAAGCGATCAAATATTTTTTTTTAACTCTGGAATATTTCTTTCTCTCTTTCTTTCTATCTCTGTTCGTATGTCTGCAGCAGACTCTACTGCATTTAGACCATTAGTAATTTTAATCTATCACTTATTTAACAGCCACAAATCGAATGACAATAGCTTAATGATTACTCCAACACGTCATAATCGCAAATGCGTGTTGCAGTAGAAAAAAAAGAGGAAAATGTCATATTAAAAAATCTATTTTGCTCATTTTTATACTTTACTTAAAAAAGACACTAATACTTTATACATCGATTATTTGTTAAAAGTATGAACCTCCCTCCCCCATCCTTCTCTCTTCCCCCTTCCTCTTCCCTTTCTCCCATCTTCAACATTGAAGTTCCTTGTATATTTAATATATTTTAAATTATTTTTGCTCTTTGTCGTCAATAGATTGTTATAGAGTACAATGCATACTTTATATATTCAGTATATATGTACCAAAAGACAATACATCTTTTTAATAGTGCTAAAAACTCTCAATAGGAGTTTTTAGAGTGTAAAGAATTATAGTAATTAGCACTAATATTCTAAACTCATAGATTACTGATTGTTTTAATAAAAAAAATGTCTTCTATCATTAAATTAATAATTAAATATTGTATTCTTCGTCCTTTAGTACACTGATTCTAATAATAATCTATCAATTTGTAATTAAAATTAAATTATTCTCTATATAGTTTATATTAAATATGAAAAATAACTCTTTGGTATAAAAGAATTTCAGGCTTTTTTTAATTATCTCGTATGAATTTCCTAAGGATATTTACTTGCCTGATTATTTTTTACCTTCTTCCTCGTTCTTACATCCTTCTATCCCCTTCTGGCTGATCTCAATGAGAAAAAAGGTTTTTCTGAAAAGATTATGCTCAACTGACTTTCCATCTTTTTTCTTTGCATATGATTTCTTTATAATGAATAGAAAGTGAGAATGCATATATTAATTACTATGTTTTTAGATGAAATTTCTATCTCTTTTTCTTACTCCTTCCATCTTTCATTTTGTTTCTCTTCTTTCTATTTATTCATTATAATACTTTTATTTAATTATATTTCGATACCGTCAATTTCGTTTCTTCTCTTTCACTTCAAATGATTGTGAAACCGAATTTTGGGGTTAAAAGACTTTTCCCTTTCGCCTAATTGGCTATGCAGGTATACACTCGACATAAGGCTCTTAATAATAGAAGTAACAATCATAGAATCCTTTGAAAAGAATGAAGAATGTAACATCAAATACGAGCAAACTCTCAGGAAAAATTATTGATACTTTCTTAAGAATATCTATATGTTCTAATACGAATAGAAAATACAACGAATAGTGCAAATATGTTAAGAATTAGAGATAATTAGAGATAAAAATTCTCATTGAGGAAAGAAAAACAAAAGAATTATCTTTATAAAATCTATTGGATACATTCTGTGTTAAAAGTTGTTTTTATATTATGAACGAATAGAGTAAGAGAGTTATAAATAAACTAATAGAGAAAAGACGATTTCCTTGGTTTTATTTCTTCAAAAAGGAAGCAAACAAAATACATTTATAAAATATTTAATAACCGCAATAGTCTAGTCTCATTTGCTATAAATAAATAAATAAATAGGGGAAAACAACATCAAACACATACCGCTTAGCTTTATTCTTACAAGTATGAAGGAGAAATGCAACTTTTCCGCAGGCCGCACAGAAGAAAACAAAAGAAGATAGATGGAATAAGTAAAATAGCAAAAACAATACAAGTAGAAGAACTTTTTCACCATTCAATATCAATAATCAGTGGTCAGTAACAAGTACATCTCTTACTCTACTAGTAATGTCCTTGATATAACAAGTTAAATTGATATTTTAATTATCTTTAAATGCGTAGGCCGAAGAGATTTGATAATTTCTTTTTTCCACAAAATCCCAACAGAAATATAATATTACAAGAATAGAAATTTGATGAATCTATATTTATGATAATGAAATTATTAATAAAGGAAAAGTTAGTTAATCAATCGCTTGTTTTTTATGGAAATTTTTATGTAAACATATAAAATAGATGATTATTATTATTACATATATATTTTAATAATTTTAAAGAGTGCAAATAATGTTTTTAAGTTGGTTGCAGCATAATTTATTCATGTTTAAATAGGTTTATTTATTTGTTTCTTTAATCAGGATTTGAAATTTTGGTTTCGTTCTATTGGAGGTTGGCCGTAGCGTAGCCAATGAACTTAATGTCTATAGATTTCACTTCTGAAAGATCTATATCGGAGCTTCGATCAGGAGAAACTCTTATTTGCCAAGTTGTGTACGGTGTTATGTGGTTGATGATGTTGCGGAATGGTTTGTAAACATCCGCTTTAATGGAGACGAAACCTATGAAAAGAAAATTGTAAATAGTACGAATGGTAAATTTTAAAAAACATGAAAGAGAAACCAACCATTTTCTAAGTTATATTCGTAAGTCAGGGATAAGGGTCTCGTAAGGAAATTATAAAGCTGTCCTCTATTCTTGCCTTGGTACAATCCGGAACATTGAATTAAAATCTTTAGAATATTATTCTCTCCAGTAGACTTTGCTCCTGGTAACGTTATCTGCAATAATAAGAAATTACCTCTTTCATATCTCTCTTCTCCCTCCCTACCCTGCTATTTTTATTTTTATTATTTCGCTTACCTCCAATTCGGACACTCTGAACTTGTGAAGATCATTCAATTCCGGTCTATTAGTGTTTATTGTATATAGAATTGCTCTCTCTCTTTTCAAGAATTTCAATGGACAATCTTGTGCTTCTGAGCATTGGCCAGGCTTATCGGTTAGTTTCACGATTCTGTTAATGGTTGACGGAGAATCGGGAAGCAAAAGACCATCTCGTCTAGCCGCGTTGATTCTTAATAAAAGTTGAGAAAGTGATTCTCCAAAATTTGGTCTGGAGCTATCCTTACAAACTTGAAGATTTTCGTAAAAGTAAGCACGGCAAAATTGTATAAGTATAGCATTCAAGTCGAGTCTAACTTCGTAGGTTTGTTCAGCCATAGCCTTTAGAACTTTATCTTTATTTCCGAAATTTTGTTCGAGAAGCTTAAATAATTCTTTGTATCTTTTATTTTCCAATTGTTTATTCTGTAGCGTAAACCTTTTTTCTAACGCATCTCTCATCAATTCAGCTTTTTCTACCATAGCTCTAGTAAGCGCCTCTCCCCAATTGCATACAATAATCAAAGAATCGCGATATTCTTGGCTACCTGGAATTAAGTTAACTGCTTCGTGGGACAGAAGAGTAACAGCAGAATTTTTAAGTAAATTCCATCGGATTACTGAAATCTGTAATCGAGATGATCTAAGGGAAAAAGGAAGGAAGGAATTAATTTAAATAAATATGATTTTACTAATTTATTTTTAAACTAATAAAAGAAACTGCACTTGAAAAAAGTTATTGTAAGAGATCAACACCTTGTTAAAAGCCGTACCTTGTAGCTTTAAATACTACTGTACTTAATAATATGTAGTTTAAAACTGGTACAGATATTTCATTTTTATATTAATCTATTTATCTAACTCCTTAATAACCAACCTTTCTAGTATATCAGCGTATGATTTAAGAGTTGTAGCATTATTGGCCTCTTCAAGGTCTTTCATCAAATCTTCAGACACTTGGAAAAAATGCATAACTGTCCTTACAGTATCTGCCAAATTTTTAAGGGTTTCAGCAAGTCCAATAAAACCGTCTACTAAGAAGTTAATACTCTCTTCAAGATCGTCGTGGTCAAAGTCTTCAATACCTTCAAGAACTGTTTCTATAGCTTTAACAAATTTATCTAAAGCTGTTTCAATCTGTCCGTTTGTTGCGTTCACAGTATTATTATTAAATGCTTCTCCAAAGTATAATGCATTAGCTCTAGCTTCTTCGTAATGTTTTTTCAACCTCCAATAAGTTGCGTTGGACCTTTCAATCGCGCCAAGTGAAGCTGATAAAGCCAACGAAGCATCTTCAATATTAGCATTTGAATGTATATCAATCATTTCCCTAACCTAAACGGATAAAATATAAGATTGAATGGTTTGTTTTTTAATGATAGATACTATTTTTAATGAACCTTTTCTCTGAAATCTTGTGCATTTATTGTATCGACCAGAATAGCATTAAAGTGGCTGTCATAAATACTTATTTTGTTGTAGTAATTATCAAGAAGATGAAGGAAAAATTGCTTTGAATAGAATGGAACTGGTCTGATGTTCTTTCTCACTATTGTTGTAATTTGGGATCTCTTGGCGTCAAGACTTCCAAATAAATCTTTAGCTTCTTCTATATCGGAAAATGCATTACCAATATAGTCCATTATAGCGAATGCATATTGAGAGTTTGGATTCTCTTCTAGTAATATGCTAGAGCACATCCAACTTTGCCTTGCGTGAAGCATATCCTGGTTAGGTCCATGCAACTTGTAAGTGTTCATATCAAAGTCGAACATTGTAGCTTCGTTAGCAATATTAATAAATTGCGCTTTTCCATAGTTGATAAACAATTGGCGAGTTTTAATATGAAGGGAGTAAGTTAACGTGAGGCTTTCTTCAAGGAGGATGGTTTGAGCATAAATATAAACTTTTTTAGCATTTGGTCCAACGTATGTGGGTAGATTCTTTAAGTTAAAGAAAAAGAATCTCAGAATAACTTCATCATCATTGTCCTTCAATCCTTCTGGATGATATATTCTCCCGCATGGCTTGTAGCAGTCATCACTGCAGATCGGATCTTTTAACGGGATCTTTGGAGTTGTTTCGGAGTGTATAACAAGACTAAAAGAGGAGAAGTTTAGTTTCAATAAAACCAATATAAATAAGGAAATAGAAAATTTTCCCTTTCCCCTCTCCCTTCCTCCCTCTCCCAACATTTTTTTCATCAGTTTTTAGTCTATTACTTACGTCTTTGTAATGATAGAACGCAATTTTGGGTATTGACTGAATAGGCTAGTTTGAATTGCTCTAACTGACCCAGTTGGATCATATCTGAAAAAGATATTCTGTCTTTAATGAATATAAACATAAAAAGAATTAAAAATTAGCAAAAAATAATTCGGTTAGTAGGTTAAAATTTATACTTCTCAGGGATTACGTACTTTCAAAAATATAAGAGATCATCGTGGACCTCTTAACTCTTATCTTACCAGAAGGATAAAGACTTCCTTAGTTAATCATTTAAATAACTTTCTCAAGTACGCGACTCTCCATTAGCAATAGGAATATATTGATAAAGACAAGCTAATTATTAAGTAACCACTTTCGATAACAAGCGTTTCTATCTTGAGTGCGTAGAAAGATTAATTATTTCTATAGGTTAACCTATCGAAAAGTCCTTTACACAGATTTATTATTGAGAACTTTGAGATAAACAAGACAGACTCTATAGTTACAGTACACTGGGTCTCATTAAAAGATTAAATATTCAATGTAAAAAATAAGAAGAGTATCTCTTAGAAATTGGAAATTTCCAAATTACATTACGTATCCATAGACACCATATAAATCAATTAAGAAAAGTTACAACAATTACAGGCCTAATTTATTTAAATGAACCTTTTAAATTATTGCAGTACTTCTTGCCTAATTATGTAATATCTCTTATAATTTTACTTTTAGGTGTAGAAATGTGCAAAGTATCTAGTTATTACTTACAATTTTACCATATCCCTCTTATAAGGCGCAACTAATCTTTGAGCAAGTTCTGTTTCGTAAATTGCGTCGGCATTTTTTCCACCGCAATTTTCCATAAAATATCTTGGACAAGAAACGGAACATTCGCTCTCTTGTACAGATGTTGCTGGAAATTCATCGGAACATTTACAATCTCCTTCTCTAACGGAAGCATACATTTTGTTGTTTTTAGCGCAAGCTTCAATACAATGTCGTGCTGCTTGTGGATTTCTCTTATCCCATAGGATTGTATTAAAAGCACTCTGATAACATCCATTATATCTAGGATCTATTGAAAAAAAAAAGTGAAATAATAATATAAAGTCCCAATTAAATGTTAATTTCTCACCTTTGGGAACATTATAAACGTTATTAGCATTTTCTCCACCGCAAATTTGTCCTCCATTTCCAGGACAATGTTTATTACAATTATCGGCAGTTGAATGCTTTCTATGAAGGTTATTTCCACAAAAGCAATCTCTCGCATTCTAAGGAAGAAGAAAAGCACGTTTTTCTCTATTATTGCGAGAATTCCTTTTTTTTTATTAATTTAATTATGTAAATATAATGAAAAGAGGTAAAAAATTTTCATCTTTCCCATCTTTACCATTCATCTTCCTTTTATCATTTATCTTTTTTAATATATACGTTTTTTCTGTTCTACATATATTAACCTACTTTAAAACTTTGTAATCTTCTAATTTTTATAGAATGATTACTTTATAAAATAAGAAATGGATTAATTATAAATCGTACGATATTATGGTTCGATTAATGACGTCTTTCTCACGATTTCTTTCTATTTTATTTACTATTTTTTTTTTAAATATAAACAGAAAGAAAGTGAGATAAATTTGTTATAAATAAATATTTAATATCGTATGTTGTATGTTTTTTTTATATCTTTCTTTTTTAAGTAATGTACGATATCGATGGTTCGATATTATCGTTTGATAGTTTGTTACCTGCACACCAGCAAATCTAAAGCCTTGTTGTCGACATCCATCAATACAACTTTTTATTGTGTTCGTATCAGAAGCCCAGATGTGTTGAGGGAGGTCTTTATCATCTGCTTTGTCCTTAAAGCAGCCCAAGTGTAGTTTGTCTAGTACAGTATTTTTTTCGTCTATTTTTTTCGAATCTAAACGTTATGGAGGTTGAATAAAAATAGAATGAAAATGAAAGAAATATGAAAAAGAGTGAAAGTAGTGTACAAGTATTAAAGAAATGGAAATTGATATTTAATTGATCTCCTTACCATTTTCAAGATGTTTCGCAATATAAGATGCTGAATAGCCTATAAAAATAATTTTAAAAGATTGATAATAGTATTAATATGCTATTTAATTGACATCTTTCCAAATAACTTACATGTATTTACGAGAAAAACTGCAGCGATAGAGGCAACGAAAAGGAAATATTGCCGGTGGAACATCTTGAATTCAAACTTACTGCTGTTTAAAAAACCTCACTTAAGCAGTAAGTAATCGATTAAAGCCGATACCAGACAATCGTATTACTTATCTAGATTATCAAAATGTAATCTTTACGAATTATCCTATTGCTTTAAGTCTTTCGGCATTAACCTTGAGTTAGCATTGCTAGTAATTATCATATTATCTTTACTACGTAAAGAACAAAGTTAGATAGTTATATTATCTATGAAAATTTAAATCGACTATTATTTACTCACGAAAAGTAATGAATTTACGTTTAAACTGATAATTACATTCAAAGAATTTAGAGTAAATACTGTTTTGAAATAAAATTACCAACTAAATAATAGAAACCCCGCGTTTTAAATAACTTGTTGACCTGGTTAAGTAATTCATTGTTAATAAAATAAACATTTTAGTACAAAATATAAAAGAAAATATACTAAGATCATATCATATATACATCATTTCTTTAAATATTTAACAAAATCTTCAATTTCTCGCACTTTCTTCATATTATTTATTTAATATTGCATAGAAGGAATACATCAGAACTAATACAGTAGGACAAAAAGTGAATATTGTCTATTTAGGAGATCAAAGTTTATTAAAACAACTTTCGCATGTACTATGAACGTTTGATATTCTGGAAATGGGTACACACGTACTCGTATTTTAAAAATGTAAAGAAATAAACTATATACACGTCTATATAGTTAATTGAAAATTATTTTGAATCTAACAATTAACTGAAAGAGTTGGACTCTATAAAAGTTCATATTCTCTAATGAAAAGTTATCTTTTTGAACGAACGATAAAGATAGTTTACTATTACGAAAAGAATAATTTATATTAATCACAATAGAATTGAATTTTATGTTAAACATTATAAATAATTGAATATTGAAAATAATGCGTTTCTCCACTTATATATAAACTGTTAAAGTATGAATAATAACAGAAATTTTACACTTTCACCTATTAATTCATGTAATAAATATTTATAATTTGATAGTTATAGTCGTTCAAGTAAACATCAGACAGGTTTGTCTAACAGACAGGATTTAAGAGTTCATAAATTAAAATTTCTTATCAGACACATTAACATTTAACGCAAGGTTGAACATAACTTATAATCATAATTGCACACTTTAAACTACAATAAGCGATAAGTCACGTATATTATCATCCTAAAAATACGACATTTTTTTACTTCTTTCTGTTATCATTTTCGCCTCAAAAATTCATTTTTGATAAATTTTGAATATTCTCTTTAGCCCTAACTTTGATTATAAACTTTGTTTGTTAAAAAATAACAAAGATATTAATCTGATAATCTTTTAATTAATTTTTAAATTGTCTATCTATTTATGTAGATATGATTTTCTTTTAATTCATATATAAAAGGTTAAAGTATTCAAGAAGAAATGAGTAATGAAAAATGATTCAATTAAAAGTTAATAACAATTCAATTCTTATTTAAGATTATAAAATATATAATTTCTTCTTTCATCTCATTTTTACGACGAATTTTCTAATTTTTTTCTAAATAGGTCCAATGATCAGTTGATAAGATATTCTATTTGATTGAAATTCTCATATCTACTAATGAATAAACCAGCTGATTATTTATCACTTAGTTATAAAAACCGACAATCAAATGTTTCAAAGTTACTTGCAGGATGCGGCTTGTAATTCTCTTAGCTGTTGTAGTGGTCAGCGCTTTAGGTAATCAATCTATTAGTCTCTCTTAATCAATCGTTTTTACTCTCTATCATAGAACGTTACTATCTATGATAATAATTACTTTTTTTAGTCTATTATTGTTTTTTTTTTTAAATAGGCGCTCCTCAAGCAAAATCGTCACCAAATGAAGTAGGAACTAGAACCAGAGAAGGTTTCTTAAACGGTGGAAAATGGAGATGTACTTGGCATTTGAGTGGTTTTTCCTGTAGAGACGGAGATTTTCATTGCCCATGTGCTAACGGACATCAAGGATCTAATAAAATTGGCTGCTGTTACAAATTTCCAAGGTTCGCTATCTATACCTAGAAATTCTATTTCATTTACATTTTACTTAGCATAAACGTATTTGAATATTTGTAGATGCGGTGAAATTTGCAACAAAAATACCAACTGCGACAGATATAAAAACTGTCATTCCTGCAGAAATAATGTTGGTGAACACGATAAAGTAAACGTCTGCAATACCTGCAAACCTGGTTGGGCTCTAGGTGCTGGAAATTGTCATCAAGGTATTATTTTAATTGTTTTTTAAGCTTACTAATTTGATAATTGACCGAAATAGAAATTTAATATAATCATTATCTTATATTTTCATAAAGATATTGATGAATGTTTATCTCAAAATGGTAAATGTGATCATAAATGTCACAATACTCCTGGATCATACCATTGTACCTGTAATGATGGTTACAAGCTTGGAGAAGATAAACACAGTTGCGAAAGTAAGTACTTCGATCTATAATCAAAAAATTTTTATCTCAAAAATTTTTAACGATAGGACTTAGCTGTGGAGACCCAGGTCCATTGGCAAACGGTGCTGTTCAAGCTACTGACAACTGGATGCACGACAGTTTTGCCAAATATTCCTGTCAGGGAAAAGGTGTTCTAGTTGGTTACGCCCAAAGAAAATGTCTCGGACAAGGAAGTTCTGTTTCATGGCAAGGAAGCGCTCCTGTCTGCAGAGGTAAAAATAAACAATTACTTTTATTCTTGTTTTCTAATTTTAACATGAAATTTTTCCTATACATAGACAAATGTGAAATACCTGGTGAAATTCGTCGTGGATGCGGTCCTCTTGGAATAACAGAGGAAGGATGTCAACAATACGGTTGCTGCTACAAAACAGATCCTAATCCAGCTGTACCGAAATGCTACCATACTCCAGATCCCGCATTTATAAAATTTGGAGGAATAAAACCAAAGCCCAACCATGGTAATGGCTTCTATAGTCAACCAGAATCGACCGTAGAAGGCTGTAACTTTGATTGTCAATTTGCTAACAATCTTCAATGTAAATCATTCGGTATGCGTAAAACTGGAGAATCAACACCTGCTAATATTATTCATCATAATTGCCATCTTCAAACAAAATCCGTCAGCCAATTCAATACGTCTAATGAACTCGAAGCAGATCCCAATTACGATTTATACGAAATTACTAGAGATGATTTTGTTACTCAATCCCAAAAATCTAATACTGTTGAACACATGTTTGAAGGATGTTTTAAAGAAGATACTAACAAGCTCGATTTTGAAGATCATATTTGGACAAGCACAAATAGAGTAACCATTCAGCACTGTATAAAAGACTGTAGAGATCACGGTTACAGCTATGCAGCTCTTCGTGGTGGAAATATGTGCTCTTGCACCAATAATAAACATAGATTTCATGGAACAAGCACAGAGTGTAATATAAAATGTAGCCAAAACGAGGAACAAATCTGTGGTGGTACATCGTCTAATTCTGTATATGCTGTTGATGTTAACAGAAATTTCATTGGATGCTTCAGTGACATTGGAAATGACAGAGATTTGTCAAATAAAAGATGGGATGTAGATGCTGGCAAATCAGCTTTTGATTGTGTCCAAAAATGTAAATACGACGGATTCTTGTTCGCTGGTGTTCAAAATGGTGGTGCTTGTTATTGCGGTAATTCGTACGGTAGACACGGAGCAGCATCTGGCGAAGACAAATGCTCGTCAAAATGCAAGGGATGGCATTTGGAAAACTGCGGTGCTCGATTACAAAACGCAATCTATAATACAGAAAAACCATTTGAATATAAAAGTCCAGCAATTAGCAAAGAGGCTACAAGAATATTTATCGAAGATGCTACTGGTATCCCAACAAAGATTTTCTCTGATTTCCCTCTATTGAAAACTGTAGTTAGTAAAAGATTGATCATCGACGCTGGTGAAGCACCAGCTATCCCTCTTACCGATCCTGAATGTGCAGAAGATTGTTACAAACCTTGCGGAAATATTTATCAACCAGAAGGTCTTATCGAAACTGGAGAGCATGTAACAGTTAGATACCTTTTCTTAGATTTAGCTACTTTGCCAACCATTGTTAGAGAAATGAATGGAAAATCTTCGGCGAAAAGCGTAAAAGTTTACGCTCAAACTGTTCTAATTAATCAAGATGTTGAAGTTGATTTCGCACTTATGATCAAGGCTAGACAAATTCTATTGGATCGCTCTAAGGCACAAAAAATCACCGTTCGTACTGCATCGGAACCCTTCAAATTTGATCTTAGCAAAGCAGTACATGATGGTGCCCCTACCGATACTTTCTTCTACAAACAAAGCTACATGTGCGCTAGAATCCTTATCGAAACAAAAGAAAAGAAGCATAAGAATATTGCTTGGAAGATTATACAAGGAATCGTTGACGACTCTCCAGCCGCTATAAGTAAAGAAGATAAAAAGTATATTGAAGCTGTCAGAGGATTTAGAACAGAGATGAGAGGAATCCAAAGAGAAGATGTTCATTTCGTTCCTTTTTATACCAAAACCTATATGGCTGAAATATTGAAGAACTATTATGAAAAAATTACCATTTACAAAGCAGGTATATCAATTGTTTAATTAGTCTCTTCGACATATCCTTAAATATGACTTTCAATTTTATTAATTAAAACAAATTAAACAGATTTCGACCGTCTATCCACAACCGAAGGAGCAGCTTTCGTCTCAGCCGTTGAAGGTATGTTGAGAATTAATGTCAACACCGATATTGCTGAAGCCCGATCCAGTTTTGAAGCATCTATAAATGCTCTAACTAGATCTAATTTGACTTTTGTTCGTATTACCCAACACTATGGTTATGCTAGAACTAGATTGGAAACTGCTAGAGTAGATTTTGAAAATGGAATCAAGGAACAACAAGGCTGGGCCATAGCCGGTGCAGTTTTGGGTTTTGTTAAAGGAATTGTTGGAGTTGTTTTCGGCGCCGTATCAATCAAGGTTGATCCAATAGGTGTGTATATTTTTTACCTTTTCAATTCAATAATTTAGACATCTCCGTAACTGGAATCGTTTTTTTCCTCCCACGAAAAAAGGTGGCCTAGACCAAGTTATATCAAATGTTCAAGAGATGATTGAAACAATGAAGAATTTGGCTGCTAGTATGGCTCAAATCAATGCGTTTATGGAGACGATAGATATCGCTATGCGCGAATTGGAGGATTTGGAAGGGGAATATGATTTCTCTAGATATATGCATTCTATCGAAATGACCGCTCAACTTAGAGTAAATATCATTAAATGGAAAAACCTTAGAAATTCTGCCAACACTCTTCTCACTAGTCCATCTATTGTCAATGTTAGAGGTTCCGCAAATTATAGAAGAAGATTTTTGGATCTTAGCAATTGGGGTGAAGCTCTTACCAAGACCGCTGTAGAAAGAGCCGAAATGGTTAGACAAGCTCTCCGTAAAAGAATGCTTTTGGAGTCTAAACAGGAACAAGCCAAGAGATATGAAAAATATGTTGAAGACTTGAAAAAGGGAATTTTATCCAACATAGCTGTTAGAGCTTTTATGGCCCAACAAACTTACGATATTCGTCTTGATCTTAACGAGGCTTTGATCACCTTCTGCAGAGCGTTCTTTTACGAAAATCTTGGAAACTGTAGAGCTCACTATAGACCACAATTCGGTGGATCTCTCTCCGATCTCCTTCTCAGAATCAACGCAGCTAGAAGAGATGCCCTATTTCTTCCCGACGCTCCATCAACCGTGAGGAGAGAAATTGTGATAAAGGACACCGATAATGATCCAGATTGTACTGATTCCGAAGCATGCCCTTTGAACTACTTAAAGAAGAACAGACAAATCATTTGGACACTTCCAACCAATCACCAAGCTATTTCAGATTTATTTAAATATAGAGTCGCTGAAATCAGACTAAATTTTGTTGGTGCGAAGAAAACTGGTCAAAACTCTAAATTGAAGGTTCAAATCGAAAGTAGCGGTGACTTTAAAGGACGCTCGAAGGATGCTAGCTATAATTTTATAACAAGAGCTCTAAGATTGACATACGAATATGATTTGGATACTTGTAAGTAGAAAACACAATATTATTTCCATTGTTGATAAATAACATTATCAAATATATAATTAAACGCTTTTCTTCTTCTTCTATCCAATCTTTTAATAATTAATGAAATCAATTTGAATATCTTAATCATTGGCTTTCTTTTTTTATAGCTGAAATTTCTATCCATGCCGATGTCTACAGACCATTTAGAAATATTGTTAGTCATATAACTCCTTATACAACATGGATCCTGAGAATATCCGATGATAGAAGTCGTGATATAGACCTTTCAGAAGTAACAGAATTAAGAATGAGACTCGACGGAAGTGCTGTTGATGGTGAAAATAAGAAGTTTATGCAGTCACAAAATTAACTAGCATATATATCTTCATAATCCAATAATTATTACGTTCCACTTGTAAAAGTATAATAAATATCCATTTAATTGCTGCAAAAAACAAAATAACATATAGAAAGAGCAACAACGCATAATAACAAGTTTATTAATAATAATCATATTAATAATAATCATCATCATTATCGTCATTTGTCCGTTTGAAACTATTTTTGTTATTAAGAAGAAAAATCCTTTGGGTAGTTTATTTCTATTATTTATCTCTACTTTCAAATAAAAAGAAGAGAAATCTTCATTAAAGTTTGCCAGAAAAGAAAGAGGAACGGGTATATAATGTTTATAATACAGTATATATACAGTATATATATTAAATCTATATATATATTTATTACAAATTGCATAAAAAACATCTCATTTTTGTTTATATAAGAAATAATAAAGTCTTTTCTTTTAACAATTTTATTAATCCCCTGTAGCTTTTAAGAATTTTTTTCCGGATTAGGGATTAGGGGCTAATCTTATTCTAATTTTTCTAGATAAAACTTCTTTAATTAATAAACCTACAGTATTTGAATAGGAATAGGTCATATAAGATATTTTAATGTGAATACGTCATTAAAATAAACAGGTAATTAAGATTGAAAGAGTTGAATACCTTATGAAAAGCCAAGAAAAAGGAAAATTTCTCCAAGGGAATAACAAGAGCAATGATAATTAACTAATGAAAAACGTATTTTCTTAATTATAATACTCTAATACAATTACAGTATAATTAATTTATGTCTAAATTTAATAGAAGAGTTTGAATGAAGGATGGAAGATAAAATATATAGTAATAGTAAGCATAATAGCTATATGCTCAAGTATTCGTATACTTTAATTTTTTTATTATGGCTACAGTTAGAAGCCTATTGGAACTTGTCCATCGGAAGGCAGACCTAAATCTTCATATCCCATTCTTATCTCGAGTAAAAATAGTTTCGCTAACCAAAGCTTTAACTGAACCTGTTAATCTTAATTGGACACTTAAGATACAAATTTGCAAAGTCACATACGTGTGTTATCCTTCCTTTATGTATTAATATTAGTCTTTTTTATTTCTTGGTGATACGTTCGTTTAAAATATTTGAAGTATATATGACTAATTTAAATATTTATGTTTTTGGTTTAGGCTTTGATTTTAATCTTTTGTCTTGAAAATAACGAAGACATTAATCATATCATGAAATATAACAGATAAATCTATCTATAGGCAAGCTTAGACCTTATAAAGTTAGCAGAGAAATAATTCATTATACTTTAATTACTTCAAAATGGACTTTATTTTTATATAGGATTCTAGATTAAAAATAGAAAGTTCTCATTCTAAAGACAAAGGGAATGTTATTGCTTAAAAATTTAATGAATAGAAGAGATCAAAGCAAAAATTAAACTTTTTTCTGTAACGTATACAATTATTTCTCTTTCCCTATTGCGAAGAATATCTATTTACTTCATTGATGGTTTGATAAGACTTAAAATTGAACCGAAATTCCTATAACGGCTAACCAATGAACTAGCTGTTTATTTACTTTTAAATGTATTAGAAAACGACGATGTAGCTCAAATAATTAACAATAACGTGCTCGATAATTTGACCGAAATCAACGAACGATGATGCTTTCTAAAACAAAAGAATTGGATCGACTGTTAATGATTTTCGTCTCTATTATCAATATGCCATTAGCCTATGTTGCGAATCATTTAGCATTCTTAAAACTAAATAAATGTCAACTGTTAATGTTACTCATTAAAATTTGCCAGCTTCAATACAATTCCCTTGGCGAATTCAATACTTTTAAAAAAATTTGAAGCGGATTTGTTGTGATACCTCATCTGATTCTGCATATTGTGTTGATGTGAGCAAAATTACATTGAATGCTTCAATGATATTGAAAATGATAGCGTATCGAAGCTAAAAAATGGAACAAAGATACTGTGAGCGCAGCTTTTGATTGTGTCCAAAAATATAAATATGACAGCTTCTTATTCGCTGGTGTACGAGATGGCATTGGTGCAAAAATAAAGTAGCAACTGCCAAAGGAAATGCTTGTCAAAATTCAAAGGATGCTATTGTTACAAAGATTTTCTCCGATTTCCTTCCCTTAAAAACTGTGGTCTATAGGAGATGCTAGTGAAGTAGCATCATTCCTCAGTTAAAATATGAATGCAAAGATAAAGTCGTTACAAATGTAATAGCAAGATTTGATGATGACAATAATAGAATATAAATTATAGTTACATATTAACAATTAAATATTATTATTACTTTCCGAATTGTAAATATTTATTTTATTTCTTTAAAAAACACATAGAAAGAAGATAACGATGACTAATAGTAATAACTAGTTCTTTTTCCATTTGATGTTGCTTTCTATTGTTTTGTTGTTTAGAGAGATTTGTTTACGCTTTAATTAAAAAACACAAATATTCATAGAGTTTCACGAAAGGAATAATATATGGTATTTTTAATATACATATCATTGTATAAATGTAGTCGTGTTAATGAATATGAACGTAAATCTAGTTGAATAAGGTTTTATTTTTAAATGAAATGTTAATAATCATAATTAGTTATTTGAGTATTAAATTATATACAGTATATGTATTTCTGTAGCTTAAATTCAACATAATTTATATTAGTGTAGAATGATTATAGCTTATATTACTTGTTTTATTTAGGTTGTAGAAGTGCATAAGTAGTCTGATAATATGAGCAATAACACTGATTCTTTATAGTTTATATTAAGAAAATTAATTAAAATATTTTGTATTATTTCTGGCCATGATATGTTTGACAAAACATTTATAATACTCTATACATAGAAAAGTATATTTACATCATATTTAATACAATATCAGTTTTTTAATCAAGTTGATCTTGTTATGTGTAGAATGATGAATATTTTTACATTTACGCAGAATTTGTTAACATTGATCTAACATTGTGACAAAAAACGCTTTAAGCCAAATATTTACAACTAGGATCATTCTCTTTTCTTTTATTATTGTAAAGAAACGCCTATAAGTATTAGCACCTTCTTTGTTCTTTACAGATAATAGATTTCAATGAATAAACTCTGTTGTTAAGTCTTTATTTTCATTTCGGAAAGTTTGCAAGAAATTCATCTGTTTAGTTCTCTCGTTCCAGATTTATGAATGGCGTTTAGACTATATCATACCGACCAGTTAGTTATGAATGGTAATTGCATTCTCCTTGTTTTTTCCTTTTATAAAAACGTGTTTAAAAATATTTTTGCCTGATCAGGGAAATGGAGCTTTCCGTAAAACTCTTAATCATTAACTTGACAAGAGGAAATGATACATTCTGAAGAGAGGAAAGAATAGGCTGCTTTTGAAATTATTTTCTCTATCTTTTCCTGTTGGTGAAATTTCGTATAGTGGTTCAAGTCTTAACATGACTTGAAAAGTTAATGGAAGTCGCCAATATTTGGCTCAAATACAAGCTAATTGGGAGAGTAAAATGATCAAAGTTCTCTTTTAGTCTATTTCTAGTTGTATTATTTCTTTTTTATTAAAGTAAAATTAGTATTGACTAAATCTCGATCAATACCTGATGCAGTGTGCATTTCCTGAAATATATCAAGGATTTAAAGCCGCTTAAAGCATACACTTTATCACAATTGCATATTTAAAGGTTAGATTAGATTGTAAAATATATATGTATATATATATATACAGAATATACGTATAATGGATAACTATCAATTTTTTGTTCAATCTTGACTTCTCTATTCTTTGAGGCAAAGTTGTAGGGTGATTTAAAAATTTAATAAAATTACAGAGAAGACTTTTTTAAAGAAGAATCAATTGGTTATCTAGAAAAGAATCTTTTACATCCCTATAGTTAGGATGAAAACAATAGAGATTTAGTATTAATTTACCATTACTTACAAGAGAAGGTAAGAAATATGGCAATATCAGTAAAAGAAATTTTATACAAGAAAAAAATAGATTACCCATATAGGAATAATATAAGAATATTACATATATACTGTATGCAGTATATTTAATATACTCTATAGGTATATATATATATATATATATGATTTATTGCGTGAAACTTTGTACATGTCCCTTGAAAATAGACATGTAGAATACAATAGATAATGAATAATAAATAATTTAATAAGATTACTTTTTTTATGATTATCGTATTTTCTTTTTTACCTTGTTTTTTTATACTTTATAGAAATTCTGAAAGATATAAGATATAAACGCAACGAATCTAAATATTCATTGCAAAACAATACTTCTTTAGAGCTACAACAGCAAAATCCTTAAAGATAAAATTGATAAGCTGTATCTAATTATTCCTAACTTATGGTAGAATAAGCAATTTTAATGTTTAACTAGCTGTTGCCCATTTGCAAATAATTAGACTTTGAAATATTCTTTACACGCCCACCCATTTCCATCTATCAAATCATTAAAACAACAAAAGTTTATCTAGAAAACAAACAAAACTACTCTTATATAATTATCTTCTAAGATATTACGTAATTATGAAGAAAAAAGAATAACTTTTAAGATAAGAAGGCTATATTAGGGTGATAAATAAAGTAAAAGATTATTATCTTGATGAATATTCACTAAAACTGCTTGCATAAATTAACAATTCAGTTCATAAAAAGGCAAATATGAAGCATATTTTAACCCGTCTTTTTTCTTTTACGATAGAGAACGAAAGGGATTTTGTCAATTTATAAACGAAATATGAACAATATGATAGAGAAGAATTTTCTGCCAGTGATTTAGTCCCGTTTAACGTTGATTTCTTATTAATATAAAGACGAATGTTTATCCATCTTATCTTACAGTTATACATGTCGAAATAAATAAATATATAATAAATATATACAGCATGCTGCATTTGCAAAGTGTGATATATTTATGATATACTTATTGAAAGATATATATATATATATATATATTTATAAATTCATACAGTACATATATATATATATATATATATACACTTTGCTTATATTGATAATGATATCTATTGCATGTATAATTCGTTTATTGATATACTGTATAATAAAATCTAAATTAAAACGTAATAGAAATAAATAGCATACAAATAACAAAAACAACAATTTTGAAGGAGAACGTTTAGAACGAAGACATAACATCAAATTTTTATTTTAACTGATATTTTTGATATAATTTTCTTATTATATGTACATACATTCTTCTATAAATATTACACTAATACATTAATATTTATGGTCAAGTTTTACTTGAATTTCTTATTAATTTATTACAATTCAATTAAAAATACTTAAACAAAACTTTAAGAAGGCTATGAATACTAGAATTTTAGCTATAATCGTTAATTTTCAAAGTATTTGATGTAAACATGTAACAGGAAAGAGAAAACTTTGAACAATTAGGTTATTGACTCTTTAAGAAGTTTGATTAGTGTGTTGATTGTGCGTCAACTATGTTAAACGATAATAATGTAGATTTTTATCAACGACACTTTATAAAAAGGTTAAAGAGAACGATCGCGAACTGTTTTAAAGATATTCCTCTGAACCATAGGAGTCAACGTTTAAATTGTTTTGCGTGCAGACGAGCTAAATGACAGAGAAAGAGAAAGAGAGAGAGAGAGAGAGAGAAAAGAAGAGAATGGAAATATAACAAAGTACAAAAGAAAAAGAATGCGTACAGCTAAACAGACAAAAAGATAGACAGATTGATAGATAGATAGATAGATAGATAGATAGACAGCATAATGAAAGTTTAAGTGAAAATGGATAGGGAAAATGAGCAAAGTATATATTAATTAAATTAATAAAGCCATGTTTTTCTTATAGTTTTTCTTCTCTCCAACAAACAAATATCTTTATTTCATTATTTCAAAACCTTTAAACAGCTTTTCTCGTTGTTTTTTCCTTGCTTATTAAACAAAAAGTATTTGTATATTTCTATAGACCAACTTATAATCAGACATCTATCTATTGCTAAAGCGATAGAAATTATATCTGCTCTTAAAGTTAATGCAAATTATTTTATCTCTCTTTTGCTTTACAAGTACAACTCGATAAGTCGTCACTTTGCTTCAAGACACCGTGCGAATAACTTTTCCAGACCGTATTTATCTTACTTTTTTTTCTTTTTATTTTTTAGTTTTTTGTTTATCATTACAACTATTAATTAAATAAATTACGAGTAATTAATTAATTAATTAATAGGAGAAGAAAATAAATAATAAAATTTTGTAAAACATTCTGATCGTCAGTCTAATAGTAAAAGGGGACAAGTCTAGTCCAAAGAATTTGGACAAAGGATAAAATTTAACTTTGAATATATTCTATCTCGCTTAAGTCTTTTAATTGAAAATATTCATTTAATTACATCATTACTTAGAAAAATGGCTTCTCAAAAAATCTTCTTAATGGTTTGTCTTCTATACTGCGTTATCAATCTGGGAAATGCAGCAAGTCTAATCTCTACATGTTTTAAAGAAGCAAGGCGTGTAATGCCACAACCGGCTTACAATAATTTTCGTCAAATAGTAGAAGCAAGCTGCAAAAGTACTGATTGCTGTCTGAGGCTGATTTACTCATTTATGGGCAACAGTTTGAAAAGTTGATTTTCCATTTACAATTAAAGCACTTTTATGTTATATGTACTTATTATATAAAATCTCTTTAACTTATTTTAATAGTTTTTGTCTTTTCATCCTATTAAAAAGCGAATAAAGAATTTTCGAATTTCGCCTTTAAAGGATTTCTTATGAACAATTCTAACTTATATTAACTATCGTATCATATATAATTGGTTTGTCGGTTGTCGTTGATTATATTACATCAATTCTAAGACTTTTAATACTCTGGGATATTCTTAGAACAATTATCAATTATCCTAAATGACTTTAGCCTTCAATTATATTACAGTATATTAAATATAGTCATTTTTTCACTCTATTATTGCCTATTTTAAGAAGATGGAAGAGAGAAACTAAGCAAAAATTGAAAGAAATTTATAAACAAAAGAGAAAATTGTGAAATATGGAAAATTCGTTTTTTCTTTATTTCTTTTCAATTCAAAACTGTTTTTATTTGAGAAGAGAATGAAAAAAGATACTAATTGAGTATTCTCCTCCTTTTTAAAAAAAGATAATGAGAATACTATCGACATTTAAACAATGTATTTAGCCTATAAAATGTAAATTATTTCGATATATTTTTTTTTCAAGGTAATAAAAAGTAATCTACATATATACTGCATATATATATTAATATTATAATAGATATACGCAATCGCCATCCGCCGATGAAGATATTCTATAAATATTCTATTTTATTACAAGGTTATAAGACAATCTCTTTCATCAATTAATGTATAATTTTCATGTATTATAATATAACATAATAGGGTTTTCTTTATAGTTATTTCTTTGCATTTAAAACAGTTTTCATATAATACTTTGTCACTTTTCCCATCCGAAATGATTTTGAAACAATTCGATTAAGACTAATTAATATTCATAAACGATTTAAATATAGATATATTTCCCTCTTACTTTCGTATAAGCACATAAAAAGAAAAACATTCTTTTGGTAGACTTTTCTTTTTATATAAAATAATGGAATGCTTTTTTCTCATTTAAATATAAAAGAAATAAAATTATACGGTATCTATAACTATTTACAATTTTCCTTCTCTTTTTTCAACAATGGCTCTTCTCTCATCTTTCTTCACCCTCTCGTCATTCTTCTCCGCCTTCTCCGCTCCTCTTTGTATAATCTATTTCAAATCTATTACTTGAGATTTTTTATAAAAATCTCTAAAAAACAACTTTCAATAAAATAGTATCAGCATAGAAAAAGAAAGCATAATTAATCTAAGTTGTTTACGTAATTAAAACAACAAATAGTATTATCGATACGTATCCATGGTAATAAAGTAGAAACAATAACATATATACAAATATACAGAAATAATAAAATTTAATGGCAAGAGCAAAAATTTGACCGTAACTTCCTTCATTTTCAATTTGAATATCACCACTCTTCTTCTACTAGAAACGTAGATCTTTCCTTCTCTCTTCTTATCTTCTTGTCAAAATGAAAAAAGTTACAGTCTAGTTACCGAAAATTATTTTTTTTGCTTTGTTATCTTTGTTTGTTTGTCTATATTTGGATAGCAATCAGTTCGAACTAAACCAGTAGATGGCTATAGGTAATAAGCAAGTAAAAGCAGTCCTGGAGGGGGCGCTGTTTTCTGGTGGATGCTCTACGTTAAAGATTTCGGATCGTCTACCATCGTTATATTTCTCTTTTTTCTTTTTAACACCTTCTTTCTGCTTCTTTCTTCTGCATTTTCCTTTAGGAAATAAGAAAATGAAAACATATTATCATCTCACTTTTTTTATGTTTTTATATAGATAAATAAGTAAAATTGCGTGTATTTTGGGTGAAACGCCATCTGTCAAGCGATTATATTAACAAAACCTACTTGGATTTAAGTGGAAAGTCATGTTGACCGGTTTTCCAAAGATATGAGGCGCATTCATATTGCATTCCCTCTTCGTCTTTATCGTCATGATGTTACCCTTTTCTGTGATTTGCTGTTAAGATAAATAGATTTATTTCCTTCATTTGTCGACTAATGAATTTGGTATTCCTTGATTAAAGGACAGTTTATTAGCATTCATAGCAGCTGTCTCGGAATAAAAAAACAACATCCTTCAAATATTCTCGCTCTCTCTCTCTCCTCTCTATCTTTCGCGCTCTTCGAATTTTAAAGAGAGGGGATTTGTTCCGTTCAAGAGAGCTCACTTTTGCAGCTAGCCTTACTCTCTTACAATGACATTTATAATTTTTATACTTCATTATATATTAGTGCTAAGCATATACACTTCATTAACTGTATATAAATTGTCTACATATGTCATACATGTAAATAATAAATCCTAGTTTGAGTTTTTAAGCGTCTAATCAAACAAAAGCAAAGTATTTTACAAAAGAAAATAATCAGTCATCGCGACAGCGCCAGCTGTAATACAGTATGAATATTTAATAAGCTACAAACCAGGCAATTTCGAACACCATTCCTTTCTTCTGCTTCGCCAACGAGAACGTAACGATGGCCGCCGTGATGCCATGAAGCATAACACTCTAATCTTCTTGCTAAATCCAAAGAAAACAATACGCACGCGGCTTTAGTGTAAATAGGATTTTTTTTTACACAAGTTCTAGTACTAACCTTCACACATAGTCGCTATAGTAACGGCGTTTTGAGATAAGCAAGCGTTCAAATTTGATTTGCAATTGTCCTTCTCATTTTCAGCATCTGTGTAACGACCTCGCGATAGGCATTCAACTGGGCGAGCATGTTCGGCTGTTGTTGTAGAAGAAAAAAGGATATGCTTATTATCATGTATATGCAGCATATAGAATACACAATATATGATCATTCCCTTTCAGCAGTCATTCTAGTTTCTAGCATCCTTGACTGATAAACCCTCAAAGAATACTCTAAAATTATCATTATGTATACTGGGAAATAGAATATAAACAGTTTCAAATTCTCCCTATTTCTCTCTTTCTCCCTCTCTTTCTCTCTTTCAATTCTCAAATAGAAACCGAAACACAAGAGACCTAAAGTGAAAATTCGACTAAATTCATTTAAATTAATAGCTATTTAACACCAAAATCAATTTTAGCGACCAAAGGAGGTTTTGGTCTAATTTCATCAATTCTATGAAATAAATTTCCCATTAATTTGGGGCTTTTTTGAAGGATGAATAAACCTAAATAGGCGGATGAGCGACGGCCAGATTATATAAATTAATAGCTAATTTCAAGAATACAGCGTGGGGTTTAGCAGTACTGGATGGATATATATATATATATAGTATATTATATACAGTCTGTATACTATACAGTCATATAATATGTAATTTAAACAATCTTAGACTAAATAGATTTCTTTCTTTCTATTATTGCTTCATTTTTTGCAGTTACTTCATAATAAGTCTCTTGCGTCTAGCAGCTTCATTCTTTATAAACAATACAATTGTCCCAGAGAGAGAAAAGGGAGAGCAGATAGTCGTACAGTAAAATTGATATAAAAAGAGATAAACAGGAGAAATCATTTAAGGAATAGACAAAGATTTGTTTGTATATAAATCCAACACTAATTTGTCTTGTCAATCCACAAGAATTGATAATCCTATACGACCTCCATTCTTCTATATATCATTATGTAAATAAAATGAAAAAAAGCGGGGGACAAATTTCCATTTTCCATTCTTTGTTATAAATAAAAGAATAATATCTATAATCTCTTCGACTAACCCTCAGAGTTATATATGTAAATTACCTATAATATATAATCTATTAATATTTATTATTCACCTAATAAGATCTTCTTTTCGGCATTCTTTAGTGAAATTTCACACTTCCATCTATCATATTCGGGTAGATCCTTCCCGATCAACAATTCTATCATGTTGTCATTTCGACGAATCACTTTGATGCAATGCATGATCGGATTGCTAAAAGAGAGAAAAGAAAGATATTAATCACCGATTTAATCAATGCCTTTAATATCCTAATGTCCCAATAGAAAATAGAGGGAAAGAGATTAGGGGCGGGTTGAGGTGAAAGCGAGACGATAAAAGATGAGGCTAAAGGCTCTCCAATGGCATTTGATTGATAAGCAAAAGGTGTTGAAATCTCTTTTCTTCTTTGTTTCTCATGTAAAAGACGGGAAAGACTGCGGTAAAGAGGATTGATGAAGCTTTCAATAAAAAAGTCTTATTCGATTAAGGTAATTGGGGGACTGAGTTTTCTGGCATGCGATAGATGTTTACGTGTCGCGCCCCCTTGATGTCTTTTAGCATACGGTTTTAGCCTACTTCCTAGTTGGTCCTTGGGGATTAGTGGTAGCAGTAGGCTAAGAGTAAATGGTCGGTGGGTAGAACTAGAGTAGTAATAACCTTATTTAGGCAGCAGTATTCTACCTATGTGCCTAGTGTTGTATTCGAATTCCAATGTAGCTTTTTTATTGCATTTTTGTTAGAGAAAATAGCGTTTTTTTCCCTTTCATAGTTTGCTAGTAAGTAAGCATCTCGTTCATAAAGAAGTAAAGAAGTTATCAAGGATAGAGTATCAAGGGTAATATTCTCTTATAACCCGACCTACAACCTCAGGCAAAACAATCTTCTTTTTGATACAGACCACGGATGCCCTCTTTCATAAGTCTGTATATTTTACCCTTCTTCCGAAAGTAATTAAGGGCTAATTTTTTATCGCTTACAAAAGAGTAATCTATCAATCTTATCTTACTGCTATCAGATTAAAAAGAAGTTAACAAACCATGCTGATGAAGTGGCACTATGAGCGATAAACTCATTCTTTTCGGTATGAATTCCAACGCATCGGAAGGTCCTTTTTCCGTCGCCTCCATTTATCAGAACTTCCCTTATCTCTTTATCAACATTCCAAGTCTCGTAACTATATTGTCCAGTCATATCGAACCATTTCTCCTTTTTAAACCACTGAGGAAATCTACAATTTGGGATACTCCATTTTTCAAAGTTTATTTCCATTTTGCTATATAATTCTATAGGTGCCATAGTAGGTTCATTACCGCACAAGTCCGATTGGTAATGTTGTCTAAAAACCTTCAATTCCTTTTTCTTCGCGTCAAAGTGCTATGTTTTTGTAATAGAAAAAAGGAATAATTAATAAATATATACAATATATACACAATATGATTAAAAAACAATATGATTATTGAGACTATTATAAAAACTACTCGTTTATCTTTCTCTCTTTTCTGTTCATCTATTTGCAGTGGATATATACAGTATATAAACTTATTAATAATTCCTTAATAATCTCTCCATCGTATTTTATAGAGTGTAAACTTACAAAGCACTTGTATTCAACGCGCTCTCCCTGCTCTTCGCCAAACACTCCGATAATCTTTTGAGATCCAGCTTTTCTCCACCAACCTTTACATTCCAGCTTGTAGGATTTACGATCTGAATATAAATCGACAGAAAAATATGAGCGGTTATAAATATAATATACACTTTTATATTTGTTTATTTATTCAATACAACAATAGATATGGATAAAGGAAGCTAACCGTGTTTGCAGTCGTTCTTTACTAATAATTGCATACCACTAGAACATTGATGAATCTTTGAAAGAGAGCATACATCTCTCTCTTTATAAATTTCCAATAGGTAATTTTCACTGAATGGACAAAGAGTTTGAGCAGTTCTCTCCGGTTTCGTATCGGCTATTTTGATAAGAGAATGTTATTAATTCCTTATAGAGGATTTTAGTGAGAGAGAATAGTTTCTCTAACGTTTACATATACATTTATATTAATGAACAAGGAGAGCGGAAAGAAGATACTGGAATTGACTGGTTTCCTTTTTTCGTTTGCTCGTCCAGTCGTGTAAATCATGTAAATGAGCAATATACAGAATATTCCATGATACTAGCTTGTATTCAGTATAATAGAACTCAAAGTCTTAAGTTGGAATAGAGAAGATTTATGAAGCGAATAATACATCGAAAACCTTTAAACACATTTTAGCTAATCGAACAATCTCTTAATAGACGGCATTAATGTTATTATAAGCAATAAAGGAGACGCCGTTGACGATGGCAATAATAAATAGACTTGGATTTTCTCATAAATTTCTTATTGAGAATCCTTGAAAGGAATATTTTAAGGGAAAAATTAAAGAAAAATGTTTTGACTAGGCCAAAAGTTTACCCTTTTCCTATATTGTCTGGGAAAATAGACTTAACAGTTTCGAGTATTCAATTATAACAACATAATCTTCTTGATAGTAGAAAAGGTATCAATAGTACTTCTTGCCTCAGAGTTTTCACCAATGGATTCATTTCTATTCCATTATTCTCCTATACTTTATATGTTTATATAGTATTATTCTATTTTAACTAACTAAACTAATGGTTCTTAAGCTATTGAACGGCTTACATTTCTCTGTCAATAAATGTTTTCTTTCAGTGTAATTGTGTCGAAATCTTTTATTCAAGTGGACTGAACAGTATAAAGTTACCCAATAACCGAATATGTGAGAATAAATATGTATTCTATATAAAATTTTATACTCTTCTCTGGAATTCTTTTGTCATTTAAGAAGAAAACAGTAGCCAATATTTCTTGGCATGAAAGTGAAATAAAGGAAACTGCCGTCGTGGCACTCCTGACCTTATCTTGACCTTTTCAGCGCATTAAACGCAAAGCTATATGGTTGGAATTAGGCGGCTGGCGGCGTATGTATAAGCGAATAAATGAGATAATGCGTTCCTTAACTGGCTTTTACTCCCCATATACGCCATTATTAATGCTTGTTTTTTTATTGAGAGCAGAGACAAACACTTTATACAATGTATATGAAGAACGAATAGTACATTCCACTTTACCTAAAACTAAGATATTAATCCAATTTAGACGATTCAGAGGAAATACCCCCCTCTCATGTCTGTCTATCTGTCTCTCTGCCCCTCTGTCTCTTATTCGCTCTATGTGTCTCTGTCACCCCTCTGTATCCCTCCCTCCCATCACTTCCATTTTCTATACCTTGTATAGAATGTACATTTATAGTAACAGCTCACAAAAGTATATTGTCTTGTTATTATAAAAACTTCCTCCCCTCTTTATTAATAAATACCTTAGGCTGTAAACTTAAAGCTAAAGACTTGACAGTAACCAGTCTTCTTTCCGTTCATTCTCCCCTTAGCCCTTATCCCTTAGGGGAATTTACAACAAGTATTACACAACTTACTTCGTACTGCCATCATTATTTGTTCAAGCTGAAAATCCTTATTCAGATATGTCCCAGGAGAAACATCTACATCGTTATACAACAGGCTTTCCCGATAGAAGAATACGTTTGTGTGAACTTCTAAAATGTACTTCATTTGAACAGCAGGATTTCCTTCATAGCTACAGAAAACAAAAAATATCTAATTTAAATATTTGAATAAATTAAAGCAATAGATAGCGGGAGGATAGAGAGAAGAAACGGAGAGAAAGAAGAAGACTCAAGCAATTAGTTTTTGAGAAGGGAATTTGTTCATGTTGGAATTGGGGAAATTTGAACACGGATATTTTAATTTGATCGTGTAGCCAGTCTATATTTCGAGTAGTTGTGATCCTTCATTGTCTACTTCTTATTTGTTCTATATAGGATATAGTTTGTCAGAAGGTAATATAATATATTCTTTTTATTCCTATACAACTGCCGTTCTCTAATAGAAAATTAGCTGTCGACTACCAGGTTAAACTTTGAACTTATATATTAAACATGCATTTGCATAAAATAACGTTTATGTAAACTGCAAATGCAATTCCACTTATTTTCAAGCGTAAAGTACCCAATTAGCAACCGCAATAACACCGCATCACCATTAGTGTCTTTGTATGCCAGCAGGTTTGTCATGCAAGCTACCAATCACTGACTCATCTATCTTCTGTCTTTTTCGTACTTGTCTAGCGTCATCGCGAAAACTGGACTGTTTCTCTTTAAATTCAATTATGAAATATTTGTAAACGGCAGCGCAATCGCGCGAAAATTTGCCAACAATGGCTTTCCTTTTTTTTTCAGTTTCCTGCACTATTATTATCCATAGATTGTGGCTGACTGCAGTGACAGGTGCATTGAGTTGGTATTAATTGAAGGAAAATAAAAAATTCTTTGTTGTATGATATTGTTAGGGGAAAGGAGAAAAACTTTATTTATGATATTATTCCGCAAGTCTCCCGTATCATATTAGTTTGTCGTCAAACATTAAAGAGTACTTGGAGGATGAAAAGTGATAAACTTAATAAATTCACGAGGACAAAGAGTAGACCATATAAGCATAATAAGAGGAAACTGTTAGTATATGTATACTATTTAAATAGAATCAGACTTAATCTATTGGAAAAAAAAAACCCCAACACAAATTAAATTTTGTCAAGCGAATGAAAGTGAAATGAGCCAATTGCGGTCGGCCGTTAACGGCCATTCGATTTCAGGAGTTTTTTTTTATTCCATTTATGTAGAAGAAAAGGCATCGTTAAAAGACTTTTATATACTTACTCTTTCGTTTTTATGAAGAAAATACTTTTAAATCCTCTCGGGTCTTGAGATAAGCATTGTTGTTTGTCAGACCAAAACGTCTGGTTTAAGTTAATATATTCTCCCTTTTGGACGTCGTACCAACTACCTCGTATGTTTTGAGGTAATGAACATTCCCGAGGCGTAAAAGATAAAGGTAATTCTGGAAGAAAATAGAAAGAAAATTGAATAAATATAGGAAACAAGTAGGTAAAGAATTAAATAATGACAAATATTCGCATCTAACGACAGTATCAGAAATGAAACACCGCCTTATCTACCGACTCTAATGTCAACATGAGAAATTGGGTTTCCTTGACATGTAATTGGTTATTTTTTTTTTACTTTGATGATAAATTTTAAGATTAATCAACAAGAGGGCAGAATAAACTCTACACCAACTTGAAACTATTAAAGAATAGTAAAACTTCTTTACAAAAGTATACACATATTCATATACATATATAAATAATTGACATATATATAGCAGCAAAAATCGGTGCTGCACTTGATACGGTTTTTTTGGTATATTTGTATAGAAAAATTACAGTTTTGTGTATTTAGCATATTCTATATAATTCTATATATATACTAATATATATGAAGTTATTATATTAATATAATTATTCTCATTTTAATATTTATATGCAGAGTTTGATACTAAAATAGACATATAAGCGGTAAATATCGCATTGAGAAGCTATATAAGTTTTCTGTTGTACCTAGAGGCAAAGAGCTATTTTTTATGTCTTAGGAGAAATATTTACCTATACCGCTTTAAATATCTTCATCTTTAAGCTATTTACCATTCGATATTTTCTAAAGATTACAACTACGTTAACGCCTTATTTTTGTAAGTCAGACCACAGCTAAGAAATAATGCGTGCTCATTCCTGTTTTATTTTCCACCTCTTTTCATACTGTACCTTTCCGATTTTCTCGTCTTTCTGTCTTTCTTTCTTTCTTTCTTTCCCTCTCTGTCTCTCTATCTATCTATCACTCAGCCTCTCTCTCTCGTCTTATTTTATAGCCGCCAACATATTAAGTGAATATAGTATATATCAATACTACACTGCATATACTATGTTTACTCGACTTTACTACTAAACTTACAAGCCGGCAGCTGTTTGTATTGCAGCTGCAAATGATATTAAATTAACTGCCGTCATTCATTGTAACCGATTCCATTTTCTGATTATGTTCTATAAGCAGTTCCTTTGTTTAGCTGTATGGAGCATTAACATGTACGTGTGCTTGTATGGATACAGAAATTTATATACAAAAGCGTGAAAAATAAAAATAATCAATGAGTCATACACATGCTATTCAATTTGATTATATTTTATCAAGATCATTAATGAATCATTTCAATCATTTCTGCTTTGTTTGCGATTCCTTTTATTTTCCCCTTTAATGATTAATTTAAGTTTATTAGAGAACTAAGTAAGAAAGATATTTAAAAGAAAGGTTTCAGTGATTGATTTAATCGCAAAATGTCCTTTCGATTTGGTAGATAAGTGCGAAAAAGCGAATTGAGAGAAACGTAGATGAGGAGATAAGAACTTTGGATGAGTCTTCGAATCGTGACCCATTACAGATAAGAAACATTCTTCCCCTTTATGTTCTATACGAAACATTAAAAGATTGTCAACTTTTTCTAATAAATAAAGGAAAGAGAACTAGCTACTATCCTCTCTGTCTATCTCCCTCTCTCTCCCTCTTTTGCTCTTTCTCTCACTCTTGTACTTTTTGATATTACATTTAGAAAGTTAATTTTGAACGTGGTTATACTACTAGGCCGTAAAGAAAGAAAAGACAAGAATGACCTATATTTCACATGCAAGATTATAAATCGAGTTATTTCCTAGGCGGTAATTGAATAAAAGCAGATTTTTCAACGAAAAACAAATTTTCTGTTCTAATATCAACCGAAACTTAACATTTCCGCAATAGATATATCTCTTTCATTCCCTCCCCCTATTCTTTTCAATACGTAATATATTGTACTGTCTAAATATATATAGTATATACTTTTTCAAGGGGGAATCTTCTAATTAAAATAATTGATTGAACTATACTAATGGTACTGTATTGAAATAAAAGATTGCCGACCGCTGTGCACGTTAAAACAAAGGAAATAGGGAACTTCAAAGATACTTCATATATAGGCAATTCTCAGTGCTTTTTCCCCTCTTCAAGGGAAAATATAACATATTTACACAGAAAAACGCCTTTTTCTACGTATAATGCAGAAATCTTGTATATTAATTCAGCGTATAGTTAATAATTCTTATGTAAAAATCGTTAAAATCCATAAAAATCATATTGAATAGGTCTAATTTTTAAAGGTGACAAAGAAAGTCGTTGTTGCAAAAGAGATATTCATAAGCAAATTTCTTCTTTATATCTTCAACTAATGAATGTATAACGACTAAATTCATTGCTCCGTAAAGTAGATTACGCAAGAGCGAACAAAGAACCACACTTAAAAAGCTATTGAACATCAAAGGGCACCGTCCGTCAGCCATCAAAGGACAACGATTTTCTGCAAAACGCGTCGAATTCTCCCACATTTATTGATAATCGAATACAATTCTGCACTTTATATATCGACAGATAACGACCCCCAGCTTCATCAAACTCAACAAATTCCAGTCACGTTGAGCTTATACTGACTCGTTCGTCTTTATTAATAGAAAATTGTATCTTGCCGATCCTAATCTATAGCCTAAAGCTATTTGAGATTTATTCTCAGTAATATTTATTAATACGAATAAGCTTGACAGAGACAGATTTCGACCTCAATAAGATAATTAGAAGGAAATGAATTAGTTAATTCACACAACTGTTTTTTATTTATTTCTCTCTTTTGCTGTCATTTAAGATGAATAGCAAAACTGCTCTGATATATCGAATACTGTGTATTGTTGTATTTATATAGATATACACTGTATAAAGTATATATATATATATATAGAAAGTATATTCTTGTATATATCTATTATATTCATATAATCTGTAGTACAAGTTTAATTTGGTTAGCTCCTCTTCTTTTCTATATCGTTGTTGTGTACGTATGAAAGAGTAATCACGGACCACTTGATTTTTAAATAGGCGAAAAAATATCAATTAAATACTGCATACGTATGTTAAGCATTATATTAATAAAATAACTGGGCTTGTATATAGTCTTTTATAGTAAATGACCCAAAAATCAATTAATAATTATGTTCCATATACCTGAAAAAAGTTTACATCCTTGTATTTATTTATTTTTTTCTCTCACTCAACCTTTCTTTCTTTCTATTTGTTCGTTCGTTTTTTCTCTCTATCTATTTATCTACCTATCTATCTCTCTAATTAAATAAAGTTTTTATTTTTGTAAGTAAAAGAAAATAAAAGTTATCTGTTTTTTATTTATTTATATTAAGATTTATGTGTTTTTATACTAAGTAGTTATAAATATAAACAGCTATACAGTATATATACATATATGTATATTATAGAATGAATAACATATTCATTCTCCAATTTAGGCTAAAAATAGATGCACCCAAATAAAAAAAAGAAAACGCTACAGGTGTCTTTTAATTCACAAAAAAAAGAAAATTCATTCAACCAGACGTTAAAGTCTTATAACGACAGACTCGCGTGTTGTAAATAAATTGATCCACTCGAGTTTATCTCTGATTATAAATAACTTAATTGAGTATTTTTTTGTTATTATTATTTGAACAGTACGATGAAGATTTTCTGGGAACGACAATATAAAGTGTATAAATTTATATATATATATATATTTGATATATACACTTAATAACAACGTTTTAGCTAGGGAAAAACAATATTTATTGGAAAAAATCGATTATATAGTCGGATAATTTGATTATTAGTTATACTACAAGTTGCCTTTTGAATGAGGTACCCTCATAACGGTCTAGTATGACATTTAAAATTGTATCATTCATTATTTTGACAGAAAATGTGTATAAACATCTGTATATTAACGCGACGCTTCATCAATTTTAGAAAATGCGTCTATAGGTATCCATCAAAGCGTCGATGATTGATCGATCTCAATGTTAAAAGTTTAAATCGAACTGACACACGAATGCCAATAGCTTCGTGAATAATTTAAAAACATGTATAAATTTGATCTTCCGTTAATTGTTGCGTACTGCAATGACTGTAACGGACTGTAAATGGTTGAAAAAGTAATGAGAATTTTTTTCTACTCTACAGCTTTTAGTGCACTATTTGCATTGAAAATCACAGTATCCGTTTAAACATTATTTTAAATAGCAATAGTTTTTATAGTAAAATAAAAGAGAGAAAAAGAGACATCAGGTTTACAAAATGAGCGAGAATTACACATCATTTTTCATTAAAAATCTAAAGAATTATCATGATGATGACTGTTTAATCAAGTTCAGTCAAATATCAATATCGAATTTAGCTATACAGCAAACAATACAAAAACTAAAATAGAAAAATTTATTATCTCCTTAGTTAGTGTACTCATAATAATAATCTCCGGTTTCTTCCCATTACGTAATGAGGATTTCTCGGGTACAATGACTTTAGAAAATTATTACCCTAAGGCTGCTAAAAGTATATTTTTTTATTACATTCTCCGATCTTTACACGCTCTCCGTCTCAATTCTATCACGTTCATCTATATGTGGATATATGTGTAAATAGGTATATACTGTATATACTTGCTTTTCTCTTCTCTCTTTCTAAAACGGCTTTTAGATGGCTTTTCAAAAGGAGATAAATTTCTTAAAAAACGTTCAATATAGATAGCTTTTTAATAGTTTCTAATCGTCTTTTTGGGGACAATGAATTAGTTTAATTATTACCTTTCTCTTTGTCTATGACACTTTTATTATACTACATAATCATTCAAAAACTCTAAAGGATTCCCATTCATGAACGTTTTTCTTTCCTTTTTTTCCAATTGAACTATTGAAAAGGTCTTTTTATGATTTTTTTTTATGTAAAAAGAATCCACTTAAAAGCATACTCCTCCATTGAATTACAACTAATTTTATGAAAGTTGATGGGGGAGGCTAAAAATTCCCTACCCTTAACGGCAAACGACGTGACAGACATAAAGGGAAGAATAGAATTATTGCGTAATCGGAATGATGTAATGAGAAA